AAGAGCTGGTCCCCCATTTTACGTCTCCAACTGTCAAATATCCCGTCGTGCATTGTTCTCTTTAGATCCATAGAAAAGATCTGTGGTGCTGAGGTCTCTCGTCCAGATTTTCAAGAGGTTATGCGAGTTTGTGGCAAAATGTTCTCCGGAAGTGGAGTGTGTGTGTGTGTGTGTGTAATTGCATCTGACTCATTCAGCTTATGAAATGCTTAGTCCCGTACACTCTGCTCAACTTTAGATCCAAGCAAAGAAACAGATATGCTGAGATGAATTATTACTGAGTCATCAAGGAGGGATAGAAAAGATGGTTAGACAATACGTTGGCCTCTTTGGTTTTATGTGGTACACATTGTGGATTAGGTCACTGAGTTACTGCCGCTCATGCACCTGAGTAGGGCCGGTCATCAAAGGTGTCAGCTTCAGGGAATGGGAAAAAGGGCCCAGGTCCAAACTGATGCTTTCAGTAATGGTTGCTAAGTCTTTTTTTAGACAAAACTCTTCCAGAAATCAGACGTGCTCAATAAGATGTGCGAAATCCCCCCCCCCTTTTGTTCTTTTACATAGAATAGAATATAATAAAACTGCTCAAGCTGACTTTTTTCAGAATTTGTGCTGAAAAAATATCCAATCTGCATTAATTTACTTACAAAATGCAAGGGTGGAAAGCAGAAGGTTTGGAGAGCTCTCGACAACAACGACTTTAATTGCTTATCCAAAGTCAATACCGTTTAAGCATCTTTCACCTTTTAATGGGCTGTATGCAAATGTGTTCATCAATGATAAGAGAGTAGGAAAACACCATATCAGCACACTGGAAAAACTACCCACATCCCTTCATTTTTATTTTCCAAAGGTGTCCCTTTTTTGTACATTTCAGAGAAATCCTAGAGAACATTTATCCTTGAAAAGTCACCAGTCCATCAGAGGACTAACACTGAGGAAAATGAGCCGAAAAACAATACACAACATCAATTCATGCAGTCAATCTAAAATCACGGATTTACCTCACGTGTGTTTTGAGACTGTCGCAAAAGGAGCCAGAGCTCCCCAGATGTGATTCAGAGAGGGGGCCTTCTGGCTGGGAGAAATTCAGAATCATGCATCCTTAACATTTAATGAGAAAAGACAAGCAAAAGTGGGCAATGTAATCTTAAGAGCAAAACTCTACTCTGCATTTTTATGCTAAAAAGGTTTCACTGTTTTTCTGCCAAGCAGTCCATCACAGTGAGAGCAGCGGGTCTGATCCCACTCCCTGAGAGGGAACTATGTCCGTGTTGCTCTCTCCTTCTGCTGATAGTGAACTCTTACTGTCTTTAAAGTGGATTCACTTAAACCCCTAGAAGAATAGAATAAACATTCATTTCTGTTTTTAGTTTTTGAAAGATGCCGGTTTTCTGAAGAGAGCGTCGGATCCACTCGTCTCTTAAATTTTTCATCTCTTCCTTGTGCTGACTGTCCTCCTCGCCTGCCTCCCTGTCCTCAAATTTACTCCTGCTTTCATCGTTCATATGCTTCCAATTTCTCTCCATTCACTCCTCTTCCTCCATTCTGTAATCACTTTTCTTCTCCTCGAAAACTCCCCCCCCCCCCCCCCCCCCCCTTTCTCTCCCTAAACCCCTTTCACATGTCTGGGAGCATGGAAGATGAATTTTCTATCTTTCGGCCCAGCCTCTCCTCCTCCATTTTTCACCTATATGTGGATCAGTCAGCTGTCACTTCACACACCTGTTTCCCCGATGTGCTGCGTGCACAAACCATCCAGGAGGCACGTGCACAGCGCTAACACTGGGCGACACAGTACAGAGAGACATTTCCTTTAATAGCGGGATTGAGAGGTGTTTTGCTTGGTTTCCTCTCATGTATAATGGATGATGTGAGTCTCTTGCACCATTGTTTGCTGATTCTAATCAGAGTCCAGTCTGCTGAATAATGAAACAGGAGTGCTAAATGAAAACGTCTCCGACCTTCTTTTGGAATGCCTGCTGATTAGAGTGCACACCACGTTCATTACGGCGTTATAGCAATTGTCACCGCTACATCTTCACATATGGACACACACACACACACACACTTGCGTATATACAGGAACATTCTTTTTAGATTCTTATCCCCAGCCTCTTTTTTTAGTGCTCTTAGATGCAACAGAAAACTTACACACATGCACATAAAACCATTACAACAGAAAAAGTGTTGGATTTATGACTTGAAGATGCAGTAGAGCAGAATTGCAGTGGCATGGCAATATATTTTTAGAAGTGTAGCGAGGGGAGCTGGATGGTGTCGCAGCATGTGCGGATCCTCCCGGTCCACAATTTCACTACCAAACTCTGTTGGTTTCGCTTTGGCTGTGGTGTTTACTATACACTACATCTTAACAATTGATGAGTCGCTTGACTCTGCGAGCTTTGAAAAACTTTTTAATTGCTATGCGGGAGAATAGAGGAATTATACGGATGCAAACATCCCATAATCTGCAATTTGGTACGGCAAGTTTTTTAGTTTGCTCAGGAAGGTTATGTAGGTGAATGTCTTTCTTAATGAGTTTGGCATTTTTAGCAAAAACACTAAGTAACCACAAGAATTAAAGCCATAACAGTTCAAGTTGCAAGCGGTTGAAGTGACATTTTGTAGCAGTTGTTAATAATAAAACTGCCCTCACATGCACGCGTGGCCTAGGCCAAACTTACAGAGCTATGCAAACCTACGCAAATAGTTTATTGATTTGTATTGTAGTAGGGTTTCTTATCCTTTTCTCACTTGTGGCCATTGAAATATGTTCAACGGACAGAAAATAAGAAGCTCTGAGTCATGAAGGAAGAGGTATCGAATCAGTGTTATCTGTCCATCCGTTTTCACTGCAGGACGGTCCTGTTTGTGAATGGGAGTGCACGTGTGCCAGCTCCATGCTTGCTGCACTGGACAGGCTTTAATAATTGACACGGCTGCCTGGGAGGAGGTGCACATCCATAGATTACTTTGTTGTCAGGGAGATTCTTCAGCATAAATATGGGAGTCTACATCTTACCTTTTTTATGTCTATTATAGCCATTTTTTGTTTTTATGTAACTGCTTATAAAAGCATGTGGAGTTGGGACATATTTCAGGTACAAATGGGTCACTGTATGTTGATAATGCTTCTGAGGGTTTAAAAAGAAGGATTCATACATTATAAGCTGTTATACTTTGCATGCCAGATGTCATCTTGTCCTATTGGGACATGTTTAATTTAAAAAAAGAAAGGGGGTACTAAAAAAGTCAAAGTTTACACAAATAAATTCCTAATTTATTCTTTATAAAACTGAAGGAAACCATTGTATTTAAATATAGGTGTAAATTCTCATACAAAGCATTTAAATCCTATCGAATGACCAGTTGTAATTTAAGTAAGTTATGTTTTTACTACAATGTCAGTTTGGAGAGTGGAGAGAAGATAACATGCAGTAACAAAGTTTTCTAAAGGTTATAGTTCACCACATTATTTGTGAAGCTCAATTTGTGGGGGAAAAGGGTTATAACCTTATAACCTAATGGAACTGCGGGAGTCTTTTGAGGTCAGTCCCAGTCAATAGTGAAATGAATTGTTTAATTCCGTGGGACATAAATAAAAAGGGATCAGTATGAATTGTTGTGTTGAAATTATATGCTGAGCCTGTCCCGTAACTTGTGAGGCCGTTACACTGTGTGACCCAGTTATTACAGACAACCCCACTTCCTGTTTTTTTTACACAAGTGCTGGTGGTGGCCACTATCTGTCATATCAGGTTGGAAATAATTTACGATTTCAAACGTTAAATATTCTGTCATGTGTTAGGTTCAGTTAGGGACAACTCTGGTAATCTGTAACTCCAAAGCTTTGTGTATCTCCTGTTTTACACTGCAGCGTCATCAGTTCAACATATTTTGTCGTTTTCTAAGAAGCTATTTGATTTTCAGGCTGGTTCATCCAAATACACTGTCTTATTTTTCCTTTTCACAAACTGTTATGGCAATAGCAAGTTATGTGAGTTATATGGCATGTTCCTCACCTCTGCGAGCAGATATTTAGATTAAGATAGATGATTTACGCAGTAAGGATTGAGTGTGTCATTTAAAACAATGAACCATGCCTAATTCAAATATTTACCCTGTTTTTATTTCATTATTTGAATGTCTGTAGAATTACTAGCTTACACAAATCTTGTTTGCTGACTTAAATGATGAATTAATTCATAGCTTAATGTCTCAAAGTTACTCACATTGACTCAGTTTTTTTCCTCTATTTTCATTAATTATGATCATGACTCATTACTCCCAATAGTTCTTGCTGCGACACATCTCCCCTCAGTTACCCAGTGTGTTTTTTTATTTGTTTTTTTCGTGTTACTTTAATACGTCCCAGAGTATTCCCAAAGTCACTTCAGGAACACGAGGAGATTTATGTCAGTCAACCAGGCCGTTATATTAAAGGAGATGGCCCTTTGTGATATTGAATTTCAGCTATTTGTAGTTAAATGGCTCCGGCTGAATATTGTGGTCTGTTGAGGCTCCAACAGTATCCAAGAAGACAAAGGAGTTAAGCAGCAGTTACAGTACTTCAGTTACGGAACTCGTCTCAGCTATTTTCAGCAAATCTCCAAGCAATCAGATTCACTTGATGTCAAGGTTTAACAATTTTCCTGACACATGGATACAGTCATGCACACAAACACACTCTGCTGGTTGCAGTCTTATCCACCTACTGAGGTCACACTGAGAAATGAAATCCAACTAAAACAATCTTTCTCTTTATCTCCTGCTTCTGTCCCAGGCTGAGGATGCTGAAAAGACGACATAAAACGGCTGCATCTTAATCTGTGGGTGGCACAAGCCTATAAAGGAGGCAATTAGGATTATAATTTATAGTTCACTTGCCCTTTTCTCCTCCCCCCCTTCACTATTCTCTTGTCTCTCACCCACCTCCCTCCATGAATTAATGTCTCTGTGTGTGTCATGTGTGTGTGTGTGTGTGTGTTTTCCCACAGAGCAGCACGAGCATTTGGAGAGTACCTGTCCCACACAAACCCTGAAAACCGAAACGGATCAGGTCAGCGTCTCTTGCCATCCTGCCATTTGTCCGTCCCTCTATCCCGCTCTGGCTATTCCTTTGAGGTTTTAATCCTTCCTCCACCTGCTTCACCTCATCCTCTACTGATATGCCAAGCTGTGCTCACTGGTGTGTCCCAACAGAAGCTGAAAACCGAGAATGATGCTGATGTTATCCCGCTGTCATCCCGAGCTTATCTGTTTCTTTCGTCCTTTTTTTTCTATTTCTTTCTATTTAGCACCTGGGTGTATTTCATATTCCTTAACACTCATATTTTTAACACATGATCATAGATATTCTTTTATTTGTATCCGTTTCCCTCTTTCACATTCTAGCTCATCTTCTGTGTGAGACCTTGGTGGGTCCTGATCCAGAGTCGACCGCTGACACCATTGGCTTGGACAACAACAACCACCTCCATCCCTGCTCCGCCACCGAGGGCCGTGAGGACAGACCGGAGCCCAGGCTAGCCAAAGAGAAGCTGGGTTTGCTCCAGCCTCCTCCCCCCTCGATATCCATTTCCACCAAGCCCTCCCGCCTGTCCCTGGAGCGCAGTTTCTCGGCGGAGGAGGACCAGCAGAAGTCGGTGGAGTGCTCCCTGCAGCCGGCCCGCGTCTACACCATCACCACCAAGCACGGCATGTTGATGACCAGCGGCAGGGGCAGCAAGGAGAGCCTCGAACTGGACGTCCTGAAGGAGAAGTCGGGGAGCGGCGGGCTGGGGTCCAGAGGCGGCTCCATCCAGCCCTCCACCTCCCCGTCCTCGGCCTCATCCTCCCCGACCCAGTACCAGCGCGCGGGCAGCAGCCGCCACCACGGCAACCACCACCACAGCAACCACCACCACCACCACGCCGTCCCCGCCATGAACGCGCCCTCCGGCAGCGGGGGAGGGAGCGCCAATCAGCAGCAGCTGACCGTGGCGGGGCCCCACTCCCACCACGGCTCGCACCACCACGGCGGCCACCACCACCACCACCTGTCCCAGCCCCCGCTGCAGACCTCCGTCAGCGCGCACAACATCCGCGGCTGGGGCGAGGGCGGGAAGGGGGAGGCCGAGTGCAGCGGGCTGGCCTGCGAGTCCTGCACCAGCGCCCCCTCCCGCAGCCAGGGCTCGCTGGACCTGGAGAGCACGTCCCGAGAAGCAGGCAAGCGGCACCGGATGGGGGGAGTGTGGGCCGGGGGGACTGGGATGGAGAGAGGCGAGAGGGTGGAGGACACGGAGGAAGGGAGAGACGATAGAATGTACCCCAGGGAGGGAAGGTGTCCAGCCTCATAACTGGGATTTGGGATTTCATCACTTTCAGTCACGTGCACAATTCGGCTTCATTGAGTAGAGGATGTCCTGGTATCTAAGGATCAATAAAAATATAGAAAGATATTCTTTTTGGTTTGATGAGAGGTCATCCGTGTCTTTTTTTAAAAATTCAGCTTAAAAGAATTGAACAGATAGAAAGTTCACAAATTCCAGCAAAAGGAAGAATAGTGAGTTAATAGTGAGTTAATGTGGTTAATACCACATAGTTTCAGTTACACTAATTTGACTCTTCAGTCCAGTTTTATACTTTTGTAAATTCATTTTTCAAATTATAAGAACGATTGCAGATTCGTCGGTAGATGTGAGATTGTGGTCTGTATTTCGACTCCCCGTCTCTCATGTGCCGTTTCCTCCTTCCTGTCTTCCTCCCTCCTTTTGTGGAGCGGTGCACCGTGAAGTGCTGGTTTTGTGCTTTAATTTAGCATGCATGGAAACATTTGCCAACAATGGAAATTTTGATTTGACTTATGTGTCGGCCTGCTTAACTTTGGCATCTTTATTTTTCTGTCCAATTACAGAGGAGACTAACTGGTTCCCCAAGGAAAATATGTTCACCTTTCAAACAGCCACGACAACCATGCAGGCGTAAGTGTCCGACCTTCGAGCACACATGTGGACATGCACACTCACGTGCACATAGGGACATTTTTAGCACATATGCCAACAGAAAGGTGAACGTGGATGAATGGTGGTGGATGTTCACATCATTCATTACAAATCGGCAATTAACATCAAACTTAACAATCCTGCGGAGCTTTTCCATCTCTCTGATAATGGTTTTAGATGCATTACTTATTTCCAAGCTGCTGTAATTTGCATTTCAGTAAGTTATAAACATTTGCTTCCCGGTCCCCTAAAATTTGCTCAAGGAAGGCAATTCATCATGATAAATAATTTGTCAGTGTTAAGTTAAATAATTGATGCTGGGTGCAGCTTTGCTAGTAGGTTCTGTTAGTTTATGAAAATTATTAGGGTTTCTTCATCACGAAAAAGAGCAAAAAAAACTGGTTCCCAGAGTTTATTTGTTCTAATGCTACATATTCCGTATTAAGATAATGGGATTCATCATTGTTATAATTGTCAACTGATCAACTTCAAGCCTGCTAAATAAAACTGAACAAATACAGAAAATAGCATCTGAAATGTTGGGTTTAAACGGGTTGAAGATCACACTAGTTCAATTACAAAGGATAAGGAATGCCAGAGTTGTGTAAGTGTGAGTAGGACTGTCTCAGCCCTCACCAAATTGGTTGACCTCAAAACATAGAATCCCCTTTGGTTTACAGTATAGTGTTTGAACTGACTGTTATTAAGGTGTACATTTTACACCTATACCTCTAATCTATCATATTTGTACATGATTGTGCTGTAAGTGTTTACTCATTTGACATGTGGGATAAACAAAGGCCAGTCGTAAATATGCCTGTCATAGAAGGCCATTTTATTAATGTTTTCTAAACTCTAATGCACTCCTTTGTTTCTCTTCTCTCTTTTTTGCACTCAAAATAACCTTTGGACTGGAACAGGATATCGTGAGTATTCTTCCTTGCATGTTTTTTTAAAAAAAGAAACCGTTTTTTTAACACCTGCTCCACAATTTTAATGCCTGCATTTAATCTCCATTCATGTGTTGAGGCACATAAGACAAGTTACTACAATATAAAACAGCAAATACAGCACAGATGAGTTTGTTTCTACGAGCCAGTGTCTGAGTTTGAATGGCAGTACAAGTTGACACAAGTTGAGGACTTTTAATTAAAGTAAAAAGCTGAAAAGAATCACAGAATGGATAAAGTTCAGTGTAATCTACTGTTTCTGACAGAGTCTGCCATGCTGAAGTCCCAGAAATGTCTGATTCTTGGATGGTTCAATTAAAATCCGCAAGCTCACATCCACCCAGCTGTAAACTCAATTTAGCACAAACACACACACACACACACAAGTCCTGACAATTGTTAGACTTCAGCCACTGTAGGTATTTATGGCAGTTACATTGGTGTGCCACAATCCCACCCAACAGCCATCCTATTATCACAGAATCAGTGCTGCCTGACTTCAGCTGTGCCTGGTAGTGAATTTGGAAATGAACTTTGGGGAGATTTGGGGCAAACAAGCATGTATAGGGCTAAATTGAGGTTCCCTGCGCCTTATCTTCTGAAACGGTTAACTTTAGTTGTTGAAGAACTCAATTCTGCGTAGAGTTTTAATAAAACGAGAGCAGATTAGTACCTGGGTCAAAATATATCACGTTCATTACTAACTCCTCCCTAATAACTGCTAACATTATCAACACTGACTGTTGTTACCAAGCTAAAATGTGACATTTCATTCTGCAAAACCCCAGCACACCATGACTAACTAAGCTCAACTAACATGAGCTGCTGTTGAAATGTGTGATAGGTGCACTAGTCTACAATGCAAAAAAATAGTTGTTGATGTCAAACCTGTGAGTATTGTCTGTTTATTCTTAAGGTCTGGATGCTGGAAATCAGAATAGGCCTTAATCCCATATTTGACCCTTGATTGCTAGGTCAATAAATTGTGATTGCAATACAATTTTTTATGCAGATGGAGAAAATACAATTTCTTTTGTGACACTTCAAACATGAAGGAAGTATTAGTAAGTAAGAATTAGTAGAAAATTAAAGGTGCTTAATGAAGTTGACATGTTGGGTTTTTCTGAGTTTTAACATAAAAAAAAAAAAACGTGTCATTTATTAATAGTCCCTGTTATCCACAGGTTGGAACTTCTCTGGCTAGACTCACTGCTTACCTAGAATCTAGCCAACTACAAATCATGTATAAGTAATGTATTTATCTAAATCTCTTCTTTTGTCCCCTATTTGGACACAAGCAGTTAGTTTTCTAGGCTTGTTAACAGAACAAAAATCTGCTAAAATCACATCTGAAAGTGATGCATTTCACACCATTTTGTACTTTGACGCTAAGTCCAGCGTGAGTGAAGAAGAATCACTTCCTGGGCGTTAGAGTGAGCACCTCAGAAAAAAAAAAACAGACTTCATGTTTCCAGAAAAAGTCATTTTTTTGTCTTTGCCCTGGACTACTTTAATTAAGATTTTAGCTTCTAATAAAATGTAGCTAAATTAAACTGCTATAACCCTTGTGTGTCCTCCGGGGGTTGTTCATACTTTGGATTCCTGGGTATGAATGGCCCCTGGAGCACACTCAAGGGTTAAATGTGAATATGGACTTCCTCACATGTCTCATTAGGTTGTACTGGATTATGGGTATTTTATCACATGCAGACTGGCATGTTTCTCGCAGGGGCTGAATAGAAAATGTGATATGGGTCTCTGATGTGATCTGACCCTCTGGTCTTTGTTGTCAACGCTATCTGCTGCAACACCTACAGTACAAAGGCCTCCCCCTCACAGCTCTGTAAACCCTGCAGCTAAAAGCCGCGGCGTCGGCCTCATGCATGGTCTCACCCCTCGCCACGCCAGCGCTCTCCCCTCTCTCATCCCTTTAATACTGTGCCACGTCCTGGCAGGGCTTTCCGAGGATTTGTGCTCAGAAAAAGGAGAGAGAGGGAGCAGGATTCCGCAGAAGTCATCCAGAGGTACGAGAGCGTCGCCCTGCCAGGCGGCGCGTTGCTCCAGAGACGTTGGTTACGCTCCGGTTTCAGGCGGGAGCCGCGCCGCTGCTTATTTGCAACCGTATCTAACGTGACTAAGCCAAGCAGTCGGAACACGGCACTTGAAGGTGGAAGGATGTCGGCAGGTTTTAAAAGGACCGAAAAAGCTCACGCGCACAGTGCCTTAGTTTCTGGGGCAGAGTAGCTCTGCAAGACATTTAGACTTTTACTCTCTGATAAGATGGACCAGAACAAGCCAGTGATTAAAAAGGTTTAACCAACACATTATAAGGTACTGGTAGATAGAGCTTGAGCAGCAGCAGATTTGTGTGTTTCAAACACTTTTAACACATTTAAATTGACTATGCAGCCCAACATGCAATTTTACAGGATCGATCCGAATCATTGGATTTCATCCCCACAAATTCTTCCCTTGAAATACAGTTATGGACCCCAGAGAGGTCATTTTAAAATCCTTTGAAGAGACGATTAGATTCTGTTACACTTGGACGGGTAATAACTTCACAGAAAGTTCAGAAAAGCATCCCACTCAGGCCCAGATGCTCTGTCACAAAGGGGCAGATGGTGAGTGTGACACCAGGCGGTACATCTCGGCTCCTCTGACATGTCAGTGTGTCCCATCTGCAGTGTCAGCATCATTAAAACTGAGTGTGTGAGCATGAAGAAACCAGAGAACCCATTTTGGAGGCAGTAGGCAACATTAGGGTGATCGGATGGGAGAAAAAAGCGGAAGTCCAGGTCGTTTTCCCACGTCCACCGTGCTGCAGTGTATCTTCAGTCACCCTGAGGAGACAAACCAGACACTGACCTCAGTCTGATGTTTTCTGACATTTTGCTAATTGCAAATTAATTCTATTTAATGCTCTTTTAAGGGGCAATTGGCCTCTTTGTTTTAAAAATCATAAAAATATACCTCAAAAGTATTTGTACTTTCGGGTGGTCATCAATTGAAATGTTTTCTTATTTTATTTTCTATTTATTTCCTTCTAATTGATGCATGGGTGAGCTTTTCTCAAACCAAAAACACATAACTGTGAAAAAATGCCAGACCCCAGCTTTGAGTTTCTTATTGTCCATCTTTCTTTTACTAACTGATCTTCTCTACTTTGACTCTTCCATTCAAAACTCAGGAAAGAGTTGTTTTATTTTATTCTAAGGTCTTGAGAGATAACTTTTACAATAGGATGAAAACTAACTGTGGTTTGAAAACATTTAGTAGATATTGTTTATGCCACAAAGCAGCCAAGACATAAAGATTCTTTCAAGTACTGGAAAAGCCAGAAAATGGTCCTAATTAAAGACTGCAACTGGGTTTCTGCTACTAAACTACAAGTTTTGTATTCTGTTCAAATTGAACGTGATAATGAGGACTCATTTTCTTCAGTTCTGATTAAAGGCCATGCACAGAAAAGGTTGCTAAATGTTCTTTACTGTACTCACTGTATGTGATTTTTACTCCATATTTGTGCAAAGATAAGTCCTGGTGAGAAGTGTATGTTTTTTATGTCTATGTATGTGGCCATTTAGTATAATGTAGAGTCCCTCTAATTATTTCCAACGCCACTGTGACAAGTTCTTATCCCAGATACATACACACATACGTGTTTGCACATTTATGTATCAAAACTGAGCAAAATGCTGGACATTTGTAGATTCATCTCAAGAAAATAATAGACTTAATTCCTTCACAGTAATCAGTGTTGAACAAAAAAGCGAACTTGGTGAATGTCTGTGACAACCAACTCTAAAATTCTTAAACAAATTCAAGACAGGAATCTTCAACGTGAATCAACATCTTCAACATGGAAACCGAAGCTTAGTAATTCAGTCGAGGGCACAATAATCCACAAGAATTTCCCTTTTACATCCGATTCGTTAGGGGTAATAAATAAATTAACTAAAAATGATTTTGTTTATTTTCACTGATTAATAAATAAATGGCAGACAGCAGAAAATCATTACAAAAGGAATTAAATCAAATATATTTTGATGCATCATAAAGTTGAAGAAGGACCCATCAGATTATCATTTGCTTCTTTTTTTCTGTTTAAATCTTACTAAATTTATCCTCACTTTCCCTTTTTGTCTCTTGATGAATTCGTAGGTCTAAAATGACTTTAGAAAGACACAAAGGACCTGAGGCTGCCCAGACTGCAAAGACGTTTCCCCTAGAATAATGCTGCCTCTGTATTTATGTGCCTTCCCGCTACCAGATAAACATACTTCCCACACACACATAGCCACATGCAGAGCCCATTAATAATAAGTGTTGACTGGTTGCTTAGAGAACAGATTCTGTGTGCTGCGGTGACATGGGCGGGGCCCACAAAGATAAAAGGATGTTTATCTGGGGCTCATGCATAGAACATTATGTCAGGATCAGGCCGCATGTTGTTGGGGGAAAAAACACTAAAAGCCTTTGTTTGAATCAAAGATGTCTAACACATCCTTATTTGAAAGACAGTGATGCTAAACCTTTTGCATTTAATGATTTGTATACTTTACTTTTCCAGTGTTACCTGAAGAACCTGGTCAACCCTTACACGATAATAATGAATGAGGCTACTTTGGAAGCTAATTAGTAAAGACAGAACCTTGGATAATTTGATAATCTTTGTGTTCTGTTCTGACCCTTTTTAAAAAAAAATCTATGATATCGAACTTGGTCCATCATTAGTGGCTTGAATACATGTGCCTTTGCATTATTAGAAATGCATAAAGTTCAAACCAGATAATACTCAATTTCTGATTGACCATAAGTGATTTTCCGCTGGTTAAGGTATGGGTCAACAATATGTTGTTTGGGTGCACCTGTCCGGGTTTTAATGGAATTAAATTTTCTCCTTTTTACTAAAGAAGCTCACTCTGTTACTCTACAGTCTTCTTCTGAAGAGTAGCATAAAAAAAACAAATAACAACTTTGAGTTTTGACTTCTGTTTGAACGTTGTGGGACCTATAATGATGAAGTAACAAACTACACAGATGTCTTCAGGCCCTGTGATTTGAAGCCAAATTTCTCCCACACGGCTGATTCAAACAGTCGGGCCGACTCATGAGCTTGTTATCTCGGGCTGATGGGAACCTGTCAGTGAGCCCGTCATTTGAGCGAGGTGCTCTGGAACAGGGAGGCATGCGGGGCAGAGGCTTGTTCCGCTGCACTGCACCCACACCCATCCTCTGACCTCATCTGCTGCTCACTCTGACAAGCACATGTGCGGGCTATGATTACCTAATTGTCTCTTTTTAACCTTTTGTGGAAACACAGTCTTGACGTTGGATAATCTTTTCCTTTTTTTCTTTTTTGTCCCTTGCCTTTCTTTCCCACTCGCCCACCACTTCCTCTTTCTCTTCTTTGCCTTTTGGTCCTCCTTTTGTCCTCCTTTTTCCCCCCTCCTCTGCTTTGATTTTGCTCCCGACAGGAACTTCCGGAAGCATCTTCGAATGGTGGGCAGCAGAAGGATTAAAGCTCAGAGTGAGTCAGATGTGTCCGTGTGTGTGTGTGGTTGCTATGTTTGCTCAGATTGACTGTGATGTTTTTCACCCGCCATCATCGGTTGTTTTTTAATTTCTTCTCTTATCCTTTTTTTGTGGTCTGTGAATCTGTGTGATTTTTTTGCTTGTCTGTGTCAACAAACATCACTACTGTGCCTTTACTGTATATCCTCGAGGATGCTCACATTTATCAGTGTGCGTTTGATTGCCCGTGATATGATTCTATGCACATGTGTGTACATACAAGCATGTAGTATGGTCCGAGTCATAGGGGGCATTTCTCTGTTGGATGGTTGTTTGTCTTTTTTGATTGGCTGGTTACAAAGACTCTAGTGGATAACAACAAGTCACTGATGAGCAATGCTAAGGTTAGCGCCTGTGTGATGCTCCTGTGACACTATTGAGTGTAAATTTGGAGTCCAAGGTTTCCAAAACCTATAGATACTTTGTAGGTTGTCATTTTCACAGTCTATTCTTTTATTTTCTGAAACACAATTATGTAAGAACCAGTGTAGTATGAGGTGGTTCCTTATGAGCATATCAGTTCTGTTCTTTTTTTTTTACATCTTGGGGTGTAAATTGTTGTTGTGTCTTTTGTTATTTAAAACTATTAGCGCAAATCCCAAATTATGTTTGTGATACTACAAACAGTCAAGTCAGTGTAATGCAATGATTATGCCTACAATACCCCAGCTTTTGCAATGGATTCATTTTATCCTTTTTAATCCTTCCTGACATACTTACATAACTTTGTGTGACATTCCATTTTTCTCAGGTATGCACATTTGGATGGCATCAATGTGACAATAGTTGATATGTGTAAAAGGTAAAGTTAGAATTTGGAGATCATTCTGCTTAGGATATTTCTTAAAAGAAAATCAGAGCATATGTTATCGTATCACAAAACGCATTAGACTATGAATTTATTTTACAAAGGGTGCTTTGTAAAAGCATAAAAAAGGAGACTTTTCTGATCCGAGGACAAAGTTACAAATCAAAAGGACATTCTAAACGAGAGGAAAGACTTACAGCAGTACCACAAAAGACAATTATTTCACAGTGGTGAGAGTTCGTTATCACAGAAAGAACACCAGAGGCCACAACTATGGCAACGTGAAAGACAAGGTTGATTAACCGTTTGAAACACCTCCAAGGAGTATAAAATCTTCTACGACCTCAGTGATTACGATTCACAGAGCTAATGCTATTAGAGGCTCAGGCTCTTTAAATCCATATTGATGGTTGTAAAAACCCTGTGAAATGACAGGGTTATGTTTTTTTGTCCTGTTTGATTGCTTTTTTGGGTGCGGTGTGGGTTTCTACAGCTTGTGCATTTGTACAGGAGACGGATGGCATTGTCTGTACGCTGTTTTTGTGCACTTGCAACTACTTGAAGCCTGTGTGGTCTTATGTGCGTGGACGGGGTGAGTGCATGAAGGGGAAAAGCCATGTTGTGGGCTTACTCGCGTGAGTGCAAGCGTCTGTTTGTGTGAGTGTGTGCGTGTGTGTGTGTGTGTGTGTGAGTGTGTGTGTGACTATCTCTCCCCGCCTGCACTAGCATTCGCTGAGCGTAGATCGAAGAGTTTCAGCCGTTCCTGGAGCGATCCCACACCTGTCAAGACTGACTCTCCCCATGAGCCCAGAGACAGTGAGTGAACACGGATAAACACATGCGCACTCACAGAAGCCGACGCACAGTTTTCAATCGCTACAGCAGCTAGACCAAAGTGGCTCTAAAGTTATCAGGTCACACATTTAGCTGTGAATGTGTGCAACAGTCTGGCTTTGTGAATGCTGACACAAAGAAAAATGTGTTTTTTTCTTTTCTTTTTTTTTTTAAGAAAACATATTTATGTGTTGTATGTTAAAAAAAAGAGAAAAGGGGGTGTGGGGTCAACCATAGCTGGTCAGCTCCAGAATGAGCAACACCATTCCATATCAATGATGAAATTATGGATGGTGTTTTTGTTCTGTTGGGTCACAAAACTTAAATCAGAGAGAGAAATTTCCCTAAAACACCCTTAGATATTGCTGGAATAGTCATTCGGGGTTAATTAAAATGTATAGAAAATTGAAAATGTATCTTCTTTAAGATATTAATCATAACATTTAAAAAATGTTGATTGTTATATTATAATTGAAACAGAGGCAATGCCAGTCTGAGAGCCTGCTGTGACTTTAGTTACAGATGACCCTTTTTTACCTCTGTGCCTGCACAGATAGATTTATTACAGTTTGAGTTTCCTTTTAGATCACTCTGAATTTGTTGAATAAATTTGCTGAATACACAGGTGAGACATATGACATTAAAAGCCACTTTTTTGTTATTAAAAATAGGTGGTCTTAAAGTTTTTCTAGGAATGAGCAGTAGTCAAATGTATAATTGTTTAGAATAAAGGTAAATCCTCTCAAAGCCAGTCAGTCAAGATAAATAGAAGACTAATTCTAATGAGAAATCTTCTCTTTTCTTTGGACAGAGAATGACTGATAAGATCATTTCTTTATGACCTTTTGGATTATTTGCAAATATCTTGTCTGGAAGTAAATCTAGAGTGACCTTAGTGTTCAGCATTGTTTCCTGAGGTGTCCCAGTCAAGTTTGAGCCAACAGAGAGTAAACCACCCGGACAGACACCTGATATCCAGGATTTGTGATAACAGAGCCGTGTTCATTGTGTCCCGTGCAACTGTCTCCCAATGAGGCACAATTACTGATGCATATACAGCTCACATCCTGACCAAGGCCTCCCAGCACAAAGAAAAAGAAACACTCACAAAAACGACACACTCACACGTACAAACTGACCGTCTCTGCTGTTGATTCTGACCCTGTCCATCTGTCTCCTTATGACCGTGGGTTTTTCTTCAACTTTGTGATGCTCTCTCGTTCTGTGAGTATGTCTTCCAAAATGGAGTGTGCGTCCCCGTCCAAATGTATCAGCTGCTACAGACATCACTGTGAGGACTCGTGTGTGTCTAAGTGCCTCAATAAAGATTTAGATATGCAAGTCATCACACACTGTTTGCATGTAATGTGTCTGTATTAATATGTGAAACGTGGAGTTCTTTTTTTTCCCCTCAGTTTTTTAAAAATTCACTTCCATTGTCCATTGTCTCTGTGTTTTGTGTGTATGAGGGATAATGTGTGTGATAATTGCTGATTACATGCTAATGATGTAATTGATGCCTAACACTTCCTCGATCTTTTGCGAAGGGCTTGTTCTCTTGTGTTGAACCTCTGGAGTTAATGCAATTCTAGTCATTTTCCCATATTTTTCACTTAATCTTTTTTTCTTTTGCCTTTTTTACTCAATAATATCCACTTTTGAAATTGCCGTTTTCCTGTTGGAGGTTGCTTTTCTTTAAAGCCGATGCAACTGTCATTTTAGGCTGATGTTTGTATTCAGTTCCATAAAAGTGAATTCAATTGGAAAATAAATGCTTTATTTACCAAACATACTGGGTATTTATATAAAAAAGAAATGATTAGTTTCTGATGAGCAGATTTATTAAATCAACAATTTAGCCTTGGTTGGAGGAAAAAGATCAGACCTGTGCTGATTCTGTTGGAATTAAAAGATAGCTCCAATGTCCAGATTAAAAAGCAAAGGGGTGGAAAGTTACATGCGACACAGTCTTAGAGGCGGAGGGACAGAGCACAATGATATTTTAAGAACAATGGCTATAGGCTGATCGTCTTGGTGAAACCAGGCAAAATGTTTACTGAGTGGCAGCAGTGACATGATTGGAAGTGAGAATGGAATTATTTTGACAGGCAGGGAAAGTGGAGGCGACTGAGAGACTACGTCTGCAGGAGTAGCCCAAATTTATTAGGAACAGATAGTCCTTACTAAAGCTGCACTTCAGCTAAAAGTAATTCATATATTTGTCAAAAAATCCTGTTATTCTAAATGTTTCTGAAAACCCACAATGCCATTGTTCTCATGTGGTCAAAAAACATGTACTGGAGTAGTTCCACAATTCCCTAAAATATGTTTGGAATTGGAATTGGATTTGGAAAAATCATACAGCATCACTCTTATGATCTTATGATGAACTGTAAGAATATGGTTATCAACAGTCTCATGCACAGGAAATGCTTCCTGTTATTTGTTTAGTAGAGTATAGTTTAGTAGGTCCTCTAAATGCTAATAAAAATAATTAAAGGGGGAAAAACACATTTCGTTTGAGCTGTGTGATCATCATAATTTTAACAAAAGGACACAAAGCTGCATAGTTAGTATCAACCACCCTGCTGATTATTGTTCTTTTTTCCCTCTTTCTCAGTTTTTTTCTGACACATCTCTTGCCTTCCATTCCCAGCATCTCTGCAATAATCGTATTATCTAAAATATTAAACGTCACAAAGATTTGTTTTATATTGTCTTATAGGCGGAGACCTGCAGGCCTCCAGTGGTCCCCTGGAAGAAGGAGGCCTCGACGAGTCCTTGGACTGGGAGGAGGAACGAGAGATGGAGAGGCTGGCCTGTGAGGGTGATGACTTCATACCCCCCAAAATAATGGTAAGGATGACGGCCACGGGGGACCCTAAATATTGTATTTACTGACTAAATGCTCCGACCTAGTCCAAAAAGTCAGCATGCAAGAACGCATAAACATCCACTTAACAGTTTAAAAAGGAAAACAACTGAAACCAACAGAGCAGGAAGAAACTATTAAAAGACGGCAAAGCATTTTCATGTTGCTATTACCTTACTTGGAAATGCAATGAAACTGTAGTTCTCAGGGACTGTAGGGTTCAGTGCAGGGTCTGTCATGGTTTGTGGTGGGTATAGCGAGGACAGGGACCCATTTGAAATAGCTTTGGTATTCAACTTAAACAAATATTTTTCCAAACCTTTGCACGACACGACAATTACATTTGAGGACCACAGAGAAAAAAAGAAGAATTATGTTTGCATCAACTTCCCAAATCAGATACTGCCTCTAATGAGACTTCACACTTGTCAAACTGAAACCAGGAAAAAAGGCATCTCTTGAAGTCTCAGCTGTAGAGGTAATCGATGGCCATAGTTGTGTGGACTGTAGCCAGAGTAAAAATTTATCTTGATGCGCTTGTACCCTGAATGTTTTCTTTCAATTGAAACATTTTGTGCTATTTGTCACATTTCACAGTGTGGAACAACTATCAAATGGTCAATGACGATGTCCTTAACAGTCTTTAGTAAATGCATCCAATAAAGTTCTCTTAGCTATTGGATTTATTTTTCACACCAGGTACAAGTTTTATGTTGACTCATTTAGTGCTGTACATTGTAATGTAAGGATGCGATGTTATGAGAATTCAGTTTATTGTCATTTTGTTCTTTTACTGTTAGCCTTCCTCGCACATATGTTGCTACAACCCTAACCCCTCCATCCGGTGTGTTTTACCTTCAGCTCATCTCCTCTAAGGTTCCCAAGGCGGAGTACGTTCCCACCATAATCCGCAGGGATGATCCTTCCATCATCCCAATCCTCTATGTGAGTCAAACACAGAGTGCATAAAACATACAATAATAGCTATAGACACTTTTCCAGCATTTTATTCTGTGTTTGCTGATGTTGTGAATGGCTTTCCCCTCAGGATCACGAACACGCAACGTTTGATGATATTTTAGGTGAGTTGTATTTCGATTGATTTTTTTCAAAAGGAAATTTAGTATAGTCATGGGAGTAAATATCATATATGAAAAACCATCTTTAAATAAATAAACAGATGACGGTAATCATAAAAAGAAAACCTTGACTAAACATGAAAAAGAATATAAAGAACTGACTTGAGATCATATCCATAAAAGAGATAAAATAGTAACTTTTTAAAAGATGAGCTACTTGTCTGAAATGAAAATCAGTCGGGTTTTGTTTTTTGCTTTGCATAAGCTTGCCTGGGGAGGGAAAACTGAGCTCTGACTTTACTGTAGGAATTACAGGTCAGAACAATAGCTCAAAGGTGGATTTAGCTCTTAAATGTGTGTTTATTTGGAGCCAGTTAAATCCCTCTAAAGAACAGCTTTGCAAATTGGTGCCTGTATTCGTAGAATGCTGCTCGCATTGGAGCCAGTAATTAAAAGGATTTGCACATAGAAATGTCCAATGTCCATCTCACTGTCTTATCTGGTTTGTTTCTCTGTGCCATTTGCTGCTGCCCTACCTACCCACCGTCGAGTGCAATTTGAATTACAGTTTCAGCTAGTGTCTCTACTGTCTATTATTACACCTCAGCTTGAACTCACCCTCTGGAGGTTTTCTTTTAGATCACACCTCCTTTTCTCAGTACAGTGTCTTCGTTCTTCCTTAGTTTAACTCTCAAGGTCTCTGTCTTCGATATCAATCCCCCCCCTCTTTTTCTGTGTCACAGAGGAAATAGACAAGAAGCTCACAGCCTACAGGAGAGGGAGCAAATTCTGGAGGATGCTCATCTTTTGTCAGGTGAACAAAGAAAGAGGGACCAAAGAAAAAAGATCATACGCATATTGATTACACACTGGGATTGTTTTAGTTTTTAACCCTCATACACCCTCCAATGCTCTGCTTTACATGTGCGATGAAACATGTTTTTCTGTGTGTTTTCCAGGGAGGTCCTGGTCATCTGTATTTACTGAAAAACAAAGTGGCAACCTTCGCTAAGGTGGAAAAGGAGGAAGACATGAGCCAGTGAGTTACTCATCCAATTCTAAGCCCATCTCATCCATTTATTGTCACATGTTCATTTGATTTCCTTTATTGTTCTTTAAAACCCAGAAACATGATTATGGTTAGTGTCTACAACAATTTATAGAGCCAGAAAGTTGGTCATTAAACCTATGGGAGCTTTGTAAGTGACAGAAGCACCCCTGCCTTAGCTGTTTTGTATGTAGTATGAACTTATTATTCTGCATAAGCATTTGAATAGAGGTGGTGGGTTAAATGCTGTCATTATGTGTTGAAAGGATCACAGGACCTGAAACCATTTTGCCACTTAAATGCTCTATGCCCACATGCAAATTGCAGGATATTTCTGCTCTTTCTTTGATTTGAAGGTGCTCCCTGGGACCTCATAGCACACTCTACATATGTTTGTCATTTATGAGCACTTTATATAACTACTGTGAATGTTTCATGCCTCCCTATGGGGGCAGTGTTTGTACTGTGATGTCTGTTTTTTTTTTGCAAGATTTAAACACAAATTTCACCTTTCCTGTTAATGTCTGACTCATGAAGCATCTGCGAAAGCTGGTGTGTCAATGCAAAACAACACAGAGAAAATCAAAGGGATAGTGGCGCTTCTTTCATAATCTGTCTTGTCAAATATTGGATTAGTTTTAAATCAGGTGTTGCTTTTGAATTTATATGATGTTTTCTTTGCCCACGTGTACCTGATTTCTGATAACTATATATAAGGTATTTTATATTCTGAGGGAAGAAGTAGTAAATTGATTATCTTTGTTCAGATTCTGGAGGAGACTCAGTCGATTCATGAGTAAGGTCAACCCAGAACCAAATGTGATCCACATAATGGGATGTTATGTCCTGGGGAACCCAAATGGAGAAAAGGTAATTTGACACAATGAAAACACTGATATTCATACACCCAAAAAACTGAAAATACATTTTTTTATTTTTTTTATTTTTAGTTTTAGAGCGTTTCTTGAGACAGGACCACAAAAACATACAGGTTTAATTCAGGGATTTAGTTTAGTGAGAGCATTAATGAATACTGATAGCAAACTTAAGGCAATGTGTATATTGTCAACTAGTATTATTTCAAATAATGATCAAAGAGCTACTGTGGATTATGTTGCAATTTGGAAGTCAATTTAATTTGGCATCAAATCATGATTCAGTATAGCTACTGTCTAGGGATTCCAGAAGTCAGGGTTAATATCTTACAATATTGTAAAACTAAACCAAATAAAAATCCCATCCCCTAGAAAAGGGGGTGTTTTTTTTTAGCTGTGTGGCAACCACCCACTTTATCTAAGCTTGTTCTATTGGAGCACCTTTAATAAACAAATGCTACCAGGTTCTTTTGGATGAACAGTGCAGACCATTGGCGTGTTTACAAGTTTCCCAGCTGCTCTTTGGGAGGGTTGTCAGCTTGAAGGATTTCAGACTCCTCACGCCTCAAAACCGTGAATAAGATGTAAAAATCCTCAAGGGAAGCAAAGAGTGCCAGCTACACAGAAGAGGTGGAGAGATGTCCGGCGGCAGCCTGCCGAGGCGACTGACCGGTGCTAACATGCCGCTGAGCTGCCTGCATATGAGCCATTAGCTCACCAGCTAGAGGCAGCCCATTGTGACCACACCTTGGGGACCGCTGACAAGTTGTCAGCTGTAGATGTGACTGTAAAAAATATCCAACTGATGGAAGGGGTAGCAGAGTGTTTTATTGTATGCTGGAAAAAAAACTTGGATATGGCCTCCAGTCCTGAAAAAGAAAGCCAATCCTAAATTAATTCTGATCTGAATTCTATCTAATGACAGTTGATAGATTTGTATATACTATGGCTCTTGATTTAATACATACACTTTTTGTAGATGAGTTAATATCTCAGTTGGACAGTTTCTGATTGGGATGGTTTTATTTAGGGTGAATTATTTTGGGTGGAGGTGTAATGATGTTGCAAAATGTTTTATAGGCATGCGCAGTGTCCACAAATTCTCAATCTGGTATTATGACGATATTCCCTATTTTGTCCCATCTCATTGATAAATAATAAGATGACAACAAGTCAAAGCCATTATGGATTAATTACTGTAAACTTGATTGGACTTTTTTTTTCTAAACATTGCTAGCTATAAATAATAGACTAGCTGAGAGCAATGCTCCATTATTTGTACCTTACATTAGTCAAATCTTCACCATGATGCAATGCATAATTAAGTATCACTCTGACTCTGTCAGTGTGGCGTTCCTATCGTTTTTTGCCCTCTTTCATAGCTCTCTGTGTCTGTAGCTGTCCATGCCGGGTAATCAGAACGCTGTCTGCCCCCCCCTACGCTCCCCCCCCCCTCTCTTCCTACACACCTTATAATCTGACATCTTTATCATGTGTACCCTGCACACCTGTGCAATCGTTCTGGCCTCTCTGTGCCTCGTGTGGACAGATAGTAAAACCACCACCCACATGTGCCCAGATCGAAAAAAAAGGGGGAAAAAATCCGAGCCCAGGCGCACACGAGCTGGCACTCACACACGCAGACACCAGCCGTCGCCAGCGGTGTTTATCAGACCCAACTGTCTGTTCAAGTCATGTCTGCCAAACGCCGTTTTGTTATATAAACTGATCCTCTTTAGGGTTGATAGACAGTCTGCACAAAGCAGGTCTCACATCAGCTATGCCTTCTGCCCAACAGACAAACACAAACATTGTTTTTTAGGAGGCTTTGGAGCCAGGACAGCTAAACAGATGTATTTCTTCTTTGGCTCCAAGATCCCAAATAGTTGTTTTTCCCAGCTGTGAAATCTGGCTACTTTAATCTCTTTGGCTGTGCAGAATAGCTAATACAACATCTATACATCCTCCCATCTGATGCCTGATACCTTTGTCAAAGCCGGAATACGAAGAAACAGAGCTGCAGGATTCCAGAAGTGCTCTTTGCTGAGGCTAAAAGCAAACACTAGCCCGACGGCTCACATTGCAGTCTGCTCTGAGTGTTCTTCTTTCCAAGAGCCCAGCCATGATTGTGTTTACTGTTTGGTTTACTGGCGATCCTTGAACGGGATTCACAGGGGGTTTCAATCATACACTGCGTAGAAGAGATAAACAGTCTCAGCGCGGTGCACCTTTTTCGCGGACTCTCTGCAGATTAGATGCTCCAGCGACAGGGCAGGCCGATGTTAGCCGATAAGCAGCTCTTTATGAGAAATACAGGCACCTCCTGAAAAACAAGTCAGTACGTAAAAGCAAAAGGTCATGAAAAGCCAAATGAACACCTTTCCGTTTGTCTCTTGTGCATTAACCAGCTGAATTTATTGTGAATGTTTCGGTTTCTGTGTGTGTGATTTGTGGAAATACTGGCTCCTCTGCTGCAAGCCTATCTGGGTGAGGTAGGATTAATTGGTGTTTGACTCCCTTATCTGGTCCCAACAGCTGTTTCAGAAACTGAAGAATCTGATGAGGCCTTATTCTGTTGAGTTCGAGTCACCACTGGAGCTGTCTGCACAGGGTAGGTCTGAATAAGCACAGAAACACTCTCAGACAGGCTGACTTATACACACTTAACTATTATATATAATTATATATACTTCCACATAATGACATTTCATCCTGTACTTGCATTATAAAATGATGAACTACCCAACTTTGACAACTGGACGAGGAATTATTATTACAAATCAGATTTGAAATGTGTCACTTTCAACTGATATTAATTATCCTTATTGTCTGCTTTGAATATACACTGTTGTTTGAGTATTTAGGAATAAATTAGTTTTTTTTCATGATCGACCTTTTTGTGCACTATTTAGCAAAGACAGACCATTAACAACTATGACTAAAATTATGAAGATTTATTGAAGTATCAGTTAACCAACTGAAAAATCCAAACATAGACAAACACTTGATGAATTTATTTAATTGTAATCAGGATTGCCTGATTTGGTCATACTTCCCAACTAATAAAGCCATTTCCCACATCATTTACCACCTAAGGCAAAGAGATGATTGAGATGTACTTCGATTTCCGCCTCTACCGCCTTTGGAAGACACGCCAGCACTCCAAACTCTTGGACTATGAGGATTTTTTGTGACAAAAATACCTGGACAGACAATTCCATGAGGACCGTCTTAAAACTGAGCCGCTGCCTGAACACCGTTCAGCCGTTGTGCTCGGGCTGTCAACCCAACATGAACAGTCACGTCTGCTCTCATCCTGAGGAGGGCAAAGAGCAGGAGCATAAAAAAGAGACGAAAGAGAAAGAGCCGTGTTTCTCCTCATTTCCGGAATGAGGGTAAAAAAAAAGTACAAACTGAACACACATTAAAAAAGAGGAAAAAAAGCCTGATAAACTAGACCCCCTTCATCATTTTCACTAAATGTGACTGCCTCAATCTGACAGTTAAATCCGGAATTGGAAAAAAAAAAGAAGAAAAAAAGCTAATATTTCTTTCACACTTCAATGGCGAGAGCATACTTTTTGAAACTGATGTATTTCTGTTACACATTCTGTCTTAATGTGGTTCAGTGTCTTGGATGGACCTCTTGGATAATCTCAGACCTTTGAGACATACATGTACATAAATAACCCATGTGTTAATGTGTGTATAGTCCACATGAATATATTAGCATAGCTTTAGTCATGCAAATGATGCTCTATATCAGACTGATTATCCACCATTTATTTTTGATGTGCATTGTTGTCCAGTTTCATATGGAAATACTTTGGAATAACTCAGGTTTTAGCCATGAATTAATGATTACGTTTGTCTCTTCTATCATGATATTGTAATATTTGACGGCATTGCTTCGAATGAATGTATTATCTCTCAAGAGATCTGTGTTTGACATGAGGAAGTGAATGTCGTGTTTGTTTGGGGAAAAAATGCAATGTGCTGAGCGTGTGTGTTTCCCATGTAAAAATGTAGAAAACATGTTGTATATGTATTTAATCTTACTGCCCCCGCCCTCCCAACGCAAAAATAATTATCGCTGGCATCCATATAGGTATGTCCTCGTGACATGACATTGTTGTGTGATTCATGATGTCAAGGGATGTAACAGCCATCCAAGTGCTCCTACTCCTGCCCTAATTATCCTTCCTGTTCTTTTGCGGAGGGGTCAGACCACTTAGCTGGTCTCTGTCGAAAGTGCTGGCTTCTCTGGGTGGCCGGACGAGCTTCCGCCACCTCTCTCCTCACAGGGCTGAGATCCAGTCGGAGAAGTAGAGCTCTCTGAATTAAAGAGATCTGGTAGAAGTGGAAGCTATGAGGAGCGTCAGCTTGTTGAAGAAAAAAATATGGAAATATGCAGCAGGTGTTGGTCTGTGTCTCAGACAGTTGCACTACCTGAACGACCTGAGCAGTTTCAGACAGAACCCAGCAGTCCCTGTGCTCATGCACACAGGAAACAACACATTTGCAGATGTAAATCATTCCAAAGTGTGACAGGCAACCTACAGATTTCTCATATTTCAAATAGTTCAGTTAGAGGACTTGACATTAACACACCTGTGTGACTGCTGCAAACATTTTTATATATTTCCTTCTGGGAACAGAATTTGGAGGAACATAATTGACTTTATCTCAGAATTGTCTTCAAATCCAGTTCATACGACAAACAGATTGTGTTAACATCTCTGAGGGTTTATTCAGACGTTCATGACAGAGTGAAGTAATGACAATGACGAGACATTGATTTTTTAAAATCCTTTTTCAATATTTTAAATTCTGCTACTTAAGTGTTGACTGTTTTTCACTGGCCTTGTTATAGGTACATATGTACATATGTCCAAAGGTAGTGTCAAGTTAAAAGTATAAAAAAATCATTTAAGATTGATGATATTATTTGCCTGATTTATTTGTTCTTGTTTTTTGTTTGTTTGTTTTGATTTAATAAGGAGGCCACGGACAACATAATGAGACAACATAACCCCAACCATGTCATTTTCTGAATGTCTCATCAATTATTACTTTCAGCACAATCAACATTAAGAAGAGTCTTTGGAAAATATTAGATCAAATATACACTTCTCAGGCATGAAAAATCACCTTTCAAACATGTTTGTAAAAGTTTTTGAAAACGTTCAAATTCACTTTATTGAGTTGTAACAGGCAAAGAAGTTCAAATCGGCAAAGGAATGCATAAGCTTATGACAAGCTTATGACAATGGTGTGGCATGTTTTTGCAGTCATTTGATTCTTTTTAGGCTTTCATGGTGAAACTGCAACACTTTGTGCAGAGGACTGGTGTGAGAGTGTTCTTCTGTGCATCACTGGTAACCAACTCAACTGATTTGCAAAACTAGAATGACCTAGAGATCCCTTTGACTATTATTACCTTTTAATTGAATTTCCAATATGTTCCATTGGAAATTTGTAAAAAAAACGATTACAAACATGTATTACGTTGTGGAAAGTTACTCTGTTTTTACATTCAGTTTGATTTGACAGATTAAATGTGGCAGCTTATAGAATAAGCAGACAATATGAGGTTTGATCTAGCAGTAAGCAATTATCATGAAGGCATTTATGATGGAACCGACACAGGGTTCCTTAAACGTGGTGAGTCCTGTCATGCATGGATTAGCCAATCATAGCCCTGTTGCACAAAGGCGGCCGCTCCTGAGTGTCAGCGCTACTGAAGAGTCTGGTGATATTAAGCTGATCACGTGTCTGCGGGGGGGTTGCAGTTTTCATGGAGAAAGCTTTAAGATTTGTGTGCCCAAGTTTTGCCACAGTTATTAATGCGTACTTACACACACAGCATTCGACTTGTACATGCTCACACACAAAGCCTTGATTTTCTAAAATTGTGTAGAGTAAACTTTTCCAGTAGTCCTAATTTGTGTTAATGCTTGAGCAGTGTGTGCTGAACCTTGGGCTCACGGGAGGGCTCTTTCCCGCAAATCCCAGTTGTTCTGTGCGCGCGTGTGTGTGTGTGTGTGTGTGTGTGTGTGTGTGCGTGTGCGTGTGTGCACTCTCTGACATTGCAGTCCTGGCCTACAGTTTGGCACAGATAAGTACTCTCTCAGCATGAGTCACAGTATGTTTTCACTACACATTTAAAATTCAGCAGTTACACAACCTGTCATTTCACTCAACCATTTTAATTCCGGCAAAAGCATTAGGCTGCACCCCCCCCAGAAGCCGCTGAACAGCTGCTGAGTTCAAAGCGATAATATTTTCCAGCGCTTCGCCCAGGATTCATTTTCTGAATCAAAAGCAGCCATAACCGGTGGATTCATTCAAGAAAGTGTTTTTTGCCCACAGAAAATAACACCTATCCTTGAAAAATGACCCACTTATGTCTAATTCAGACCACCTATAACTTAATATGTGATTTTAATGTGAGGAGCACTCTGTCTCAGGAGTTTGAGAGAGCTTCATCTTTCTGAAAATCTAATTAAAGGTTCTAATGTGTCTGATTTCCCGTGTTTGTGTTTTCGCTTGTCATATAGTGAGTCTCAGGCCGAAAGATGTGGAGAATATGGATGGAAGCTGTTTTCTCTGCACATTTCAGCTTTATCGAAAAAATATACATAATCAACAAGAAGTCAAAAATGTTATCTCTGAATGGTTAAGCGTCTTACATGTATGACCTGCTATGTAACTATGCAAACGAATCCAACAGTAACTGAATGTGCAAAAATGAAAATCTTGCATTCTACATTAACATATACAGCCTTGCATGTTGCAATTTAGTCATTTTCAGGATTCGATTTTTTTTTCTCTGAATAAAAGACACCAAGAGGGAAAAAACGTACACAATCAAACTGTTCCATATTAGATTGGGGTTTATTCATGTGTTAAAAGAAAGTGATTGCATCAGCAAGCCTGTATCGCAGAATCTGGGTGGATGTGTGGTTGTGTGTTATGAATTCTACTTAGATTAAGCCTCAATCCATATGTCAAATAAAGAATAAAAAAACCTGGAGGGAAAGGTTGCTATGAACAGCAAAACTGAAAATTGGTGGTGTTCCATGTTGCTGATTAATGCAAAGCCTGAACAGAGTGGAGAATGGACGAGAGAAGTCAGAACTAAGAAGGACAGATTTCCTTGAGTGAGGAATGTTGCACCCTCTGTGTAGGAGATTAAATATAAGCACTGGGAATGAGACAGAGTCCCATGATGACAAAACCAACTAAAACTGCCTGTCATTTTGTCCCATTTGCAACATACTACACAGCCAAGCAGTTGTGGCTAACTTGAAACTCAAAAATCAGTTTAAAGGTGGTCTATCTCCCCTTTATGGAAATGTCTTGTATTTCTAATTTCATGAATATGCCTTTCACACACTTTGCTTTGTGCTGCTTCTCCACCTTCAGCCCATCTTTTCTTTCTCCTACTTCAACGAGAACGGCGGATTAGCATTGTGTTTGATATGCAAAACTGAGTTTGCAATCATCAAAGATGGTTAATAAGCAATACAAATCCATGTAGACTCAACCACATTATGTCCCCAGGATCGGATACGAGTCCACTACTTTTTTAACATAACTACTGTATTTGTCTTTGACTTAATTATGTGGCAGGTATGCACATATATTTGAAATAAAATGAAAATGTATTTATAGAGATTCATAGTCTTTGAAGGTCAGAAAATGATGTACAATTCCACTTACAGAGTCTTGGAGTTGTAATTCAGATTAATCAACAGCTCCATCAACATGGATGTAAAAAAATAAATGTTAAAATAATGTAATATCTAACTAAAAATGAGCAAAAGAAGAAAAGCTTTTGTCCATGGAAACCTCCACGCCTGTCACCTGTTTACCTCTATTTTATTGCTATTCATATATGTAGGTTTGTTTTGTTTTCTATTTTTCTTTCTTGTCGCTGCTCATTTGTTTTCAGTTATTTTAATTAATACTCAACTCGCTGTGACAACATCCATTGTCTACATCCTGGTTCTTACACAGATACTTTTATTAACAATAATATATCAGACAAACAATGTGAGAATATTCTTTCGTTTACCCTTACAAAAGAGTACATTTCTATTTCAATATCCTCTCCAGATCTAATTGAACATCACTTCACCTTCAGTTGATGAATACAAGCTCCAGGGAGTAAGTGCAGTGTATTAAAAAAACATTCAAAAATGCTGAATTGTATCAGTTTGCTGTACTTCTGAAGTACAGTTGATCAAGCTGACAAAACTCTTTTAACTAAACTATTTTGCAACACTGAGGCTTAACTATAATAATGAGCCTGTATACCTGCAGGTTGTAGTATAATGACCATGCAACCCCCCCCATTAAGCCGTATTACAGAGGAACTGCTCCAAACCAAAGGCACCGGCCCAGGTGGAAACATGCCATGACACCACTTCAGCCTCTTGCACCCAAATAATGAGCATTTCGTGTTAGTTTTTCTAACAACACGAAAGCACAAAGCCACCAGAAATTAATTGAGCTCCTCAAATCTCCTTAATTATCCACGCACGTTATGTCAGCGTAGCAGCAGAATTCAGAGCCAGCAGTGATACCATGAATACAAGCAAAAAATAGATAAGTCATAGAAAGTAGAAGTTTTGTTTTGGTGAGAAATATCTGCTTAAGAATTGACATCACCTTGTGATTACATTATCAAAATAGTTTTTTGTATTCACTATTCATCCATAGGAATAATTCATTACGGTATTATTGTTTTTAATGTATCATTTAAACTCAGCTGTTTAATCTTAATCGTAAACTATGCTTTGTAATAATGTACTTAATGGTAAACTGAAAAAAGGTTTAAACTAAAACTTGATTAGTGACACTGGAAAATACATTAGAATAGTAAAAATAATTGATATATTTGAATTTTTACATTATATTATAATCTGATAAAAGATAACTGAAAAAAAAATCAACTGATCAAAAGAGAAAATATTACAATCTTAAAAAGACTGAACACTGACAAAAATAGAATTGAACTGAAATGTTTTTAGACATTCTAAACGTTTGGCATGTGTTGTATATCACAGCTAAACAGAAATGTTGAACTCTAAAAAAAAAAGCAAAAGGGACAGAGGAGGCCATCTTAAAAAGATGAAAGACTTCAGTGAACCCAGAAGAGGTTAAAATGTGTCACTGAGTGTTTCTTAATAGCAGATAAGTGGCAGACCTGAAGCCGAATCACGCTTTAATCAGAGTGAAATTGAGGTTTAACATGATCCCGAACACCACTGTATGAAGATGGTAAAAAGTCAATTGACTTATTATCACATTTTCATGTAAATGTCCAATGTTCCTCTGTGCGTGTGTCAGTTGGAACGGCTGCCTGTCACTTAAGCTCCCATGATGAGCATTATACGGGTCTAACTGAGGGATGGACCGGCTTGGAAAATCTCCAAATGTCAATGGTTTTGCACCATAGGAACAATGAGGCTTTGCTGATCATATCAATGTGTCATCTGTGTTTCTGAGGGCAAAAATGGGGAGAGCAAGTTAATTGGTGCTGTATTTTTAGGCTTAGGGACTCGTGCCTGCTCCTTGAAATCGATTGATGTATGCAGAAGTAGTTAAATGCCCCCAGAAATGTGCAGAAAACAGACAAAGTAAGTAATGAGAAAACAATAGTCTGAATGCTGAATCAGCACTGTCACAATTACATAATTCAGTCAAGTTCAATTTACCACCACACGAAAATCTAAATTATGTGTCAGCTGACCTGTAGTAATTAAGTTCAGCTGTAACAGTTATATTCTGAATTATTAGAAAATAACCAGCCCTCAGTTGTCATCTTTTTTTTTTTTTTTTTTTTTACATAATGCTGATGAGAACCTTTGTTTCTTAAAGTCTATTTTTTTTTTGGGGGGGGGAGTTCTTCATATCTCTCCAGCTGGTGAACAATTAACTGTGTATGAGGCTTTGGTTATGTCACAATCAGCACTTCCGTTTGCTGATGTGGGCTTTTTGGCTTCCTTATGCGCCCCAACAGGGAGCGTAAGACGCACAGCAGCTGAAGACCTCAACCAGCCTCAGACCACATCCACACCGTTTCAAGTACAATGAACATTTGAAGCAGTGTGCTGCGGTGAGCCTGTTGTTGTTCGTATCAGCACCATGGGCCTCAGGCGTTTCAAATCTGCCCTTTGGATAGTTATTCTAATTGTTTTTGATGTGCATGGTTGCATGCGGAAACGGTGATACATTAGCTCACTCGTCGCATAGTTTATTCGCAATAATGGACTAAAAAAGAGTTAATCTTGAATTTGATGGTTGCTACATATCCTCAAATGGTAGATGATGCTGGATTATTGGGAACAAGCCATGTTCATGTTCATGATCAGGCACAAAAAGAGCACCTTAAAGAAATGGTTTAAAAATGTTTACATACAGACTGTGGGCATGTAACTAAATTTTCACATTGGCCCCGAATAATTATTCATTTTTTGATGTTGCTGGATTCAAATTAAAGTCAAGCCTCTATTTTCCATAAATAAGTAGCATCATCCTCTTGAAACAATTACAATCTTTTCAACGTTCGGTTGCAAATTAAATGTTGATTCTGCAGATTTTCATACCAGATTCCCTGTTAATGGGGTTTATGTGCACTTGCTCTTTTGTTTGTTTAATTAGCCCGACGCCAGCATATAATGACGGGAGCTAAATATGAGCTCATCTTTCACATTTCACTGCTATGATTAAATCTTGTGTAAACAATGGGTCAAAATTGATGAAACACACAGAATGTAGACAAATGAATGGGTCCCAAACAGAAATGCTAATTTAATTGTTTAAAAATGACCTCATCAGTTTACATTTTTGATACACCTGAATTTCAAGTAGCTGGAGAGGCGTGACAGATTATATAACAGGTGTTTTTCTGAGAAAGAATGCTTTGAGACCCAGTGCCCCCCCCCAACCCGAAAAAAAGAGAAGAAGTGGCATCAGACATTTTGTAGTCAACAGCACAGACTAGTGGTCTCTCTCTGTAACCCCTTTTTTTTGGCTGGAACAATAAATGACATGACTGTCACCATTACAGAAAGGCAATGATTACTTTTATTTTAGTGATGAACAAAGTACAGCAGTTGTAGTAGAACTAATGTCCCGTCTCTGAGGGACCTGACATGCGATGACGACACTCTGCATGCATTTAGTGGAACAGAACTCAAGGAGCTCTTAATGAAATGATTCACGCGGCAGAATAAAAACTTGTAAACAATAGCTGTTGATTACGCAGCCTGGTCCTTCTGGTGTCACTGGGCAGGTGAATTATAACAAATGACACGGTTAAATATTGTGAGTTCCAAAGGTTCGTCATGCACTTCTTTTGACTCTTTTGTAGCTTGCCAGTCACAATCGGTTAGTTTTCTGTTCACCAGGGAGGAATATTCACACCACAGGGGATGCATGTGTCTTATTTTTGCTTCTCTTAGAATCCATCATTCAGTAAATGTGTGGCAACATCTCACGGTATCAAACAGACTGTCACGTTTTCAATTAACACCCACTAAACACTGAACTGACGCTAAAACGGGATTTTGGATTCGTGGCAATCTAAAACCTATGTACCTCATCAAATACTACTAGAAAAAAAAAAGTGGCTAAAAACATTTAACAAAATTGCAGACAAACACTCACCTGACTCATGACCCTCACCACTGAGTGTGCTCGCTGTACCGAAAAGACACACCATGTGCATAGTACAAGTCTGAAAAACAGGTTTACAGCAGGTGCAGTGCAGTGACATGCAAATACAGTAATGAGTACATAAAAAAGTCCAGTCCATTTTTCATACATTCAGCAAATTAGTGCTGAACAAATATGTGAGTGGAAGCATCAAATGTTTTAATCAACGCATTGTCAGTGATCTACATTGATTAGAGACACATTCAGTCACTAAACATATCCCAGAGACGCTAAACATCTTTAGAATAAGCACATTGAAATGTAAGCCAAAAAAAAGGGAGAAAGTTGTTTAATTTGGTGTCGTAAGACCTGAAATAAAACATCAAAAAGCAAAAACAAAAAAGGTGTGAGCTGGATATTAGTCGCGTGGCTAGAAACTGTCCAAATACTATTTAACACCCCAACAGATATGCATAGATTTGTAGAAAAGTCTGCAACAGCACTACGCTTCTGTCTCCCCCTAACCTCAGCAGCAGCCAGCTCTAATGGTTCAGCGATAACTGTAGACTTTTAGATGGAACGTTACATTTTTTTGGTGTGCTGAAATGTGCAGTTTGGAAAATAACGTAAGAAACTCTGAAAAGACGAAAAAACAAACAAAACAAGATGTTCCATCTTCATCACTTTCAATTCCTGTCCGGTTCCATACTGGATGAAACAAACATGTAACGAAGCTCTGTCATAGCCCTGACACCAGAAAACAAAACTCACTATTGTGTTAATCCTACCAAACCTGGAAACATCTCCTACCAAATTTAGATTAAACTTGACTCTCAGAACGACATAATGCAGTTGGGGACGTGTTCATTCCTAACAGGCTTTGTATAAAGGTTTCAACATTTTGCCTCCTTAGCTTTAATCCTCATTTTATTCTGATTCTTTGGTCCAAAAAGACTACACAACAAGTCCTGTTTGCTCCCAGCATTTCCGGACTGTCAACCCACTCTTTCAACATCCTGATTGAACGACCACGCCGCCATCTGACGAAGTCTCTTCTTCAACTCGGCTTTAATTAAAAGTCTGATTCTAGAGTTAGACGTGGCAGGATGTCTTAAACATATGTAGGTACAGTCCAAACTGTTGTGGCACTGGACCTGCATCAGGTTGGTGGTCCAGCAGTCAACCGTATCGCAGCCTAACTGTGCATGTGATCACAATGACTCATTTACAGCTTTGACCAAAAACCGACAGATTCACAGCTCCTCTGCATTCGGTAAGTCACGGTCCAGAACCAAACTGTCCGCAGCTAGATTAGTTTCAAAGTATTAATAAAGCACAAATAAAAAAATCCTTATCAAACACCTATAAAAGACTCAGCAGAAGCACTAGTTTTACTAGAAAAAAATAAAAACAATGGCCATCTAAATGCAGTGATGACAAATGTGGTTGTTCACAAAGCACTATGCAGATCATTTAAAGCTTTAATTTATTGTGATAAATAAGAAACCTGGAGGGAAATGTCCAACTAGGGTGTCGACAAAGATGTGGATCTTTGTAAATAGCTTATACAGTTTTTGCACTGAGAAAATAAATGCGTGCATTCAATTAAGTAAACACATTTCACTTCCCTTTTTTCATTTGGGGTAAAACTGTACATAGACGTCACTGAATTATGTTACAAAATTGGGCATCGCTACTCTGAGGCAGAGTCAACCAGACAATCTTTACATCCCAGACATTCTCCCCTAAAGAGAATGTCGATGGTGGCGGTGAGGACAACCTGGCTTCCACCTCAGCCACCACCACCTCCTCCACCCGCGCCCTGTGTACCTGAAAGTATTGTCAAGTAACAATAAGAACCAATACAAGAGGCTAAACTACGTTAAAACCAAAATCTGTACAGTTGCAGCCTGAGACGAAGCATGCCGGGAATATAAATGCATGCAGGGTGGGCGAGTGGAAAGGGGTTTAGGGGAAAAAGGGTGACATTTCAAGGTTCATGGGGATCAACCCCTGGAAGGTTCACATGACCGTCACAATCCCACAAATCCAAAGTAAGCTGTACAAGATCAGACAATAGAAGGTAAGTTAAGAAATGGTAGTCAAAGTGCCTTAGATTGTTAATATTCTCACTTCTTTTTAGCATCTTCCACACTTGTCCACCTCCCAAAATAACATTTGTGGGTGTAGGCTGCCAGTTTAAAAACTGAGTAAAGGGCTGTCGTGCTGTGTGGTTGCAGGCAGGAAGATACCACCAGCGTGCATATTAAAGCATCTGTGTCAGGAGAGAGCCTCATCCTCTCCCACGTAGGGCAGTTCCATACTTTTCTGACCGTCCCCGCTCTCCTGCTTCCTGAAAAGCACATCACATAGACAGAATGAGTTCCGCCCTCCAGCCAAATGCGATGGCGCTAAGCCCTGTGTGGGATACACAAGCAACTATTTCACAGATGTGCAACGCAAGGCAGAGCATGATGAACCTCATTTCCACAGAATAGTATTTAAGGAAACAGGGGGCAACTCAGGGGAAGGAAAAAAAAAGGTTTATTAAAAAAGGTTATTAATCATGAAGAAACATAAAAAATTACAAACATGTCCTTTTATTTTATGTGGAAAAAAAGAGGCTCATGCAAATAGTTGGTAACAATTAATCAACGCAAAGAGGTGATCTTTGCTCATGGTGTGCAAATAGAAACGATGAGTTTATTCTTTCTTTACAATGCCAGGGAGTGTGCACTCTGTTGTGTCATGTGGAAACTCCTCATTCGAAAAAGAGATCAAAACAGCATTAAAAGAAATGAAGGCATAAAGTTTAAATTAATCCTAATTATATCTAATTGAACAGATGCCTGAAAGGAGTCACGCTCGCTGTAACCCAGGATATAATACAGTATTTCTTTTGTTGATTGTTGGCGCCTTCCTTGACTAGGGAAAACTTCTTTTCATTGGCTATGAATTGGACCAATTTGGAATTGATTTCCTTTTTACGTGAAGAGCATTCACATGACACTGTTGAGAATAGGTGCTACATGAGTAAAACTGAATTGAATTCGATTTTAGCCCGATTTAAACTATCTTAAGTGAGTCAATTTTGTCTTTCATGGAATCTTTTTCAGTAATTGATCAAATGGTTGCATGGATCTGTTGCACTGCACAGCACATGCTTGACAAAAAAAGAAACCTCATCCGTACAATTCACACACAAAAAAAAGTATAATAATAATATGGGAATAGAGCAAAGCACAACATTCCAAAAGATGGTTTGTCCAAACACCTCTAAAGTAGCACAGGCAAGTTCTCAAATTTGATGCACATAGGTGGACCATCACAGCCATGTTGGGGCAAAAAAGCTATAAATATATATATGTATGTATATATCATGCCAAGGGTAGTGAAGTATCCTCTGTACCACTTAAACCAGGCAAGGCTTGTCCTACTTTATTTACCTTTTTTGGTTACAATGAATGTAGCAGTATCTCACATTGCCTGCTCTGCCTTTCCTGCGGGGCAGGGGAGGGGGAGAGAAATGATAAAAGTCTTCTGAGAGTCTCTTGAAAGGCATTGGCTGGCTAAACTGATCATATCTGGAGAGCTAAAGGCTCGAGCAGCTCAAGGAAAGAACACGCGGCGATCGCAAGTGTTTGTAGTTTGTAGGCAATCCTTACGTGAGCATCTGTCCTCGGGCGCACAAACTGCTGCGCTCCTCTTTCCGGCCCCAGTCAAAGGGGTTACCAAAAGAGCGCTTCCTCAACATAGTACGCACCAGGATCTGCGAAAGTGAGTGTTAAGAAATACAACTAATAAAAGACATGTTTAGATATATCCAAAATTTGATCCTTAATTTTTAATAACAATACAGTAACAAGACACCTCCTTTTCAATAACTTTGAAGGCCTCGTCAACTCAGCCTTTGTGCATCTTAAGTGCAATGATGCCCTTTTGTCTTAAGAATTTTAAAGCTACAATGAGCTAGTTACATACAAGAAACAAAATGGTCATACAAGTGGATCTCTGTAAGCAAACCCTAACAAACCCTAAAAGAAGAGACTAAGCTCTGCAATATGGTGTGCTTACAAACATCATCTAATATGTTGCACTCGTGCAGCAGGGCAATGCTACAGAAAAAGATCAATTCTAAAAAATATTCTTCACATACCTCGTAAAATGCCTAATTAAGATTCCTACCGGAAGAAACTTACAAGTGAGCCCCTTTGTGATCGTTAAATGGTTTATAGAGGGAAAATATGCTATGGTTCTTTGTGTTTGGAAACTCACCACTGTTGCCAGGCTGGGAATGTGTTTAACAGAGTTCTCCACTTCCTCCTCGGTGACCTCAATCAGCATGCTGCAATTGTCATCCTCAAGGGGGAGAGGCTCAGCGCCATGCCGTGTGACCCACGGGTGCACCTGAACACGTCAGATATGCACACAAAGTTATCTTCACTATAACAACAAGGATTATTTATACAAGACAAAGAGTCCACAGGCAGAAGGATCTTTAGTCAGATCTGTCATTTAACTTCTTTGATGTATCCATTCATTTTAGCTGGGTAATTTTCCCACATCTTTCTAAAGCTGTTTTGCACTTACTGCACGGTTTAGTTTTTCAAATGCAAGGGAGGACACCCCTTTCACCACCTTATCCACATAAATCGCTTTGCTTTGAAACAGCCACATCTTAACGAGGGAATGAGCTTTGCAGCGTGCTGAGAAATGAGCAGGGTTTATATGCAGTGTGCAGCTTTACCTCTGAAGGGATATCTGTAGCAGTGGGTTTCACACAGCTGACATTAATGGAGCCTCTAAGGAATCTTTCTGAAATGTTATAAAGTCTCTAAACCATTTTTTTTTTTTTAAAGAATGTCATATCTTCAAACCAGCTGGACTGAGGTTGTTACTTTTCCTCTTTATATAATCCAGTTAATTATTCAAATCTTTGCCAGTCTACAGTTTAAGCCCTCCATCTGCCAACAGCAAATTTATGATGAAAACATAAAGAGAAAAACTGAACCCTATAGTGGATTTTGTCAAAGACCGTGAGTTCTTTTCTCATTTCAGCACGAGTAAAACTGAATAGCATTTTGCTACAATAACCAGAGGTGGCAAGAACAAAACCAAAAAGGGGATATCAATATTGCACTCATTTTATTGCATCTTAAAATGAAGATGAGCATCCATCTGGTCTGATATTTACCGAGCGCACAATTATAATAATAAAAAAAGACATTACTGCCTCATCTGAGTAATTGGCTGTGCTGACCTTTATCTGTGGCACTGAAATCCTGGTCTCTGGATCCTTGTCCAGCATTTTTAAAAACAAATCTTTGAGATCATCTGATATGTCGGCACTGTGGGGATAAGGGAAAAAAACTGCCGCAGATTAAACAGGGTAATAAAATTCAAACAAGTGATGGAAAATAAGCAAAATACACATTAAACTTTATGGGAGGCAAAGCTTACCGGTCTGGTATCACAACAGGTTGTGTCTTGATTTTTTGATGGAGACTTAGAATACGCTCATCCATGAATGGACACTTTGAATACAAGAAATGTGTTAGCTTTAACAGAATACTACCAAACAGAACAATTTCTATTACTTCACAACAACTAAAAGTATTTATCTATTCAATTTTGCCAAGTCACACACTCACCACTCCAAAGACGAAGCAGTAAAGTGTTACCCCCATGGCCCAAACATCCAAAGCCTTAAGGAAACAAAGAAAAAACAAGACACATATTTAGTAAAACTCCATTCATGGCTGTTGATAGCATACTGCAATACTAAATGTGAACATGTAAAATGGGCGAAAAGTAATTGCAATCACAATCACAGGCTCTTGTGTCCAAGAAAACCATCCGCAGATGGCAGTAGCAAGCTAAATGCTGCTTCACCTTCCCAGAGAAATTCTTTCTGGTTTCAGAGAGCGTTTCAGGAGCAAGGAAAGCTGGGGTTCCCACTGTGCTGGTCAGGAGGGCATCAGCTCCCTCGAACTGGTTACTAACTCCAAAGTCAGCGATCTTGATGTGTCCATCCTCTCCCACCAACAGGTTGGAAGGTTTAATGTCCCTGTGGATGATCCTCTGGTAATGTACTGTTAAAAAAAGCATCATTACATTAACACCGTTCCCTTTTGTGAAATCTGTATTATTCCACTAATGGAAAGAAATGAATGTTCTTTATTTTTCTGTGTGTATAGAAGGAATTGTGCAGTATCAGCTGGGAGCTGTGAGGAAGAATTCCTAGCAGTGCTGATGACAGAAAAATGGTTAAACATTTTCTCATTTGATCCAGTAAAAATCTCAAAGAGCTATTGCAGCAGATATGAAACTGGGAAAAAAATTATGCAGGTTAATTAGTTTGATCTCCCTCTCTCTCTCTCTTATTTTTAAACAGTACTACGACTGAATATAAGCATTTGTTTTTTCTTTGTGTACAATTACTAGAATGAATCTTGGCTATTTCTTTAGTCCTTGATTCAGAGCCCTCCCTCTGCTGTAACCAGTTCCCGTCTCCTAGACGACACTTGAGTGAAATGTCCTCTTCTGCGCTGAAACACATTAAGAGTCTGTGAGATTATGTGAAATGAGCCCGGTGGGTGGCTAAAGTCAAGAACAGCTTAGCTTAAGGGCTTGTGTAAATAGCAGGAAAAGAGCAGAGCTCAGTAAGACTGAGGGCTTCTTATTGTTTACGCAGTCGTACGGTTATCTTTAATAAACTCTCAAGCAGAAACGGGGGTCTTAAAACAGTTAGAAGACCTTTCAGTGAAACGAGTTAGATTGGGATCAAACCCTTTTCCGTCTGATTTGAATATTCGTCTTGTATTCGATGCGACAAAACTGAAGTGGGACAACTTAAAGACTATGTGCTTCTGGCTCATTTGGATGCATACTGGCATTTGATTAACTCATTCCTAGGCCTGAAACTGCCCTGGAGTGCCAGAGGGCTAAGATGTCACAGTTAGCAACTCTGGTTTCCAGCTCATCTTAAAAAATAAACGACTTAGACACACATCTTGATAACAACGTACTTTGCCCTCAGTAAATATAGTTAAAAATAGAAATGAAGGTTTTTTGTGTTGCATTTGATTCACTTTGACAAAGAATTGTCATCTCCAAATGTCATAGTATATAAATATTTGCATTCTTGTTCTTGTAAGGTCACATGACCTCCCGTTGATGCTTGAAATGCCAGCATATTTGGCAAACTTCTGTGTATGTGCAGGACTCAGATGGAGTTTTTTTTTTTGCAACAGTGCTAAAACTGCAGAGGGAGCCCAAGGGCAGAAAAAAGGACAATTTAAATGGATAAGAAAATTTCTCAGAGCTATTAAACCCACCAACTTCATTATCTCAACTCATTCAATAAGAACAAAAAAAAGACAGCTGAGAGGGGAGGCAATGTGTGGGGTTTGTGGGAAACTCACAGTACTCAATTCCCCTGAGCAGATCCTGAAAGTAAAACCGGGCCTGGTCCTCACTGAATGGTTTATCTGTTGGGACTTCCATCACAGCCCTGAAAACACACAAAGGCCCGTTAACAAACACACACACATACACATACACACATAGTCAATTAGTAGTCACATCTAATGAGACTGAGATGATTCCAGTGCCATAATCATTACCATAAAAGAGGCTTAACTTACCCTTGCTTCACCAGCTCAAACACTGTGCAAAACACAGATGGGATTAGTGAGGAAAGAGTTTAAGTAGCCGAGACACAAACAAACTAGAAAACAACATCCTTTAAGGTGAAACTTCAAAGGCCATCTTATAGGCTTCATTTGCCTGAGTTACAGCATTATGTTTGTCATTCTGCAATTTGTCTGCCTGTCCACAACGTACCCATGTACAGATGGTCCTCACTGGGGTCGTCCAAAACCTGGCACCAAATCACAGAGGAATAGAAGTAAGCACAAATGCCTTTCTGTGATTTTAACACGAATAAGTGAGAGCATGGCAGATGCAACTGGGTTCAAGTATAACAAAGTGTCTTATGTGAGAATTTTCAAAAACCCTTTTAGGTGCGCGTGTTTCTAGAATGTGTGTTCAAAGCACTGTGTTCTTTATAAAGTCTTTTATGGAACCAGTTTGAGCCTTTATACATCCTTAACTCTGCCCACTCTGCCAAAACAGAAGATTTTCAATGTACACACTTCCCCGGTCTTAATTATTACCCACCTCTACTAGTTTGACAACATTAGGATGGTCTAGCTTTTTAAGGATGGCAATCTCTTGATAAACGCGCTCCAGTGGCCCCTTTAGCTGAGCAGGGCCTTCGGGGACCACTCTGGCACCACGAGGAGGCGGCCTTCCTAAAAGAGGAGAGGAAAAAAAAGACGATTGGTAAGAGAGAGGAGGAGGGACCCAAAAAAAAGTGGGTTTAGATAGCGGTGCTCAGCACTGCAGTATTAATGGCACATTAGTATTTGCTCTTCACTGTGATAACCATCTGCATCTGACTTACGTGGGAATCCTGCTTGCCTCATCAGCCTCTTCTTGGACAGCACTTTCATCGCCTACATGATGGAGGGGAAGTGGAAAGGATTGAAAGGCAATGAAAAAAAGAGGAGAGGGAGGGACAGTCCGACATGCAAGAGATCCAAAGACAAAAACAAACAGAGGCAAAAGAAAAGTTAAATGTTGTACGTGTGACAGCCCAGTCACTCACACACCCACAGATAACCATGCCCATGAATCTATAAATATCTCTATTATTGACAATAATTTCATATTAGAGACAAAATACGTCAAAAGCTGGACTTGCAAGGCAAATAAGTGGAACATAGGTTTGCCTCCACAAACTGAGGGCTAAGTCAAATGGAGAGAACAGCTATACAGTTTGGAGGTCAGTTATTGTGTCAACAAAATAATCACTAGATGTGACATGTGGGCTGTGTCACTTGGGAGAAGACTAAAATAATCCTCATTCCATTGTCAGTCACTATTAGGCAGCCTAATGAGAAGTGCTGCAATAATTATGAACTGCAAACAGAACGGCTCGACCGGATATGTTTTACATTACACTGTGAGCTCAAATATCAGGAGCTTATTTTCACAAGAGGCTCCTGCAAATAAATTCACACCAATAATTGAGACGTGGCCATTTTTTTGTTGTTGTTGTGAGGTTAGATTGTGGGTGTGTGATGAGAGTCAGGAGACGAGGCAGCTTTAATAACTGGGATCCTGGGCTCCTGGGCACAAGGAAAACTCACATAGTACGTGTTGTCATCCTCATTGTAAGCCAGCTTGACAACACCGTAGGAGCCCTGGGTGGAAGAAATCAGAAGCCAGTGAGGAGAAGTGAAGCCGGGCAAATAAATAAGTACTTTAAATCACAACATTCAACATGCTGAAAACAAACATTCAAAATGTAGATGAATACACACAAGAGGGAGGCACAAACATTTACGCACACGCGGGAAGTGAGTGGGCTGACGGTGTTCACTGAAAGTGTACCAGCTGCTTCAAAGTGACAACAGAGAAATTCAAATCATCGCTCCCCCTTGCTTGCATTTTTTTTTCATTTCAGGCTAATTAAGGAAACTGGATCTTGTTTATGCTTTCGGCCCCCCTGTGCCTACACACAGGAAATTCAGGAGAAAAAGTAAGCCCAATTAGAAGCCTTTGCAGACAAGTTCATGCACCAAAAAAATAGAGGAAACAAACACTGAGAGGAGGGGGGGGGCAGGATCGGTTCCTGCTGGGGAAGCAGATTGCAGCTCAGAGAGGCAGCACAGAGCTGCTTCTACAGTCCAAGAGATGATCTGATAACAAGAGACTCTCCAACTACCCTGAAAGCCTTTAATTGTCTCCACTGGGCTCAAAACCACACACATTAACATGTCTATCTACTACATGTAAAGAAAATCACACACTCTCATTCTGTCTTGCAAATTCAAGTCTCCAATAGCGACATGCACACACACTCGCGGCCACATACACATGTATCCACTAAGCCTAGCACAACCCTTAGAGAGCGCTATTTATACCAGCCTCTCATCCATCTTCCAACTCTCTCATGGCCCGGTGGTTTACACAGAGTTTAGGAAATGAGGACAGCTGGGAGAGGGGATATCAGAGGCTGTTACTGCATGTCCTTGATGATGAGCACTACTCGACAGACATGTAGTAGGTGGAGAGGAGAAGAAAATGGAAGTCGGTGAAATGGAGCAATCAGTGAGTTGCCTTTGATGGTACCTTTCCAATCTCATCTTTCAGTTTGTACTGGTTGAGCTGAACACAGTCCTTGAGGAGAGAAAGAGGAAAGCAAAAAAGAGGAGAAAGTGGTCACAGTTACATATTCTGGATGGGCTGCACCATAATTCTGCATGTACCTACATCACTAATACAAAAAAAAAAACGTTTTTTATATAAACCAATGTGCCCCCAGATGTGTGCACTGGATAATTATCTTAACAAATGTTCTTTGAACTGTTCAACAGACACCAGTAAATGTACATTATGCGTTGTGGAAGCAGCTTTTACAATTGTAGTCGACTGCATCTTATTTTAAAGTGGAAATCAATTCCTCAATAATTTTTTTAGTGCTTGCATTTTTTTATGACGGTTTTATTTAAGAAAATGTGAATCAACATTGAAAGAAATCTCCAACCAAATCACCCTCTATTATCTATAGCATTGTGATACAGGAAATCAAATAAATTCCTAAAAGACACTACTGAACCTACATCTACTTCTTACCAGGGCTTAACACGGCTAATATCTACATTCACTGAGACTATCACACTTACCTTTGCATCCACAAAGCCTGGTCTTTACCAGAAAACTGCTGCTTTCAAGACAAATGCACATGTAGTTCTGCTTACTTTGTGTCTGATATTGTGATATACAGAAACAGATGTCAAAGAGGAGCAACTCGCAGCCTGGCTCTTTGTCAGCTTAAGTTAATCCACTCATGTGTGGTGTTTTATGTAATGCTCCTGACTTTAAGGAAAATTAGAGTGATATGTTTTATACTAGATAACATAATCACAATGACAACTGCAATGCTAATGTCTAATAAATATGTCATTTCCTGTCATTTTTTCATGTGATCAGTGACAAACAAAGCTAACAAAACACAGAAGCTACATCAAATGCATAAATAGTGAATTGCCAACATAAACTAACTGGTGTTAACAATTTAACCAATCATTTTTTTTATTATTTGGGAGCGAAGGAGTAAAAACAGCTTCATGTGTTTTCAGAGTGTTATCGTCCCAGCCTTAAGGCTTTTCCATACCTGGAGATCTGTGATGGACACACTGTGGGACTCCACGGTGGGGCGGCGGGGCAGGCGTGGGGAGGAGTGGGGTGATGTGATTGGGGAGTAAGGCAGTGACGGGTAGATATAGCGACCGTTGAGTCCCGGTGAGCTGCAGGGGGATGTGGCGGTGTGCGACCGCTCCTGCAGCGAGAGCTTCCGGTCAGAGAGGCTCAATCTGCCCCTTTGCTCTTGGCTCTCCGGCAGCAGAGCCTCCGGCCGGCCGACCGTGTGGGACAGCAGGTCACAGGAGGGGGTCCGGAGGGGGGCTGCTGCCGTGGAGGAAGTTGGCTCAGGCGTCTCAGAACTGTCCATTTCTTCTACCTGATGTTGCACATAGAATAGTTTTTATTTCCCATTTTCATAGAAATGTATTTAATATTAACATTTAATAATTTTCAGTTTGTATTTCTTTTTTGGCAATCAGTTTACAACAATATGATGTTAGGGAATAGGGTCATTTATCAAATTAAATATTCCTGAGCTGTACCAAATACAAATATTTCCAAATGAACTCATGGCAAAGTTAGAAATCTTATTCTGTACACACACACTGTGTGGAGTTACCCGAGTGTTTAACCCTACCTCCTCCTCCCCGGCCTTCCCCTCCCCTGGTGGTCTGCTGGGTTCATACTCCGTGACCACAATGAGGGACTCCATGGGGTCAGGGGAGGGTGTCTCAGAGTGGGCGTTTAAAGGTGCAGCGGGACAGCTGCACAGCAGATCGGGCAGAGGCTGTGAGGGATGCACTGGGGGTGCATGACTGCCGCAGGACGCCGGGGGCTCAGCAGAAGGCCAAGGGGAAACATGACATGGGAACATGATGTCTCCTCACAAGGAATGCCAACCACTGCTCCATCAGATGGGAAGTTCAGCAGGAATTATGCCTAGGATACGAAAGAAGACTGAAGATTAGCTAAATACAAGACATGATACAAAGGACATTCAGAAAGCTCTTTGCAGTACAAGGTGTATTTTATTTGTTCCAACGTACTGATGAAAAAAAACCTGTAGGAGGGAAATGCATCATCAGGTATGTGATAGAGTCCAAATGTGTGTCTACTGCAGACTTTTAAACAACCGAGCATGGAACAGGAGGAGGGCCGCGATGTGAAGCGATCACAGATTTTTAGAATACTACACACCTACACTGTGCTGCTGTTTGCTCATCCTGTAACACACGACTGAGGGGGCTGCTTTTGTTTGTCAAAATGCTATTTCTTTTTCTCTTTTTTTAAGGGATCATCTGGTCTGTGTACTGTTAAATGATAGATACCCTGAAAGGCATGTCCTTGTTAGGGTATTATCCAGACTCTGATTTACTCTGACAGAAAAGCCACCACCGATGAGTGACTATCAGAGCCATCTTCCCCTTTTAAGGGCACATCACTTTCAGCATGTTCATCTCTTTCTAAATAAAAAGCCTGTTATTGAGCTCACCAAAAATGTTGGACATGATTCATGCTCAACTGACATGCACAGTACAGAGTCCCTTGGTAAAAAAACAAACAAAAAAACAGTATGCAGTACTCCGCCTAAGCTTGGACACAACATCTTAGCCAAATCCCATTCACATGCAGCTTAGAAGTTTAAATTAGTCTGATTCAGGACTCTTTTTTTACTTGAATTCCGACCCTGTTCTCTCCATGACTACTTTAAACCACATCTTGATAAACCTGTAAAAAGAACATCCTTCCTACGCTAACAGTGATTGCGAAAGCATGCAGACAGAGTTTTCAACAAGCAGCATGGATACACTACAGCATATACACCCTGTTTAAATGACAAAATGCACAAAAACATGGAGATCGGGTTACACACAGGTTTTGCGCATGGCCGTATCACATATCCTACATTATCTATGCAGGAAGAATCCGACAGCCCAACAGGATGAATAATAATTATCTGTTTAGTATCCAATCATTTATTGTGTGTTATAGAGCAGTATTAATACTGTATGTCCATGAAAAGGTTTATTAACATACAAAGACAGGTGCAAACTAGCTGGTGGGTGTCATGGAATTGTGTGGGAGACACAATTCACTAGCTATTCACTAACACTGAAACATAAGCAGACATAGCTCTTTCCATATGAAACCTCCGTGGAGCCTTGACTTTTCCCACACATTCTGGTACGTGTTAATCAATTCATGCAAACACGTCTAGTATCAGAATTTTCAGCTCTGGTAAGTAGATACAGCGTGAAGCTTCCATGAAATCAGTGCTTAAGTATGCTGTCTACCTCCATCATACAACACAAACGCCTGTTATGCCACTTTCATTTTTAAGCCCCCATAACTTTTTATCTGCTTGTTGTCAAAGGTACAAACATAAAAAACAGCAGAAAGGGGAAGAAATTGAGGATTTTATTTTTTAGAGAATTTTTGTTTGAGGGAAAAATCACAGACGCAGAAAAACAAAAGAAAGTGAAAAGGGTACAGGAGACTGTGGGTGCTTGAGCCAAGTGTAAAATATGTGGGAAGAGACACCCACACCAGATGGCCTCACAAGCCTATGCGCGGTGATGTAAACCAGCAAGAGGGAGAATAACTGCTTTCATGGGCAGCAGCGCCCATCTTTCCTGTGCCTGCCTCCACCATTCAGCTCTATCCATGCTAGTCAGAACGTCATTACCAAAGTCACGTTTTTTTTAAAATGACCTCTTCACTGTTAACACAGAACAGTGCTCTCCAAAACAGGTTTCAAGTACAATATCTTTCACCAACTATTCTGACAGAAGAAGACCACTTACCATGCCTGACCTACTTTGATAAAACGTCAAATAACATATCAAATCCTGGCTCCATTCACACGAAAACTGAGGCTCCTGCAGGTTTTGGATTAGCTGTCTTTCGGTCAGGCAGATTGCAGTTTGTCGTTTACTTGCTGGATGTGAGGTATAGCATGCTGGCCAGCCGGATCAGCAGTGCTGTGGTGAGCAGCTGACTGAGCTCATGCTCCTATCTGCCTGTCAGAAGCCATTATTTGAGAAGGGGCTCTCAGAGAAAATAAAACGCCTTCTTACTCTCAAGATTACAGAAATCCTATTTGTTTATCTCTGACAAAACTACCACAGGAGCCCTGCTAATAGGTCTAATTTAAATCTAAAAGTAATCCATTGGTTAAATAAAACAGATTAGATATCAAATTCAGCTGAACAACAGCTATGGCAATAAAGACACAAACATTTAGACGGAGAAGCAGGCAATCGTGAAAAAATGCTGGTTAAAAGTTGTAACTTTACTGATCAAAGCAGCACCATGAAGAACAAAGACTTAGATTTCAGCCTTGTGAAATGCCAACAAATGCTGCCCAGCTCCAGATGCTCCGCAGCGCCTCTTATTACACGTCACATGATCTGACCTTCACAATCTGGACAGGAAGACGAGGATGGGCTGGACTTAGAGCCTGTGGGGGGTCTGGGGCATGTACATTTTTAATAGCAACACAGACATGGTCAAACAGACATACCAGCACAACACTGGGCCATCTGGAGCAGAGGAGGATCGCCATGATACACAAGAAATAAAAAGAGAAAAGAATACTGGGCATAACGCCGCATCACTAAACTAAACCACAAAAATACTGATGACATTGAGAATACTGCTAAGATTATTCTTTTCAATGAATAACCAAACAGGAAAGAATGTGTTACAGCATTCTCCACTTGAATGAGCAGAACAAATATCCAGCAGTTTTTGTTCAACAATGATGTTAACAAGTCTAGTCAAATGTATTTATGTTTTCCAGGAGAATGTAAAAGCTTTATTAAATATGGGGTGAGAAATTACCTACAGGGGCTTAATTACGCAATCAAAATGAAATATAAACATTAAATGATTACAATAAAAATAAAGTTACAATTATTAAGCAAAATGTAGTATTGTGTTCATTGTCATTTTGTGTTGATGTACATCTTTTTAAATCTTCTTTTGATTGATTTCCCACGGCCATTAAACAAACTGGTTGGAGTGTATTTATCTAAACCAGAGAGCAGAGACCAAATATAAAGCTGAGGCTCTAAACAATATTCTATATTCCAGGAAGGCTCTGGCTCAGCTTAAGGAAAAAAATAATACTCAAAGCGTTCTTACCTTTCTTTTGGCGTAGATCATTATAAGATATGGACTGCCGAGTTTAGATGTATGGCTTATGGCTTTTTAAGCTTCATCATATGTTCAAACGTTTTCATTTAACAATAACCCATCTACACTGGTTCTTAGAGAATAATGCCTGGTAAGGAGCAGAATGTGCGAAAGCCTCTCAGATTACACAGACAGGAGGATGTGCAGTCTGTCTTTGTCACCACGCCGCTTTATTCATACGGTGTTGGCATTCTTTTCCCACATGATCTTAGATGCTGGTGTCATTTCTGCCTTGTGACTTGGACAGCGTTGCTCTACGGGGGATGAAGGTCTTAACGTCAGATAACGAGACCGTGCGGCTGCCCACGACATGACAAACGATTGTTGACATCGACCAGTTTCACTTGACCGCGCGGCTACAATGGTCGGGTTTAGCTGTTCTGGTCCAGTAACTGGCTAACTTGCGCCCAAACAACTTTAGAGCCTTAGAAATGAACGCTGTCACCAAGTTAACTAAGTGGGAACGTCGTCTTGAGGTCCCACAAAGCTAACTCAGCCCCTGAGCTTCAAAGTCAAGCAGCTCAGCTAACATTAGCAGCTGTCTCATCTGTCAAGATACAGATGTTGTGGATGAAAGCGTCAAGGATGCTAGTACGCCTCCAACCTGAACAGCCCACGGCTTAGTAGTGGACCTCGTAGGATATCATAGCAAAAAAAAAAAATTGTCAACACTTACCTTTATGCGTTATTTATGCCAGAAAGTCAGAATTATGAGGGGTGCCTCTCCAGCTGTGGTGCGAGCACCGTCTGTCTGCTAGCTAGCGGAGACAGTAGCAGACCGATAACCGATGCTGTCATTGGCCAATGAGCACGAAGGTTCCCCGTTTCATGTCAAGGAAGTGTGCAGGTCACATTCACCATGCGTTTACCAAAATGCTCACGAAAAAAAAATCTTCCATCCGCGATGTCTGCTGCCTATCGTTTCCCCTCTACGTATTTCTCACTCCAACTGAACACCCAATGTTTTTTTGTTTTTTTTAAATCAAAGGCTTCATGTAGAAGTAGCTCCCCCTGGTGGCCTACATGAGAAATTGATAAACACATTTTTGGTTTTACCTTAGTTCGGTTTCTTTACATTGTCTTTCATTTGAAAGCTCTTACAAAGATTAAGCTCATTTTCTAAAACAAATGAAAGATACACATCAATGTCAACATTGACTGATCCCCAAAACAGCCACAGTTGTATCCGTTTTGAAAGTTTAAATGGCAAAAGAACAAACAGACAAACCACGATGTACTATTGAATACTTACCTACATTTAATGGCTTTAAATCAGTACTACACCAGTCCACTTATTTCTTTTCATCCATTTAAAATTATGCAGTCAAGCCATGTGAAATGGTAACTGAATAACAAGCAGAGAAAAAATATAAACATGAAACTGTTTATTTTAGTTTAAAAAAAAAAAAAATCCAAAGAACAAAATGAAAAGCAAAGCACAAAACTGCAAAGAATACTCAAGTTACTTTAATCCAAAGATGACAATTATAAAACAAGAACAGAAAATTATCGCCTCTTCTGGAAGATGTTGCCTCTTCCAATTCCACCACGTCCTCGACCTCTTGCTGCCACTAGAAAAAAAAGGGGGGGAAAAAGTATCCTCAGTATCATTTAAATCTTTCCTTTATTGTTGGATTTCCAGGAACAAAGATCAAATTCATACAACAGTTTGCCTTGTCTTAATATACATGCAGACAGTGATCCAAAGAATTCCTCGCTCACCTTGGGCTTTAAGAATGGCTGCCTTGCCCCGTCCTGCACCAGATCCCTGGTTCTTGTTCTTCATACTCTTTAACATAGGGGCATTTTTTAACATGTCCGGTAATATCAGGAAGCGAATCTTGCTGCCACGAATGTAGACTTGCTCCAACTGTGCAACCCGGCCATCACGATAGGTCACTGTGATATTGGACATCTTTGGGAGTAAGAAAATATAAAGGTAAGGTCAAGCAAAACCTTCTGCAAAGATAATCTTTTAAAAGCTTGGATAAAAACAGTGTTCATGACTTTGGATAGAGATGCATAGTTTGGATAGAAAGGTTTATCTGGACTACCAAATAAATTTTACAATGCACATGCATTTCAAACAGGTTTTCTTTAATACACTGCCACACATCAACTAAAAATGCAAGAGAAAAGAGGGTAATTTGATGCTTAAATACCATTACATTTTCTCAAATTTACTTAAGATCCATGGGAATGTAGAAGTTGTTCAAGTTCCTAAGATGAAAAAATGTGGATAGGAAAACTTGCTAATTATCTGCATTTGTTTGATTTTAAGGCTTATCTGAGGAACCTACCTGGCAGTTCATGTTATCCTCTGCTTCGATCAGCTTGCCCCTGTACACCTCTCCAGTGTTGGTCTCACAGGTCACAATGTGTCCCTCTGCTTCATGCAGGACTTTGATTGGTACCCCGATTGACATGTTTCAATACTCTTCCTAAAACACAAAATCACAACATACATTACAAGGCTTTGCGTTACATTAGCCCAGCAACACAGACATAGACAAATCCAAAGCATAATCCTTAACCAGTTAAATAACTTAATTGCATTAATACTCAATAAATCCAATAAAATACAAGCAATTTATTAATTAGGCGTTTACACATCCTATTCTTCGAAATACTGTGCTAAATGTATACAAATAATCCCTGGTGTGGAGTAAGACCCCGCCTCAGCTTTCGTACAAACTTGATGCTATCCTAATAAACCTTAGCTGTTAGCTTAGCAGCATTGCTAGTTCGGCTAAATCAACGATTGCTCCTTCAGTGGTCAAGGTGTTAAATAACTGGACAAACACATTTCACGGGTCATGAACCAAGATAACCCTTAAATGGCGTGTACATCTATTATTTACTTCAAGACCAAAGTATTTACCTAATAAAAGCCTTGAGTTCGGCAAGTAACACGGAGCCTTATTGTTGAATGAACGAATTTACTTAAACATTCATAATGGCTTTGGTAACAACAAAAAAAGTCATACTATCATCACAACCAAGCACATATATATATGTTTGTTGTTTTTTCTTTACCTCACCCCGTTGCTGAAAGCAGTTTTCTGTTAATTTATTTCTTCTTGAGCTACTCCGCAACGTGCACTTGTCGCTTTCGCGTACCTTTTTGAGCCCTTTTTCCGCCTACCCACAATGCAACCGTGGGTCAACCGAGTGCTTCCGGTTGTGTGATCTGCAAAGCATTATGGGATCAGTATTTTGAGACATTGTTTTACACATTATCCACTACAGCGGTTCTTGGCCATTTGTTGATCCTCAGAACTAAAGTTTTACCTACTTTTTGAACTGATAAATAAATAACAGTCACCATTCAAGCAAATGTCTCCTACTTTATATGTTGTTTATTTCAGGTAATCCATCAATCATTGCTTATATTTTGCCCATTGCTTAAAGAAAGTTTTCATTTAGTTCTGAGATAATAAGTATTTTAAGTAAGATTCCACAAGAAACACTGTTTGATATCCTATTTAATCGGTGCTTTCAAAATTAATTTTCTTTCTTTGTAAACATGCCTCTAAGTGAGCATAAACAACTTTGAAATACAAAATCAAATGAGTGTTTCTACCTATAATTTGTTACTTTTCCTTTTAAAAAATTACTCAGATTTGATTTTTCAGGAGCCAGATTAGTAAACAAACAGCACAGAACAAAAATAATATCAAAATAATTGTATAGTTTAATTCATTTTAGTACATGACCACAAAGTGTAATAAGTAACCAATATGCATATAAAAAAAACATTTTCCGTATCAAATACATGTGTTTAATCCTGGAGACACGTCTCTGAGAGTGATACTAGGCACATAAAAGTTGCCTAATGTGGATCTTTCCCACAGTAGAGGGGCTTTTTAATGAGGAAAGAGAAGGCATAATGGGATAATAAAAGACATCATCAAATGAACTTTCATATGATTTCCATTGCGTTAAGTTTATTGACTGGCGTCAGACGCCAGTCCACTCTGTAAACACCACTTGCTGAGTAGACTATGATCATGAGTATGCTCTTTACATGTTTGTGTGTGCACATGTGAGTGTGTTTATGTAAGCTGGCTTGACTGAAAGTAGATTCAACCCAGGCATGTGAAGTAGTATTTGCAAAGGTCAAACAACCCTTTTGTTTGGGTGGTTGGTAACTCACCTATCGACAAGGATGCACTTGATTTGAGCTGCTTAAAAGATGAATTAACAACAGTTATATGCTCCATGGCAATTATCAAATTGAAGATCAAGCATTCACTGTAGCAACTGGATGTCTGGTTTTTATTCTAAACTTCCGTTTGGAAAACATCTCACCGCCTGTTGCTTTGCTGAAATAAAATGTCCCACTGAGGACATAAGATTTGCTTGTCTTTGCTGTCTTTTCTCTTTTTATTTTTTGGAAAAAAGATGGTAATACTGAGCTGATGCTAAATTCCTGGTTTCTTCCTTACAAAGTGAAAATAGTCACCAAATATGATTGTCAATTCATGCAAAGATCAGATTTAACTTCTCACAGAGTGGAAAGAAGTCAAATTTGTTTTCTTCCATATGGTTCTCCCATCTCCAGAAAGGAGGTCTGGATCTGACATCGAGATACCATTAATTTTGGATGCCTTTCTGAAAAAGGCTATTCAATTCCAATTACTCAGGTTTGCAATATGTAGAGATGAATTACTCTAAATTACAACTTGATGTAAGTCTATCGACTTTTATCATGTTAATACTGCACAAATTCTTGAAAACCATTCTCCAAACCAGGATAATCTCACAGGATTGGAGACCATTGTCTCCACCTCCTAACTTGGTTTTAACTATGAAATACATCATCATGTTTGAGTTCCTTCCCTTAAATGACTTTTGTTAACCCCCAGAGTTCTGTTGAATCAGAGCTCCACCACGAGTATTAAAAAGTAAGGTCTAAATACTTCAAATGAGATATTTCAGATCTTTATTTTTAATAAATCAACAAAACATTTAAAAAATGTTATTGCTTTGTCATTTTAGAGCACTGTAAGTATACTGATGAGAAAATAACTTAATTACTTTTATAATGAGGAAAAAACCTAACACAATAGGGAAAGTTGCAAGGGGTTCGAAAACTCTCTATGGACACTGAATATTACTTTCTCTACATTAATGTACCAATCTTCTACATATCATATGAAATAGCATTTATCTTGAATAACTCATGTGACATAACATATCCCAGCATTTGAATAAAACATGTGCTTTTATTAAGTCTCCAAATGGTTCTCTTTCAGCAAATGAGTGCACTTACCGTACGTCTTATCCAACTTAAAAATGGTTAATGAAATTATTAATTTCCTTGCAAATATTTATTGTAAATACTTCAGAAAAAATGGAAAGTGTTGCTGTTGGTGTCAAGTATTTCAAGCTGAAACCATCTTTCTTCATGTTGTCATGGTTGCAATATATTGTGTAATGACGGTAAAACATTTTCAAATCCTCAATGCATTTTTGTCATGTGACTTTTCTGGTATTTGCAATGCAAGTGTTTTCGGACGTTTTCATCGGGGAAAGAGCTTGCACGTTCACAAAAGCAATGCAGCCCCCGTCTCTCAGTTCAGAAACATCTGCTCCCTTCAACATGGCTGACTCCACTCTATCCTGTGCCACACATGGCTGCTCCTGACCTGCTGATGAGGTGTCACTCTTTCCTCGGTGTCCATTCACTATGAAGCTGTTTGGCACAAGATCAAAATTTGACATCCAACGACAAGAAAGTTCAAGAGTCGTTTTTCGTGTAGTCCGATCAGGGCTGGGGTCAAGGACGTAACTGTTTACCACGGTGCCGCACGATGAACCCTCTTTACTTGTGCGGGAAGTCCGTCTGATGCTTTCGCTTCCAGCCCCTCTACCGTCAGTGACCCCAATTCCATGTCCATTCCTCTGTCTCAGAACATGCTGGTACAAAATCCTTCGAAAAGTGTGTCTGAACTCCCGAATGCGGTATGCATAGATAAAGGGGTTCACAACAGAGTTAGCATGGGAGAGGATGATAGCAATGTTCATCACCCAGATGTGAGGGCGCTCACAGTTCTTACACAAGTAGTTGAAACAATTGATGATATGCAGGGGAAGCCAACAAAAAGCAAAGAGACCCACAATGATGGCCAGGGATTTTGCTGCATGCACTTCTTTCTGCAGAATCGAACGAGTTGAGCTTGAAGATGTGGCTCTCCTTCCAGAACCAGGCGTGTGTGAAACTTTGAGACTCATCCGTCGGAGCTGCCGCCTCGCTGCCATGAAAATATGTGCATAGATGACCAGCATGACCAACAGAGGAACCAGGACACAGCCGAAAAAATTGAAATAAATCATGTAGTCCAGGGTAACCACTTTCTCAAACAAGCACTGCGTCATCCCTTCGGCGCAGCTGTTGTTTCCACTGGTAGTGATGGTGGAGTTCCAACCTGCATAACAGAGGAAAAACTGATTTAGACCACTACTTTCAGGTTTGTCTTTTTATCTGTTAATCTCAACCACGTTTACCTTCTTTATCTGTCACAGAGATGACAACATATACGTTGATGTGCGATCAGAACTCCATGTCTCACCTGTGTTCCAGCCAAACATTGGGGTGAGGCCGATGCTAACTGAGAGAACCCAGCATAGAGCGATGATGCCCTTTGCCCTCTGACCAGTCACTAAGCTGTTGTACCTGAAATGTCAAACATCACACAATAATAAACAACTGGGATTTTTAATTATTTATGTAATCTCTTTGTGATGGTGCTCCATTGAGGCTTTGTTAATATCCACCAATGTAAACCAGAAGAAAATGATAACATGAATGATGATCTACATGAAATTCACGGCTTACAACAAAAGAGGAATGAACCCAACTGAAATAAATTGCTACGGGTGGTAGCACCCGTTGTGTTATGCTGTGTCAGGTTGTGTCATGACAGGGTGTGGGATGATGCAAATGCAGTCTGTCAAACCCTGGCACCATCGTTCTGAGGTAATAAATGAACATTTGTTTTCAAAAAGTCATTCTAAAGGCACTGATATAGCAGGAAGCCTCGGACACAAAACATCCAAAACATTAAAAAGAGTTTGTTAAGGGAATTCCTGACGGACAGAAAAAGGCAAACATGCAATGTAAGACACAGATAAGGATGTGGTACAGTAAAAAGGAAACATATAACAAGATATACAGCAGGAAATAAAGACAATTACTTTGTATGTGAGGCAATCAGCAACCAAAGGCCTGAGCCTGCACTACAAAGAACTATATCCATATCTTAAAAAAACAGCATGAAATTAGGTTAAGAGGAACCAATGCCTATTCCAGGTGCGGGGGGCTTCTTTAATGGACTACGCTTGTTCTCTCCATGTATGCAGGGATTTTCTTTTGGTTTATTGCTGGCTCAGTAGGGATGAATTGTGTACGGCTGTGTGTTTTGTCTGTCACTGTGTGGCCCTGTGATGAACTGGTGACCTGTCCAGGGTGTTCCGAGCCCCTTGCCAAATGTCAGCTGGGATAGGCTTCAGCCCCCCCACCCTCCCCTAGTGATTCTACTGTACAAAATAGATGGATGAATAGATGGACCAATGCCTGCTAAAGATGACCAAACATTCCCCTCGCCAGCACATCTCTAATAAACATGAGCAGTCTGAGTTGGAGACTGTAAACGCACAAACATGTATCATTGTCCAATCAAAGGGATCGTTTGGAGGTGGAGCTATTACATCTATCGATCATCTTGATGCAAAACCTGGTTTTAAGCAGGTTAGATTTCCACAGTAAACTGACATACACTTGAAATGTGAACCCAGCTTGGTGATAGTGAAAATATATAGCAGAACCTGCAGTTAAAAGGCGAAGTTGTTAATCCTGATTCATTGTTTGATAAACAACATCATCAAACATCATAAATATCTCAGTAACATCTTAGGAAAGGTGCCACATATGCGCAAAAATTGGCTAGAGAAATAAAACCAACATGAACTGGTCACATCATCTCACATGACTCAAAACTGTCGCAGTGTTTGGAGATCCTGCATGAACCATTGACATTTAGTAACTCTCTAGAGATTCATGTGAATTATTAGCTGACTGGTCTTTGGTACCAGGGTTGTGGCACCAGTATTAGTGCAAAAACCCACACACCGAAGCTATTATGCAACTGCTTATGCAAATTAATCACCTGCTGTGGCTTACTAAATCAAATATCCTTGCATGACAGGAGAAAAGAATGCAACTGCTACTAGTGAACTGTGTGTTTAGTTACACACACATGAACACACATTAACAATGGGCCAGTGTTGCGTGATAATACCTCCAACTGAAGGAAGGAAACTTAGAATAGCATTTAAATCATGCTGATTGAGTACTCAAGATCAAAGCTCTCCCCGGGTTTAATTTCTCTCAGGAATCATTTTAAGAAACTTAATAAAGTAATTCAAGTTATTGCTTTAGCTGGTCAAAATGATAACGACTCAGTTTTCACAAACTCTCCGTGAAATGTGTCATGTGTGAAAGTTCATGTTAAAAGTCATACTGTGCCAAAAAAACATTACATGATTACATTATGATCATATTAGTTGTACTGATGTTCCTAACAGAGTTATTCCAATTCATGAGATTTGCTAAAAAAATATCAACAGATACCTTGGTTGATGTATTGTAATTCTCTTACCTGAGTGGGTTGTTGATAGCAATGTAGCGGTCCACAGCAATAGCCAGCAGACTGAAGATAGAGCTCTGAGTGAGCACGAGAACGAAACAAGCGATGAACAGGCAGCCAAAGAAGTCAGCACAAAAACCCACACTGATGCAAGATGGACAGAAAACATAACACATTAAAAAAGGCAGCCATCGCATTGGAACAAGCATACAAATATCTACAGAACAGCATAACAGTGACGTTTTTAAGTAAAACGTGAACACTAAATGGGGAGTTTGTGGACTTATACCTGATTGTGATGGCAAAAGGAATGGCAAGCAGCCCAACGGCAATATCGGCCACAGCCAGTGACACCACAAAGTAGTTGGTGATACTCTGCAGGTTGGAATTGAGGCAGACAGACCAGCAGACCAGGATGTTCCCAGCCACAGCCAGGAGAGCGATCACCAGCTCCAAGCCTATATAGACCACCTGGTGGCTCCTCAGCATTGTTGTTTTTTCCTCTTCTTAGCTTTCTTTGCCTTTTCATCCCACACGCTCAGCTGCTTGACTTGTTTCTGGAGAAAATAACCTCTTGCCAAACAGCATGGTACAACTCGGGGGAATAAAGTGATTGTTTCGCAGGGGGAGAGCCGAAGCAGGAAGTTCCTACCACAAGCATCACATGTAACGCCTGATTTCAAGTACACCGTATAGTGTAACTACCACCATGCACGTCTGCTAGTCTTCCTCTTTTTCTCTGCAAAGGTCTTTATCTCTGTTGTGTGCAGTTCAGCGAACTCTGTCAAAGAGCAAAGAATATCAAAGAACGGGCATTTGGAAGGTTTGTCCAGTAGATGCCAAGGTATGAGCAGTCTTCTGGAAAGAGAGAAGGAGAAAGAACAGGGTGTCAGTGCTTTTAGCCTGTATAAACAGATTGCAGCTTACCACACGGGTGTACAGTACGCATGCACTAACACGTCAGAAAAGCCATCTATCACTGGAAGACAAGGGGACAGGGCCAAAGCAGACAGTCCAACAATGGGTCTTTTATTTCGGGAAATGTTTCCCAAAACTCTTCCACTAATCATTCCCACTACTGACACACTTCCCTCCAGAACCACTGATAAAACAAAGCACCCATACTGTAACTGTGCTCACTAGATCACTGGAGCACTTTGTTAAACTATCATTGCCGTGTTTCTTCAGGGTTATTTTGCTAAATTCCTGCATGTTGCAAGAAGATTAGGATTTATTTCACAAACCTGGTACAACCTCCATCAGCTTCAGCAATAAGGGCTGTGACATGTTATTCAAGATAAAAGCAGCACACGGGACAACAGACAGGTTCCCTAATCAAGTCACACGAGGTCAAAAGATGGTGCAATATTGGTGCATATGGTGCATTATTGTTTATCAAACTCGTAAACAGATCTTTAAATTATTGAGCAAGAAAGAAGAGTAAAGATATCTGTGACCTGTATGAGATACAGTGCAACATGTCAATTTTTCTTCCATTAATTATAATCTCTGTTTAACATAATCATATGGCTCACAAATGACACTTTAACTAAAGAATGTATGGTGATTACTGAAAACAGATTTATTGTTCAAGCTGAGCAAACATCAAGAAGATCCTCCCACTTTTTTGGAACACCTTATCAAAGTAATCTGAGGTTGAAGAGAGGCAGCGATAATAAAACAATGAGCTGGATCATTTAGAAAAGGTATGGAGAGGGACGTTCAGAGACACTTTGAATTACTTACAGCTGCAAAACAAAACCTTAACCATAACCCTGCTGTCAAGCATTAAAAAGGCATTTTTAATCAATAAAATCCTATAAAGTGTACAGATAGATTATAAAAGTTGTTTGAATGATCCGAGCTTAGTTCAAATGGGGCATCTTTATTGTATTGTCTGTGTGCAATGCTGATAAGTATCAACCTTCTTTTTATATTTGTAACAAAAACCAGAAATGGTGAGTTCCATTCTCCAGTTCAATTGAAAAACATATATGCATGCCAAATGAGGAAAATGTTCAACATTTTTTAGAAAATGTATCTGAACAGCTATGTGTTAGATTTAAAGGTATCATTTTGAAACTGTCCGTACGATTAAAGCAACAGTTAGAAAAGATAGAATTGTTGTCTATCATCAATCAGTAGTAGAAAACCACAGTTTCCTGGAAACAGTTGAACAAGTGAAAGTGAAATCTCACAGGCTTGAAACTGAAAAGACAATTATCTAGAGATATTACTTGAATATACCATTTGCATTTCTCAAAGCACTAAATAGAAATCATTCTGTGATTTGTTTTTATATTCTAAGAAGCATGAAACATCTTTGAGTATGGTTTCTTTTCCACGATCTAAATGACCCTTAATTATCTTTTAGTTAAGTAAAATGTATTCATAGGGAATCCCCAACGTGTGATATCAAACCACAGAAATGGCAGGAATTAGCAAAAACTATCCCTTTTATTTGTCTGGATAAATGTTGTGAATTTGAACATAGAAGCTTAACTTATTATATCTTAAGCAAGAAACATTCTAATATCCCAAACATGTCCTCATACTGTTTTCCACACTAAACGTATTGAGAACTGAAGATTGCCAGAGTTCATAGAGAATGAGGGAAACACTTGTAAGCAGTCCAGCTCTACATATATTTCACAATCAAGTACATTTCTAGACATTTAGTTCAGAGCACTTCTGACTGATAAGACCTTTAGTCTGACCAGCAGTAATCCTGATGGGCAGCCTGTTAAACCAAAGTCCAACCTTTCCCGTTATTGCCGCGCTATTAAAACTTTCTCACTGGCTTAACGAATAAAAACAAAACAGGGTTTATCCACCTTGTTTAAAAGCTGCAGTAAAAGACCCCATGAGGCCGCAACATTTCTGACCCCGCTGAGTCATAGTGGCAAAATAAAAATCTCAACTTAGGCATTTTTTCCTTTAACAACTCAGGTTTATGGGCTGTAACAAAAGCTGCCTCATGTTGGACCCTCTTAACCTTACTCCAGTTGACTACTTTGGCAGAAACTGGCCCCATCAGTATGAGCATGATCATGAGCAGCAGCAGAGGAAGTGATAAGAAAATGCACATCCTGCTGGAAAGGATCTGTCACTGCCATGTCAATCAATGTGCTCCGCCAAAGTCCAAAGACAACACGCAGCTCAGAAAGGCTGCTGCAGCACGACAGAAAGAAAGAAAGAAAGAAAAAAGTCACAGTAACGCATGGCTAAATAGGAAGATGGTGACTTATTGGGGATTTCCGAATGCGACCAAACAGGGCGTCAGAAAGGTGCCGCAACCTGACAGGCCCCGCTGGAAGTTTCATCAGCACCACATAAGACTGCAACACAGAATCTAGGCCAAAGTTGACTAACGCATTTCAGCCACGTCAACAGCTCTTATTCAGCCCAATAAAGAATCTGCGCATCGAATTCGTTGGCAAAAACAAGCCTTCCCTCTCGAAAGTTTAATCGGTTAAAGAATAACCGGTTATCGGCGCACAGCTCAAAATGCCACCTTAATGGCAGCGGGAACAGAAACCTGTTGAGTGGACGGTTGACCCATTGGCTACACGTCTTTTTATTAAAAAAGCTCCAAACTTGTCCCTGGCGCAAGTATTTCGCACCGCGATATGAGCAGGAAGACGAACTTTACACTTTTTCTTACCTTTTTGTCAGGATGGAAACAGTGGTGGTTCTCGAGCCCCTGTGCGTTTTCGGGCACTCTGCTGGCCTTCCACTCACGGAATGAGACCAAAAGCATTAAGGTGGGATTAGAAAAAAAAGGTAATATCAAGTGGGAAATTATCACAACCCAGATATACGGCACCCTCCTACGCTCAAGATGCTGCGCACCGACGGTGCAACAGGAAAACACGCGTCTGGCAGCTTACCACCAGCCACCCGTACGCGCGCGTGCGTATGCGCGCGCACTCTTGCAGTCCCCACAAAGTAGGAGAAATGCCAGATTAAATAAGACAGACTTTGTTTAGCACGGGTTGGTACAGCTGAAGGATGCATTAGACTGGTGTGAATCTATGACATATCAACTTGAATAACAGTTATTTAAAATTGTGTTAGAATTCCTCCGTTTTTGTTGGTGTCTTAGAGTCCTTCCACTGGAGGTGGTAACGTTATTCACTGTGAAAACACAGTCAGATAGGATTGAAAATATATATTTGCTTGAAAATGATTGTACCTTTCCTTTACCCTTTTGTATAGCTGTGTGTTTATGTTTATCCAGGGTTTTGCATCATACTGATGTATATGTGTATGCTGATTTGTTATGTAAATGTTTTATGTTGTTCTGGTGCCAGGATTATCTTTTAATGATATTTGCCCATCATATATCTAAGTTCTTTGTCATCTCTCCAATAAATGACCTATTCTTTTACATTGATTTACATTTAATTTTCTGCCTCCAACTTTACATTATGTGTCCTGGTCTCAGAAAGTTAGCATAGTGCCAACAATACTTCCTCCTCTGTTCCACTGACACATTCACCTCATATGATTAGTGGGGATGCGTACATATGGCATCCAGTGATTAGTATTGAGCATGTTGATAGCAATCAATCCATTGACAATTAGTAAAACATCAACCAATGGCAATAGCTGAAATGTATCTGTGCTGTAATTCAGTTTCTATGGGCTCTAACTGAATTAGTTGGGCTAGTGTCACTATAACTGAAAATTTTCTTGTATGATGTTACGATACATAATCATGGCAAAAGAAAAGTTTAAATGGAATAGAGCAGCTTATTGAGAGTTCAAGAGCCAGATAAAGGCATCTATAAGGACACAGTAGGAATAAAAGGAATCTTTAAGAGCATGTGGGCAACAGAGGCAACAACGGAGGAGAGGGATGATAACAGTGCAAGAAGGCAAACTGGTGTTGATAGGGAACATCTTTTACTTCAGATGTTGGCCTGCTGGCTAATTTCCTGTTTAAGTAGTCTGCTGATGTGGTTGCTTCATCTGCCTACATGTAATTTCTTAGGAATATACAGAGTTCAACCTCTGAGTTCAATTCATTGGACGTCTCCTCATGCAAATGGGATCTGTTGGTCAGAAAAAGACTCAAGCATTCAAATTACTGTTAGTATAACTTTTTTAAAGTGAGAAAAAGATAAACTACAATTACCAATAATTGCAGTAAACTTACATTTTCAGACAGTCTTTGCATTTACTATGTGGAAAGTGTGGGAGCGGAAATTGGATAATGTTTCCTGTTTTCCTAATGAGACACATGAAGGGAAACAAGACCTATGTAGATACGGGAAATTTTATTTAACATTTTTGTGTACAAACATAGGCTGCAAAAGCCTACAGAACATGTTTGCCCTCAGAATACAGTTTCCTTTTTACAGTTCTACAAGCAGAACATTGAATATTTCAACAAGAACAAGAGTCAAAACTTCAGGAATAAAAAGAGACACTGTTTGTGGTTGTTCAGCAAATCCTGAACTCTACATTGTTATGTGCTGATGAAAAAAAAACAAAACAGGAGTTTTCTCAAAAGTAGCCTGATTTAATGATTGCATGGTATCAGAGCAGTGGTGGGGGTGGTAATTTGAAAGTATCAACTAGATTATAAATAATGTCCTGATAAATGCCAAGGTCATGTAATAAATGCAAGAGATTTGTAACTTTCATATAAAGCAATATATAACATATCTTCAGGCAAGTCCACAGAAGAATAAAATGTTTTTGGCTGAGGTTATGGAGGAAACATGCAGTTACTGTGACAATCAACAGACCGAAACAACGCAGATTTGAAGAATCTTCTGCCCTCTACCACAAATTGACAAATCTGATTTTCTGAGACTAAAGGTTTACCATCTGAACCCTCGAAGATTATACATCGACAAATAAAAGGCAAAACAAATGATGTATTCTCTATTATAATACAGATTCTACAAATCCAGGGAACAGTAGAAATTTGAGATACTGTACTGATGAAAAATAAATGCAGTTTTGTCATTTATGTAAGATAACTAAACAATCACAGTGGCCAGTCTGCTGCACAACACAAAAAAGTAAAGCTGAGCTAAAAATGGAGGGTTAAAAGATACAGTTCCAGTGGGAAAAAGGACACATTTTTCATACATTTTGAAGAAGTGGATGTGTCCAAATTTCGGACTGTTAGTGGAATTGCAGATCTGCTCAGCTGCTGTGATTCTGACACGAAACATATGTAAACAATTCAAACATTGTGTTCCATTAACAAAAGCCAATTAACAGACTTGACATTTTCCAATGAAAGCAAACAATATAAAGACAATTTCCTAACATTAAATTAGTTTGAAATGACACTTTATCATAAATAAATAGATCCAGCAGACCATCTTACACCAAACTGGGAAGAAGCATACATAAATAAGAACTAGAAGGCATTAGAGGAGAAAGTTGGAAAGTTGTGTGTTGCCCCCAAAAGACCAACTTAAGCACAGTTTAAATTAGTTACAGCATCACAGAAAAAGAATGTGACGAGTACAAAATTGATGTTTAGAATGTACTAAGACCATGGTTAAATTTAAGGTCCTGTCTTAGCAGATAAGAGAAAAAAGATGCGAGGCTGTCTTCAGCACAGGCAACAGAGCAGTGAACATGTCCACTGTTAAGAGTTTCACTGACATTTAGAGTACAACAGGTGCTAAACAAAAATCATACATTTTGAGGCACAATAGGGTGGAGTAGAGCAGGCAATTAGGAGTTGTTACACAGGAAAACCAAGACTGAATGTTGGTTGGAAGATTGATTCTTTGATGAAAAAACATGACCATGCTACAGTCGGTTGAAATAGTGCTGATTCAAATTGGGAAAAAACGAAATAAAAGCAAAACTGTGCAGGAAAAAAAACTTTGTGAATGAAATCTCGACAGTATTACTGAGGAGGCTGACACTAAAGTAGTGTCACATATCTAATTTATTACCGACAGGCCACAGAGTGTCTTTGGGGCATAGGAAAGGGTAAATTAGTTCAATTTTCAAATGTCAAAAGATGATATGTATTTAAAAGTAAACAGCACTCTTACTTGTTAATTTTTCCAAGCCACAAAATACTTATGTGATCTATAAATTTCAGCTTTCTACCTTTAATTCGCACCCATTTGACAACGTTAAAGCAGGTGAACACACAGGCCACTTTTCAGAGCATTCCCTCTGCCTTCCGCCTGATAAACCAACTTCACATACCACACCGCGTAGCCACAGTAATCATTTCCTCATCAGGTTCCAAAAAACCTACTTGGGGCTACATGAGAGAAATATCGGGCGGATGATCTTAATGCTGTAGCTGACTGGTGTAACCAAGACAATCATGGCCCTTATCATTACGGAAGCTGGACAAAGACATGTTTTTGTGGTGTAACTAAGATTCTCCTGAACTATAAACATCCCAATTCAAAGTCTGTGATGATACATTAGTGAAGAAGATAACAGGAAAAGAAAATAACATTTAATTAAACATGCCTGCATGTCAAAGAAACGAAACAGGAAGTCAGCCAAAATTCCTTCAGTGTAACAAACATCAATGCTCTTCATTGGACATGAATGTAGAGTGCTCAGGTCACTTGAACTGTAATACAGTAGTTTTAACATCATATTAGTGCACTTCCGCAGCCACAGATCGAACGGTTAAAAAAAGACGCAATGCCACACGTGGTTGTGTGTGTGTTTGTGTGCTGTATCATGACATTGCATAAAGTCTACGCTAGACAGGCGACCGTCTCCGCACGTGAAACGGAGCTGCTGAGAAACACCCAGCAGTTAAAGAGCTTGTGCCTTTTCCACAGCAGCATTAAGTATGTACCTATGATGTGTGTGCATTACCTTCATTAATAATATCTAAATGGAAAATTTAAAAGGCTGGACTTAACAGCTGAGTAGCTTCTATTAAGTAAAGGCTAAATCTTGCGTATTTCTGCAAGACCTGGAATCAAGGCTAAGACCTACCACCTTCTTGAAGAGAGAAAAGTTAATTTAATAATAAAACAAACCATTGGGCCATCAAATAAATTACATCAACAGTGACAATGATTAAATTGGTCATCAAAAAGAAAAAAAAATACAACTGTAGGATTATTTACATGTACGATATCTTTAAATGCAACTGCCTTCTTTTTCCTAGAAAAAAAAATCTTTTTGGCAAGTCCTATGATACAACAAGACGGACATTTTGTCAGCAAAGATAAGAGGACAGACAGTTCCTATGTTAGAAAATATATTGCTTCCAGGCCATTTAAGCTTAGGGCTACCTCTATACACAAAGAATGCCAACTGAGGAAATTTGTTTCTCAAGTCTGAAAGAAAGCATTGGATTATGTTTTTTTTTTTCCACACATCCTCAAGTCTCAGTATTGGAATCGAACCGGGTTTGTTTACGCTGTAAACACTTTCACAGGTGTTGGCTTCCTGTGCATTTTGTGACACAGAAAAAATAGAAAAGCCATGACTGTGGCAGCACAAATGTCTCCTCTGCTCTAAAAGAATCCACTGGGTTTATGCGAGTCATGTCAGATATTTCCTCAACAGCACATGAAGTAATGTTTGAGATGGCAAAAAAAAAAAAAAACTCTCCTAGACAATCATCCCCTTGACGATTGTCCAAGAAGAAAGACGAATTGAAAACAATGTCCAAACACAAAGGTGCATCACGGACAATCTGAAGGACACGCTCTGCTCATCGTGATCTCATTTCACCCTGGCTTCTTCACAAAAAAGAAGCAGGTGTACAAAAAGAAGTGTACCCCCCCAAAAAAAATAAATAAACAGGACAAGGAAACATACTAAACAAGCAGGTGATGAGAGATGTGAATGGCGACGAGCGCTGAGCTCCAGAGGTCCAGTGGCGACCCCTGGTGCCCGAGCAGCTACTGCCAGAGAGGGTCCGTCCCAGAGAAGCAAGAGTCCGGCCTGTCAATTTAAAAACATACTACAATGGGCTCACTTTGAGCCAGCATTCATCCCCTTTTCACACCCTCTCAACCAGAGCCAGCTCAGATCTATACTTCAGTGGAGAAGAGAATGCTCTGTCGTTTACTGTCTGGGGTCGGGATCGTCTCCAGCTGGAGGAAATACAGCAACACTTGGACCTGAGGGGATATTAAAAGGGGAACAGGGATATTAGTTCATTAGAGATGAGGCTTTGTTTTCAAATTCGAAATAAAAACTTAAACTAACACTGAAAATTAAAAAGGGGCGAGGATGCAGAGTCTATTTAGCAAGGGTCTATTTTGAGACATCCTGTGAGTGGGGTGTCAAACTGTTCAGATTTTTTTTTTTTTTTTTTACACAGCAGCTATCTTTTAACCTTTAACTTACTTAACGTTTTGTGATTTTTTTTGTTGCTCTCATCGAAATGAACGAAGAAACCTTTAAACCCTTTAATTAGCTTTGACATATTTCAGCTCTGACTACTTAAGCATACATCCACCATTTAACTTTTAATCATTACACAAATAATTAAAAATCGTCATTAAAAATAATTTATATCTTTGCCCCCTCCTCATTTTACAATGCTTGTGTATTGGAGGAAATTAGACTACAGATATCAAAGGAGTCAAGTGACAATACAGCTAATACAGCAAATGTCTTCTTTCAGAAAAATCTTTGCATTGTGCTCATCGTTGACGTTCCACTGCCTGCTTTTGAGATCACTTTGTAATTTTGTCAGTTGGCTCTTGAATTTGGTGTTTTCAGCCACTAACTGAGCCATGGAAAACTCCTTCTCTATATGGAAGCTTCTCTGAGCTTCCACTGCTCGACACTTCTCAGCTTCCAGAGCAGATTCCAGGTGGTGGATTTTGTCGGTGGCGCCCTTGTGTAGCTTTTCCTTCTTTTGTAGTTCTTGCCGGAGGAGGGATATTTCCTTTTCTTTTACAGCTTTCTGATGGTTTAACCTGCTGTACAGCTGATCCACCTCATTACTGAGAGCGGTGTGTTCATCGAGGACGTCCCACTGCCTGCTTTTGAGCTCGCTCTGTAATTGTGTCAGTCTTTCCTTGGTTTTGGTGTTTTCGGCCACTAACTGAGCCACAGAGCTCTGCGCATCCTTTGTCTTCATCCTCTCATTCCTGACCTCCTCTTGCAGCTGGCTTTCTTTTTGGGAGGCGTTGTGTAGCTGGGCATTAAGCCTCCCGATTTCCTTCAGCAAAGAAGGAACCTCAGTGTCGTTCATACTCACACCAAAAGTAAACGTGACAGGACTTTTGAGCTTTTTGGATTTCTTTTTCTTCCCTTTCTCCATGTTGGTCTTCTGATTGAGGTTTCTGGGTTGGTGAGGCTGCTCCCTTTGAAGTGAGGGAAAATGTTCATCCATGACCATGGTGAAACCCATCGTCGGAAATCTTTCCATGATGTCACTCAACAGGAGACCTACCTGAAGTTGCTTAGCAACACACTCAAGCTCAGTTGATTGGTTACGAGAATGATTTAAGACATCAGGGGGTCGAGGCATTCTCACTTTTGTGATGCTCTTCCACCATTTCTTTATTCCATACATTTTTCTGCACTTTAACCTAATTCAGCCATTTCCAATGAATAAGGTGACAAACTGTTCAGACTGTCTTTTTTCACACAGCTGTTAAATGCAGATTGAGGATGGAGTGTGTGGCTCACCTGTGACATGACTTCCTGGGACCAGCTGTCCCCCATGCTGATGGGCTGTGTGGGGTTCGTGGGGATCTTGCTGTCTTTCTCTGCCGGCCGCAGCAAAGTCGGCCCAAACACTGTTGCCAGATTGTGGAGAGACATTTTGTTGATACTTTCCTTTTCGGCCACCCTAGACGAGGAAGACAAACCAGTCTATCAGTGATACGGATGAAGGAAAGACTACACATAGAGGCTTCTCATGGTTTGAAATGATGTCGGGCCTTTCGTTGACTTAAATCCAAGAAAAAGCAATTCAGTTTTCAAAGTTTATTTGAAAAAAACAACATAAAATATTGTCCCAATTTTACTTTGTCCTTCTGTATGTTTCCATATCCGTGTCTACATATAAAGCATGCATGTGTGCACTGCTCAAACCTCTTCAAGTGGTCCAAAAGGAAAAGGAATGTGACCAGGTTGGGTTCCGGCAGCGATAGGAGCAAATTCAACATACAGCTCTCTTTGGCCACACTATCAGACAGGGCTACAGCAAAAAACACCCACAGGAACAACAATGTTACAAACTTCATTTTTTTAACTCTACTAGATTTTCTTTAGATCAGCAGAATAACTTACTTATTCCGCCTGCAAAATTAGGATAGAGCTCATCAGTGAAGAGGGGCTCCGGCAGCTCTCTGAAATACAGCTTCAGGGTCCCGGCAATGGCATTGACGTCCATCTCGCTCATCATCACTGACACATCTCTGTTGTCTGTAGCAAAAAAGCGAGAGAGAAACATGAAGGACATAACAGGGACCTGTGTCCATTCCACTAAGGTGTTAATATCAGTATCAGGGATACATCCAAAAGGATGCAATCATTATTGTTCAATACATAAGCCAAAATGCAAAGGCAAGTTAGCAAAAAATATTTAATCAGTAAATTCAGTTCATGATGTCACATCTGCAAAAAGTGTAAAATCCCTTAAAAATGATGATCACTTGATTAACAGAAAGTTTTAAAAAAAAAATCTCTCAGAAAAATACCTAAATAAAATCAATATATGCCAACATAGCGTTATCAGTTAATACTGTCTATATTTTTTGTTTTACGCAACTACTTTGAAAAATGTAAGAATATTAGGTGCTTAACCACAGTTGAGGGAAAAACATCTGGATTCTTAACATATACGGTGGGAAAAGCACATAGATACAGAGCCAGAACTCACTGGTGTCAAAGGCGGTCTTCAGTGCCTGAATATCAGTTGCCACACCCGATACTCTGTATATCCCCACTTCCTCCATGCCCCTCCTCTCTATCTCCTCCAGGCACTGCCGAACGATGTAGGGCACCTTTGATCGCTCACGTCTGAATGGAGACAAGAACATTACAATGTTTAATCAACATTTTGAAATGAAGAATAACCTCCCAGACAATTTAAATGATGATGTGCGATATATTTGTGTGACATGCATGGCTAATTGTTATGTTTTAAACTGTTTTATTTACTAGAAGACCCATTAAAGTCTCAGAGCTCTTTGCTTGTCTTCCACTGAAATAGTTTCTCTACAACACAAACCGATCTTGCCAGATCATTTGCTGTCTTTATCTTTTAATGTCAATCATCAACGATAAAATGACCACAAAATGAAAAACAGTATTAAATCTGCAAGTGCTCATTTATTAATTATTACTAATATTAAGGCATTGAATCATTAATATTGCTTTTGATTATTGTAATCTTTAATGAAAAAGCCCCAAGAACATATAATATGAAGATATAAATTAATATAATACGCATGATGGTATTTATAAAGGTGGTCTCTCAAAAATATTTTTAAGAAAGTAAATAAGGCTTGTTATAGACTGTCAATTCCCACTATATTAAGATAAAATAAAATTGTGGCAGGGCTTAAAATCAACCAACGGCAGCAGATTACTATGCCCTCAGTGAACCAGTTGTACTTGAATGCATCAAGACGAGGCCTAAAATGTAGCCCTAAAGATTAACAGAGGTGAAGATGACTGACGAATGTCGCCTGATCCACAACACCTGTGGGAACGGTTTGTTCTCATTTCAACTCACTTGGTCACCGTGGAGATCTTTATGCCAAACACACCAATCGGTTTCCGTGACGGCATTCTTTTCAGGCTGAATTCTCTGCTGGTGAACTTCATGGACAGTTTCACCTCAATCTGAAACGGGAACAACAACCCTACATTTAAATCCGGTTGAAGCATCTGTATAAGTCTTCAATCAATCTGTGGTAGCCTCCATAATCTTGAGGAAATCCAGCTATCCTAAAAACAGATGAAGATTCCAGAGAGAAACCAGAACCTGAGCCATATCCTGTAGTAAGGATTTATAGTATGAAATTCCTCTGGGCTGTGTTACTAAAATACATGAAATAAAGCAACTTTTGACAGCGAGTATGAATATACAGCAATAAACATTATAGTACAGACTTTTTTTGTGAGATGAAACACTTACCCCATTCATTGGAATCACCGTTCTTTGCCAGTCTTTTCCTTGAAGAGTCTGAGGGTCAAGCTGTGAGGTGGAATGAGAAGCAGTCAACATACACCAACACAGGATTTTAATGTCTCAATGATATGTAATCTGAACATAGTCCTTTTTTCACAGCATTTTTGCTACGACACATATGAGTCTGGATAAAATGGATAAATTAAAATGCAATCAAGTTCTGACATTTGAAACAATTTTCCCATTTGTAGCGTAGAAAAGTGAAGTACTTACACAAATAACATTCAAATAAGAAACGCACACTCCATGAATACATCCAGCTTCTAACCCACACTGTGTTTCACCTAGTTTTCATTACTTTGTCATGAACTGCTGCAGCCTCGTGAATTTCTAATGCTCATTTCCCCTGTTAAGACTACGTTTGCACCTTGTTGTCCTACTTATGTCCAGCTCAGTTATGACAGACCAGCAGAGCATAAAATTATAATCACATCAACTGTACTAATCTTCCCTCTGCCGCAGTACAGTGTTTTCAAAGGTGCTCGTGTCCTTTTGCATGACAAACAAAGATGATTTATTTAGGGGACAAAACTTACACCCAAATACTCTGATGAGCCAGGCGATTTGGGGCAATAAAAACCGTGTACACAACTAACACAGTGAAGAATTGACCGTGTGTTTATCTGTAACTGCTAAGACTATTCCGTGGTTTGAACATGGTGTATAGAATCACATTTAGCTCAAATAAATAAATGAATACAGAGCTGTATACAGAATTGGAGCTGGTCTGACTTGTTGTTCACGGTGATTGTTAGACACAAAATACAATTTAATCTTCTCTGATGGGAGTTTGACAACCCTTATCTATTTTCTAACTAATCTGATATTCATAACACTAAAGAGAAACTCAACACATTTGCAGAGAAAGAAATTCAATCATGGAGCAGATGCTGAGACAAGCTCATGGACGATGATTTGAAAACATCAGTTCATCTTTGATAATTCATTTGTCCTGTTTTGATGTGACAAAGGGCCCCCCTACTGTCTGTTTTCACAGTCTGTAAATCACTGACGCACAAAAGAGGATATTTGCTGCTGTCAGAATTTAGAATATAGACACCCTACTGATTACAACAAACAGATAAACTGGTTTTCTTAAAGCACAAAGAAAAAAAACAATATAAATTATTTGATGTTATATTAAAAAGAAGACAAAAAAAAACCTGAACACCACATTTAGGTACAGGTCGGTAGTCTCTGTTTTATGTTCCACACAGACAAACTAGACCCTGAAACATAGGATCAATCAGACAGAGGAGACCTTCATATTTATGAAAATCCTGTAAAGCAACATTCTCATCCCTCTGCCGGCTTGTTTTCGATGACATCATCCTTCGAAAATGGATCGAGTCTCAGGCTTAAAAGGCAACCGCTAGGTGGAGCATGCAACTTTGAGTTTTGAACATAACAAAGGAGCGTACTTCGCTGATTTTATTCGACCAAACCAATCACGAAGCGGACAGCTTGGAATCAATACTCCCGACCAGAACACACAACTGCCCTTTTGGGGGTGAGGAGTGCTGTGGCAGCACGGGAAGGTAATGGAGTTCTCTCTCCTCTTCTGCTTCCCCTTCTCTATTTAAGCACAGAGACTGCAGGCTGCTGTTGTCTTGGTAACCTAATCACGCCAGCAATCAAAATTTGCCATCAAACTCATACTCTGTCAATTTCATTGCAAGGTTCCACAGTGTAACGTCAGTCATGTGTTATTTTTTCATTTGTGGACACCAAACGCATAGTAAGTACTGCATTATGGTTCCTCCTAAACTACGACTGGCAAAAAATAATAGGTAAACGACATAACCTGACCAATGTGGCTTTTTTTAATCAATATACTCACATTCAATTAGACGTCTCTGCTCACCTGACTGTGCATAATTATTTTTCTTTGGCATTCAAATATAACTAAGTCTCTCTTTATTTGACTGACACTCATCTCTCCCCGTCATTCTCAGGTAATCAGGCTAATCATAATGTTCTCTCATAAAGTGCAGTTGCTGGCCCCTGAGGTGTGCATTTCATAGTTTGTGGTACCACTTGTGACAACACTGCCAATCAATGCTGAGTGCCAGCAGGTCTGCTGACAGAGGGGGTGACGTAATGTCATACCGGTATCTGTCCTTTTCCCATGATACGGTCTGTGCTCTCTCCATCCTCTTTGTTCTGCTTGGTCTTGTTGTAACACTTCTCGTAGCAGAGCAGCCTCAGGGTCTGAGAGCCCTCCAGCTCAATCTCAAACTCCTGCAGGGAAGAAGAGGAAGAGGATGAAGGAGAAATAAATCACAGACTGAGAGGAAAAAATCCAGTGTGAAAAAGACTGAATCCTGTGTGAAAAAGACTGAAAAAAAGTTTTTACCACAATGACACCAAGCGGCAGAAATAATGAAACACAAAGATGAGCGAAGTCTGGTTTCCGTTGTATTACAATACGTTCCACTTGAACACACAGCTGACCAACATTCCTTGTTGTTATGTAAGCTAACACTCTGCATATGGTTTGCACATTGTTCTGCAACTCACACTGTGTTGTTTCATTTAGCTTCCGGACAGATGTGAGTCATCCCAAACAGCAGCTCCTCATTAGTTAATATTATTTCCCCTTTGCTGAGCAAAATCCTCAAAGACAATCCAGTTTTGTTAAATGCTCATCCATAGATGGACCAATTCTATGACACAGACTCAAAGCTTTTCCTTCTTAATCCATCCGGGCTATAATTAGTGTACACATGTTTATGTATGTCTGCCTACTTGCTTGCCAACAGAGTGTGTGTGTGTGTGTGTGTGTGTGTGCTAGCTGCATGTTTGTAGGGGATGCAGATGCTCTGTGCAGGTTTTGTCAGACATGTTTTAACTACTAGAGATGGACAGCAAACTGATTAAAAGAGCAGATGCCATATAAATGGAATGCAGCATACATTTTTCTCAGAAGGTAATGTGTTCTGTTTGTTTTTTCTATGAGACAAACATGCTTTTTTCTTTAGTCGTGCTATATAATCCGAATATGGTGCATATTATGAGTGACAGCGGGAACTCCGTGGAAACACGTGATAAGTTCAATTGTAAGAAGCCCCTATTAGTACCGGTCCAAGAGGGATGCTTTACCTCATTCCATTTGGGCTCAGTGGTGTATCGATACACTCTCGTCTTGGCTTTATTGGAAAAGAAGCCAAATGAGTCCACCTCCAATGTGCAGTAGAGATCTGAAAGAGAGGAGAAATTTGAAAGGATCTTTAAAATTACTATGAAATTTAAACAGAAACTGTAATTGAGCCCCCAAGAAAGCTGCAATGGTCATGTTCAAACAGCTTTTTTCATATCTCCTTTTGTCTGATTTTGTGTTGTTTGCATGAAGGCTGAAGTTGAGTGACTCACTCAAGCTCTGTTTGAGGCCGGAGGCAGAGTGAACGATTACATTCAGGAACCCACAGAGACCGGAGGATTCGTCCTCTGGAAAAACAGTCAGCAAGCAGAAAGAGAGAGAGAGTAGAGAAAAGTGGATGGATTAGAAAAGAATGCAGATCTCTGTTTGCTTTGGAGCAGAATCAGGCATTAAAGAAGACATAATACACGAGTGGACAGTAGAGAACGTGCAGTTCAAAACCACATTTCTTGATTATCAGCATTCCACTGCAGGACATTTTCTATACTTTGTACTATAAATAACTAGATTTTTCCTTTGTTTAAAAAACACATTCTTTTTTAACCAAAAAAAACTTTTACCAAAAGTAGCCTACCTTCTTTACCAATACTGAGAGGAATGTGATGGACCGTTTGCAGTTTGAGGCAAGAGCTGGTTAGCATCTGTAGCTCCATAGAAGTCAAGGAGGACGTTTTAAAACCTTGGGGTTAGACCATAAATTGAGACGGTAAATCACAATGCACATGAAACTTTTGAAGTGGTTTACAGAAGTGTGTTTTCTCTGTGCTTTGAGGCCAGGGAAATGGTTCCTCAACACTAGAATTAGCAGCAGTTCATAAAACCATGACATGACCTATCACGTCATATCCATTACACTGAGTGGCTTGAGCGCATGTCTGGCACTTATTTACATTTTTTCTGTTGCTCCTTGATGATCTCTTTCCACTCTGCACGTTCATAGTCAGATGAAATCAGGAAACCGTAACCCTGAAACCCAAAAACACAAAGAATGAGAGGACTGGATCATTTGAAACACAGACTGCTTACACGGATACTCAGAACACTGAGCTAGCTTTAACAAATATATGAACAGATACAGACACAAACTGAGGAGACTTAATCTTAAAGGACATCAGGGATAGAAACATCAGTTTATATTAAAGGTGTCGTCACCTTGCCATTCTTGTTGTAGACTCTGAGGGGCATGCTCGGAGACGTTAGAAGGAGCAGAGACTCCTGTTCACACAGTTTCTTGCGGAGACGGTCAATGACTTTTGAACCCTTATTGGCCCTCTGGAATATTTGAAAGCATTTGATGGGAAAAAGAAGACACTCGGTGAATTGGAAGAATATCATTACATAAGATATAATGGCTCTTTATCCAATTAAATGTTGGTTTGTCTAACATTGATCTCAACCCCTTCAGAATAGAAAATAATTTCAAAGAAACAATGCTTTCTGTTTTAGGAAACACATGTCTTTGACTCTTTGTACCCTGAAATCCGGAATTGTGTGCCTTACCTTCTCTCTCTGAATCTCACTGCGGAGATGGGAGATCTTGACCTTAATGGCATCAAGCTCCTCGTCTGGAACTTGGGGGATGGTTAGAGGCTCTGCCTCCTCAGGGCCCTGGAATGTCAGCTCTGAAAGGGGGATGTACCACTTGCTGTCGTACTGTTGGTTTTTGCTGCATCAGGAGTACAGTGAGAAAACCATTCAATAAACCTTCATCATAAATACTCTTAAAGAAACCTTTGTGTTCAACGACTACTTCAAGTAGGGAAAGGGTGCGACACAGAAGAGGTTTTACTGATGCCCTGCCAGGCGTTTGCTTTGGCTTTTTGAGGGTCTCTCTGACTTTACGTTTATCTTCAGTGACTGAAATGCAAATAAATCATGATGAGGTTGGGTGGATCAATTTCAATGAAGACGTTTTTTACCCCCTCAAAGAAACCCTGAGTTACTTTTCCCAGCATGTTTTGGGTCAATGTCTATCGCACACATCTGCCCATTGATTCACAAACTGTGTCACACCTCAGATGTTTAACCTCATTAAATGAAAATGTACAGTGCAGTAATTGTTCCAAAAGCTTTTGAAAAAGAACATGCAACATATTAAGAGTTGTATTTCTTAACCCTTTCTTCTAGTTTTGAAATGTAATACAACCTGTTCTAATCAATCTGGATTTGACAAACTTTACTCTTGACTGAATGCTGTATCAGTTAATGCTAACTTGTGATGGAAAGTTTGTACACAGTAGCTCTTTAAGTCATGGGTTAATATCTAATGCTTTCAGATCTGTAGGAAATCAGACCTCCTCTGCAGCATGCACACTTAGTTAACTCTGTATATATGTCTGTTTGAGGATGAAATGACCCAAAAAAGTGCTTTTTACCCTCCAATCTGCTTCTTCAGCTTGGCGCAGAGCAGCAGGTCTGTGAAGAGGAAGACGTGCCGCAGCTTCCTAGCTCCCTCAACCAGCTCCACCATGAAACTGTCCCTCAGTAGCTGCCGGTTCTGTTCCAGGAAAAGACAACCGTGGTGAGTCAGAAGCACAGAGGTTTGAATAAGGGGGCGGGCGTCTTGGTTGTGAGTAATTAAGAAAAAATAATCAATTTCTATGAGAGTCACAGTTTTAAATCTGGTATGTTCTGCCGACACTTAATCAATTGAGATTGCCTCAATACGCTTTTCCTCTCCTCCCCTCTGCTCACATTCCTACTTTAGCCAACATGTGACTCAGAGCAGACAAAGAAAGGATAGAATGAAGTAAAAAAGAAGAGCACTGACCACCTACTGTTTCTGTTATCGCTTAAACTTAAACTCACAATCACCGGATGTCAAAATCATTTTTTAAAATTGTCAAGGGAGTAGCATCCCATTAGATTAATAAATTTATTTTCCACGTGCAGATTCTGAATCCTGCATATTCATCGATTTTTCAGGCACAGAGGAATGGATAAGTGGTGGTGAAAATGGGTGAGTGATATGAGCTGCTGCTATCAGCTGCACTGATGTCAGACTCTATAATGAGATATGTAATACTGACATTTGCCAAAAGGGGGCAGCGATGCCATTTTCTACGGAAGAAAGTGGTCGCTAAACAAAACAAGGAGCAGGCAAATGTCAAACCACAGCTTAGTAGTAAATGGTTGAATTTTTCATGCACATAACCACAGCTTTGCATGTGGTATGGAAAATAAGTCAGAGCAACGGATTTATCTGAGAAAATAACAGCACACAGCACAAGTTCCTCGTTCTATCTCCTTTTGACTGTCTCTTCATTTGCATGATTTTAAACATTTCATCACTTCGACAGGATTTTTTCCCAAATAACATAGACGTGTGATATATGCTATTAGATTTCTCTTTCTAATGCAAAGATATCACAGCATTTAGACTAAAATAATAAAGGCAGGCTATTAAAAGACCTTCTATCATTGCTCTTAGTGTGAAGAAGGAAATCATAACATTGTTTTATTCTCCTGAAAAGGTTTAATGGGTTTTTTCATCAGCTCACACTACAAATAATTTTTCTCCACAGGTGATCTTGACTTTGTTACAACAACCTCCCTGCCAACGCACTCAGACGCTGCCCCTGAGGCGACTCAGCACCATACCCCCAAACCTCCAGCAGCCCATCCTCCCCTGCAGCAGAGCCACGAAGCATGACATCACACTTGTTTACAACCAACCACATCCTTGTCATCGTGTTTGTTATATCCCCTTCTTGTCCCACCTCCTCTTCTTTCTCTTCCTCCACCCTTCTCCATCATGAACAGTGGAATGAAGCTCATACTAATGAAAGGGAAGTTTGTGTGGTTACAAAACCTAATTTTGGAATGTTCTGGAAAGAGAGCGATCAGTCTGTTTCGCTTAATAGATAAAATGTTCAGGAATGACTGAAAAGAAGAAGGTGGAGGAAGAGTAACAAAGATTTAAAGGGGAATTAGGAGTTATAGACTGAGCACATACAGCAATGGCTGAGAGAGAACGGTCCCAGGAGACCAAGAGAAGTCCCAGAAGAACACTGATACTTCTTTCTGTGCATGGATACCAAACAATGCGACATGCTACCAGCTGTTGAAGCAACTTCACAGGACTCCAATGGAACTTAAACAGTGGCCTTTTAGCACCCAACGTCCACTGTGTATTCACTGTCGCAGACTCAAGCATGAAACAGCGAAACCCTGTCATAGACAACGTCCGGATGATTTCCCTTCTCTGCTGCTGGCGGTTGTCTCTCGTGGCGACTGTCACCCACATCTGTGAGTCTATTCTCCCTGCAAACATGTTTAACACGTCTCTCCCCTCCTCATGCCCCTCCAGATGTATGTTCATGATCATGCTTGTGCCGTGTGTTGAGTCTCTGCACGTCTCCATGAATCTCCATCCGCCTGTTGTCATGGGGTAACACGCCGCGATGTTGTGAAGATGGCACATCTGTGAAGTCCCAGTACTTGTGATATAATCCCCTGAGGATATTTGCAAACTACAAAAACAGCCGCTTAGTGTTTACCTGTATCCATCGACACGTCGAGCTACGATACGTACTGTGCAGTAGTTTGACTGATACATCCGTCACCCGGCTGAGCTGAGTTTAGTTTTGGTGCACGAGACATACCAATAATAGACTTTTTTCTCTTTTTTCCTCCCAAATCATTTTAAATTGGATTTTTGCGTATTTTGAGATGGCTGTTTTTACTGTGCATACGCAAATAAGGCTGTCTAGGAATCTTAAGAGAGCAAAAAACTGTAAAATTCTTTAGGTGGACAAGATTACAGACCACTAAAAACAAAGTCCAGCATGACAATAAACTGGGTGACTCTCTAATAAACTACTTAATTGTCAAACTGATACTGATGAATAAAGTAATGGTTGAGTTTGAGACGATCAACTCCAAAACTATTGCAAAGGCCAGGCCTCTACCATAGCCCCTGATATATATCACAAAATGGCAATTAGAGTACTAAAAGCAACAAACAAAACAAAGCTGCTTTTTATAGCAGCTTTGTTTTGTAGCAGCTTTTTTTTAGGGATGAGTATAATTTTTTCTCGTCATGTCACATTGATTATTTCATCAATGGATTCAGCGAAAAAAAGTCCCTTGAGGCTCCCCTTTAATACAGAGAAAAACTGCATCCTTAACAAACCAGCAGCCTCAGCACATCACACTTTGTTAATATTTGAAAGACAGAGAGAGCTGACCAGCACATCATTAAGGCCACAGACCACAGATTAAATATTGACCATCTCTTGGAGAACCCATACTGAGTCACCGGGAGCGTGTGGCAGAAGTAATAGCTTGAGTTTATTTTTAGACATTTGCTTTAAGGGGCCACCTCTGCGTGCATGAGTGCGTGTTTTTTTTTTCATGTTGCATGCATGCATGGGGACACATTCATGATGATGACTGAGGAAAAAGTACATTTGTGTAGATAAGTGTGTGTTCTTTTCTACCAGCAACACCTACATTACTGATGCAGCTGTGCCAAATGCAAACACAACAGTGAGGACATGAGCGTCGCCATTTGCATTTTAATGAGGCTGTTTCTGTTCATCTCCTCCTTTCATGGACTGGGGCCAGGGCCTCTGGGGGCCACCTGTGCAGCTGTACTCCTGCATGCCTCCACAAACCATTAGTGCTTTTTTTAACCCTATGCTTTTCAGGTCGGCTCACAAACAAGCACTCTGGTTTATGTCCTTTTTCTATCTTGGATACCATTGGATGGAAATTTTGCTTCTTCTCACGATCACCATCAGAAGTGAATGAACATACCCATCAATGGAAGTTCAATGTGTCTCAACTCATTGGGCTATCCATCTCATTATAAAGGTTCAAATCAATCCTCTGAAAGTCTCACTCATGATCATTGGCTGAAACTGTGTCTTATTTTAAGCATAGTCATTCTCAGTGGATGAAGGACTCAGCTTCTCAACATCTCCAAGATTACAGAAGATGCTTCCATGCTGAAAACAAGAAAAATAAAAAGAAAGACAGAGGCACACACATATAAAGAAAAACCTCAAATATATTACCATTGTACACTCTGTCTGGGGTGAGGTGCAACATAATGAGCTCCATTGATTTCCAAATGCTCCTTTCATGTATCCTTTATAAATATTTGATTACTGGTGTAAAGGCCTAAATCGACTGAGATGGAAAGTGTGGCCTTCAGGAATAATAAAGGCACTGTGTGTGTGTATATATATACGTTCTGGGAGTATATGGAGAGAGATGAGGAAAGTGTGTGAGTGTGTGCGTGGAAAGGGCGCGGTAATCACCCCCAAGAGCAAGGGGAGGAGCCCCTTTGCCTCGCCTCCTCCCACCCACCATTTATGAATAATTAACTCGGAATCTGCCAGTCAGAGCAGACTGGTGGCACATTACACAGCGCCGTGTACGGCACTGTCACATAAGCTATCAATCAAGAAGCAGCCATTCATGTGCATCAAGTCATCTCCAGGGATGAGCGAGACGGTGGGGTGGGGGTGCGTAAATCTGTGTTTGTGCCATTGAAAGCGGGGGATGGAGGGATGGGGAGACATAGAGCAAACACACAGAATAACCCTCATCATGGCAACCCTGGTGTGACCATATAAGGACATGGGCTCTGCTTTAGGCTGCAGATTGGTGGCTCCTGTACACTCATCTGGCAGTGACTTCAAAGTCATTCGGTGGGTGGGTTCATGACGTCATCACATACAAAATAAGCAGATCTGAGGAATACTGACAAGACACTGACATGCGTCTTTCTGAAAAAGTTGCTTGGCAGCATAAAATGTCAAGGATGGCTGAGGAATGATTTGCAAACAACACTGAAAACCTAGATGCACAACATCTAAAATACTCAATGCTTTCTTTTAATGGTTTCAGGTTGACTTAATTCTTTTGGGTAAAAAAACAAACATGCAGTGTTCTCCAGGATAAAGACAAAATAGACACTTTTAAGCAGTTATGGATACAGGAATGGTACACCAGAGCATGGTGTACCATCTGAATCTTACACAGATACAGAATATGCCTGCATTTGGACAGCATGGCATAAGAGCATGTGTAATAAAATATCCCGCCTGCAGCCCAAACCCATCATTCCCTGCAATTATTTGAAGCTGTAGAAAACAAACACCAACCAAGGAAGACCCAAACAGTTGACCTGCTGTCAACAACCTTACAACCAAAAGATTTAAGTGAAATGACTGAAGTTGGCAACAAAAAATCTCATGCGATTGACTTACATATTGCAAATTTGATACACCGTTTTCCTAGGATTCTTAAAAATTATGTGAATTTAGAAGAAGAGACTTCTCGACTTTCCCCTCTTAGATGTCCACCACTGTTGTTTTTTTTTGTCTTTTCATTTGCAACCATTTACGACAGCAGGGTTTTATTGAATTCCCACCACTGGCAATACCATCAATACTTTGTCTATACCATCACCGTCTGGCACGAAAAGGCTTGGAAAATTCCGAAAAGCTCACCTCTCCCTTCTTGACAGTTGTAGACTGGCGCCTGGACGTGGTCTCCTCATTGATGCTGGACAGGAAGTTCTGCGAGATTCGCAAGGCATCCTGCAGGAGCGGGTGGTCTGGGTGGCTGGTGGGGGTGTGTTTGAGCAAATCCTAGCAGACCATCAGAACCATTGAGTTAGCTATATTGACAGTGACACTGAATTTTTAATTGCATGAAGAAAACCACTAAACAAACAGGGGAAACTAATGGGAAAATTCTAAAAGAGGCCAAACTGAAATGGAGCATTTGTTTCTGTTCTCTGTTCAAAGCATAAAAACAAAGATTATTCTGGGGAATAACTAAAACAGATGTATAAAAAAAATATCTCAAATAACAAACTGTTACATTTTATGAGCTGAGTATATTGGAAAACACACTGCTGGTTGTGTTTTGATGCACCGTGTCATACTCCCTTTGGTTTCTTTATTGCTGGTTAATAAAACCCAGTGGAACACAGTTTTATCATCATTTCAGGACTTTGCTGAACCTGCACTTGCTTACTTACATGTAACACCAGCGTGCTGCGAGTCACTCTGTCCACAGGTTTATACAGCAAAGCTGCAATATAAGGAAGACAGAAAGCAGCATTTTTTACATGTCGGAATCAACTTTATTTAGCTTATACCAAGAAGAGTTGCAGAGGGCCTAGAGCCTATCCCAGCTGTGTTAAAATGATATATAAGATGCAAATATTTATGTGTAAGTCAGATCTTAGTAGAATCAACGAAAACACTGACCTTCAAGAGAGTTCTTGGCCATGTCTTTACAATCCTTTGGACTTCTCACCTTCAAGTTCTGTTTAGGTAAAAAAAACAAATACCAATTTAAAAATACCTTTAAAGATAATGTCAGTACGATAAGGAAAGGTGAAATCGTGGTAAGGTTATCATCTTTGCTTAAACTCTGAGGTCATCCACTTCCAGATTAATTATGCCACCCCCCCCCCCCCCCCCCCACACACCCCACCCCCCACCCCCTCTCACACATACAGTATATATCACGCTCAGATGGCTGAAAGTCATGCATCATTACTTAGACCATTAACAACCCTCCATGATGAATTCCCCATTCGACGTGTAGATAGCCTCAATGCTGACCTCAAAAAACTATAGAGGAGTCATGTATGAAAAATTTCTGCATGCTGGAAAAAAAAAGACAAAAAATGGTTCACGAACTCCTGGGGTTGGCCACACGATTGCATATTTTTCACAGTTTAACACAGATTTTCGTCCAGTTTTCCGAAAACTAGTAAAAAGAGATCTGTTTCTCTCGGTGTTTTTTTCATGAGCATAGAGTAGTTCAAAAACATTTTAAAAGTTAGATCTCAATTCATTCACTTCACACACAGCGAATGTCAGACACAACATAACAATCTTGGCTTTAATCATCTATGAGTGTTGATATTTGTTTGGTGCTGTTTAAGCATGACTAACATTTATACAATTTGTATGGTTTTGTCAGTTCATTTTTTGCTTTGGATTGTTTTTGTATTATATTTGTGCTCCCTTTATGGATGGACTCTGCTAGCTAATCCCCGCTGCCTATTGTTAGTCATTAGCTCCCTATGTTTAAATAATCCTTGGCTTCTTTTGTTCAGTGCCTCACCCTATACTGTCTTATTTAGCCGTCATCACCATCTATCTGCAATCTATTTAGCATTTTAAAGCCTATATATCCTTTTCTTGAGCAGAGGCGTCGCTTTTTGTTTTTAATAAAACAAAAAGCCTACTGATAAAATTTCCTACTGATAAAATTTCCACTGTTCCATTTAATAGTTGTACAGAGAAATACAAACATCTGAAACGATGTACACAAGAACTGCTTCTGGCTGAATTTGCAGAGAAGCATTCCGCAAACATGCCGATTTCTAATGAATGGAAATGACTGTGTGGGTGAAGGATGAGTGTGTTTTGTACAGTACAGAGCATAAGCGACAAAACTAGAGCATTTACAACTCTTCATGCCTTAGATATTCTCCGAAACTGCTTCTTTTCAAGAAAAACACATGAATTAACAAACACTGTGTGGTCTGACATACGGTTAGGACAAGAGGAGACCCTTCTCATAAGCATGAAATCAGCACAGAATGAAGGAGGAGGATCCCCAGCCCGACACTCAGTTATTTGTAAACTACTAATGTAATGGGTTGCTTATTTTTCCTCTGATCACATGTATTGTACTTGTCGAAACATGTGCAAACACAATATAACACAGTCTATAAGGCTATAAGGCAAAATCAGAGCTTGCACAACTCTAACTCCTTGAAGTGTCTTTTCAATGTTTGAATGAATCATAAGGTTAAGCAGCTTAACAAGCAAAAAAAAGCAGCCAGAGTGCAAAGAAAGGCCTTAAGAAAATCCAAAGAAATGTTGCCCAACACCTCTTTAAGAGATTATGAAAAAGTCCTTGGAAGCAAGTTAAAGGAAATGAGGGGTGGCTGAAGCTTTTTGGACCGTGTTGTAGATGTTAGAGTAAGTCTGAGTAAACTGTGGAACCCCAACAAATGATTTACTAGAATTTCGGAATGAAAGGGATACCTAGTCTGTCTTACCTCAGAGATTTCAGCAAACTGTGTGTTGGCCTGGCAGCACTTCTCTGCAGTCTCTACGGCCTGCTCGTAGTTGTCCAGGAATGCTCGGTAAACTCCTAGCTGGCTGGCCTGATAGAAAGAAGAGAGAAAAAGAACACAGAGGACAAATCATAAGTGCATATTTCTGTTATCAAAATGACTGAGAATCACTTTTCATGCAGTGACAGGTAACCTGTCCCACACTAAGTAGCCTCGTGAAATATATCGGCACCACTTACAACATAAGTCCATTTCAGCCCTAAAAATGCCAGCTCGTCAAAAGGTGACATACAGCATATCTGATTTTTTTCAAATCACTGTCAGAAGCATCTCAAGAACTGTATGTCCCTTACAAAGAGTCAAACAAAAAAAGAAAGAAAAAAAAAACAGCAGGTGATGGATACAGATAACAACGGCAACGTTCAGCTACAGTGGTCTGCATACCTCGTTGCCGTAGAAACTAGCCAGACCTGCACAGTGCAGGGTTTGGTAATTAATGACTGGTGTAATGGAGGCTATGAAAGCACATTTAGGGAAGCTGGATGGCTGAATAAAACTACAGCAAGCGTTGCCTGCCAGCGCTGCGATTCATCTTGGCAGCGAACAAAAGAACAATCAGTTTTACTGAACAAAAGCCGATGGAGGACTGAGCACGGCGAGCAGAGACAGGCTCAGTGGGAGTTGTCGAGAGCCACACACACACTCACCTCTAAAAATTCATCTCACACACTTAAGCCTCTCTTACCTGGGTGAGCTGAACATAAATTATTACTTGTAAACCTCTTAATGTCTTTACATTTCAGAACTGAGCGTCCATTCTCAGAAGGCTGTTCAGGTTTATTATTTTGAATTTGGTTCACATTTTTAACCATCAGTTGTATGAGTTGTGAAAAGGAACTAACCATAACTATTAATTTAGACAACTTTATGATCAGGGTGAGTGTGTGCTCTCTGTTTCCATCTGTGGATATCGCTGCTCTAGTTAAAAAAGCATTTACATTTTTACATATCAGCAGATTCATTTCCGGGTTATTTATTCTTTTACACCAAAGAGGAAAAGTCCTATACAGCATGGATGGTGAAGCTCAACTAGCAGAGTTTAGCAGCCAATATTTTTGATTTTCTTAGACACGTCCACTTATTTTGGACTGTTTTGAATCTGTTGTCACGTGCCAAGCCACTCAAAAGTACGTTGGTTGTTTTTTTAAGGTTCTTTTTTTCGGCACGACCCCATGATCTATGCTTACACGTGGTGTGCGAGAACGGATACAAACAGGAATGTATGGTCACAAGTTTTCTAAACATTGTCTGCCCTGATGTTGTTATCTCTGGCATTTACAATGTATTTATGCGCAACAAATCTCTCATTGTGTACGCAAAAACCATGTGAATGGCCAAGGCCATATGTGACAGGGGACACAAAGCTAAGGACTAAAATGAGTTCTAAACTTTGTGTCAAAATGTAGGACCATTTCAGGCAGCGACGATTGTCCAGAAATATATCTATTGCTCATTGACATTCACACCAGAAAGATGGGAAATAGAAAGAAGGTGAGGCTGCTTTGGCGATCCAACAATCCTGTGTTCTGCCATGGGCCACACAATCTGCACCATAGCGGAGGCCATTCAGAGCATGACAGTTTGACTGCGGAGGGAAGAGAGCCCAAATCACGAAAAACGGGGGCCCATGACAGTCTACAGCTGTTATTCAAAAAAGGCTGAATTTCGCCTTGGTTTGTAAGCCTCTGTTACACGCTCGAGACAATTTCTTGAAAGGAGAAAACACACTGATGTTTCACAGCTCTACCGTGTTTATGCTTTTTTTTTCCCGCATACAATCTTTGAGGAACGCATTCAAAGACAGATTATCGCCTTGCTTGTCTGCCTTTGTGGTGTAAAACCTTCCCTTTTTCTGCCGTAAATGAAGCTTGCATTTGGAAGGAGCAGAATTGCAGCCCTGTTTCCAGTCTTCAAACGCTTCTCTCTGACGCTCGCACTCGCAACCTGTCAGCGGCGCTTTGCCTTTTCCTCTTCTTGGCTGTCTCTCGCCTCCCCAGCTCTGATGTTTCATGATTCTTAAACCCTCATGATATCAGAGTCATGGCGAGACAGCTCTCTCAGACTATCCCTACCCCCACCCATAGTCATGTGCATCACCTTCTCCTCTCCCATTTAATCTCCCCCCGCCTCCTCCTCCTACAGATTGAGCTGCTAAAATGTTTAAAAAAATCCCCTTTCTCTAGCTTATCATCTCCCTATGACTTGTATTAACTACTGTCTGGAGAGATAAGGGGAATAGTGTGGAAACTGTTTTGAGTGTGAAAAGCACGTGTGTATAGCAAAAACACCTCTGTGAACATAGTAAGGAGGAGTCCCAAACACAGCTCAAGTCCACTTTCCCACAACTTGATAAGTTCAAGAACTTCTTCTTGGCTTTGAGGCTTCACCTGATTTGGATTCTTTCAACCTTGCTCTTCACTTTTTAAGGGCCCCTCACACGGAGAAGTGAGCTATAATTCAATTAGATTTCCAGATTGAGCAAGGGGCTTTACTCCCAAAAACACTGCTCACGGTTTACAGTCTATTCTAAACATAATGAATCATTTCCCACATCCGAAACACTCCGGCCCATCTTTCCTGGGAGCTAACTGTGATTCAGTTTAGTTGGAGAAAAGCTGAATGCAATCAAGAGGAAGAGATACAATGGGGATCGTGAAAATTGCCTGTTAACAAAAGCAATATATATGAGATCCCAATTTCTTATCTAAAGCCCAAGAGGACCCTCCTGATATAAATTTAAAAAAGGAATGTGTGCGTGCATGAGTGTGTGTGTGTAAGAACGAGAGAGAGAGAAAAGAGAAATAAAGAGGCTCCTATTTATAGCAGCTTCTTGGAGACACAAAGCACACAGTGCTGTGATGGCCTCAGCTGCCTGAGGCAGAAAGAGGGCATTGTGAAGCACCTCCCTCTCTATGTGTGAGAGTGTGTATATCTGCAATATGTGTGTTTGTGTGCGCGCTAAAGTGTAAGAGAGACAAGGAGGGAGAGAGTGGGAGAGGAGCTGTATTTCTGAGAGAGTTAACAGATGATCCATTGTGGGTTAATTGACCCGGGGTGAAAGTGATTCAGTCGAATCGGGGTACTGTACATTTGGACCTGACATCCTGCTGTAGGAAAGACAGAGAGAGCAATCACATGTGGCGGAAGTAGAAGAAAAGGGAGGATGTAGATTCAATTTGTCTAAATATAAAATGATAGAGAGATGTATCAGTGCAAACATCAAATCTAATTTTTTATCAGTTTATTAAATTTATGGGACAGATTCTGCTTCTCAAAGCATTCAGACTTAAGAAGCACCAGTATGATGAACAGTGTCAGTTTGCTTTTAGTGAGCATGAACAGATCACAGCTATCGCTTTTTATCCTTTCCAGTGCTGTCAGCCTTTTTGGGTGATCAGTGCCGTCACTTTGATTTGGGGTGATGTCTGGCAGCCACAACCTGGGACTTAGCTGCTGTCACTGCTGTACGCACGCTAGAAAACGAAAAAGCTCTCCGACCCCACTGTGAATATGGGTGTGAACCGAAAACCCTTACGAGTTTCTGGAAGAGGTCCCCGACTCTCTGGTGGTGGCTCCACTGCTGGACACGGGGCAAAAGTCCATCGTAGAAATCCTTGTGGATCTCATAGAGCTCAGGCACTTTGAAAAAGATGGTTTCTATCTGGGCCACGGTGAGCACAGGCTGGGAAGTTGTGGCGGCAGCCTTCAGAGGCTTCATAGGCTGAGAGGAACAAGCAGAGCAAGCGACAAGTGAGAGATGGTTCATAGAGCAACGCTTGTGTACACGCTTACAGATCAAGTTTAGAAAAAACACAGAGACAGTGCTCTTACCAGTAGCAGAGCCTCCAGGTGACTGAGGTATGTTTCTTCTGTGGCCAAGATCCCAGACAGGACCCATTTCCTCATCTCCAAACCCTTTTCCAGGTCACATTCAGTCTGAAATAAACAGACAAACATAGTAAATTTTTAATGTCATCAACCAATGCTCTATTATCAACACATCCTATATGTTTTTGACATTGTAAAACAAATGTTTTGTACATGATCTAAATAGGATGTAATATTTTTCATAGCTTTTCTTGTGGCTAAAATGCCTTCTTGTGTGAGTCATAAAGAAGGTCAAATATTATATCAGATGGCAAAATGATTTGTAAGTCCAGCAGAACATGAAACACATTTTTTTCAGCATACGCATGTTGAAATAATCCCTGGTAACCTCCCCATTGGATAGGTCTGAGGAACACAGACATGAGAGAAAACAGAGGGGACAGAAAAATTCCTCGGCCTGTCTTGTTTAACCACAAACTCTGAAATAACTCAAACAGACAGGGTCTCCCATGGCACAAAAAAGGTTGGGGTATAAATATGTCCATGCGCTAAAGACACATGTACACAGACCAAAATTGGGATGTGGATCCCACAGGTTATGGAAGGGAGGGGGGGTGGGGGGGGGGGTTGTGAGAGTGTTACAGGAAAAACAGCAGACAACGGGAGAAGGCAAAGCAAAGTAAGGTAGTAAGGAAGAAAGGAAAGAGTAGGCAGTGAGCAAAAAGAGAAGGTTAAAATCACTGACATCATGAAAACAACACACATTTGGAACATTAGACTGTGTGACAAAGCCATTTGTCAATTGTGTATATTCAAGTGACAGCACACACTAACACTATCACATACAGTGTGTTGCAGCGGCTACATATTCAAGAACCGAACAGGCTTAAAGAAAAGGTCAAGGCTGAGCACGTGATGTGGGCAAAGAGCAGATTCAATTCTTGCCGCTTGAGTCGATTTTCGCCTGCTGGAGTCGAGGTCCAGTCTGACATATAAGCTCAGACTTGTTTTCAGTCTGAAAACGACAAACGCTTTGTAACTCTGCATATAAATGTTGATGACTGGTATAAAGCGGCTGAGTTTGGAGCAGAATTAGAGTGTGAGAGCAGCACTCTCGTGAGCTCCATTTACACGCGTACGAGTACAGGGAGCGCTTAGATGTCTGTGGGTGTTATACATTTATTTACATGACAGGGCAAATGGGTCACAAACCTGTTTCCATGGCCACTGAAAAAGCAGATGCTTTTTTTAACTAGAGCAGCGATGATGGCTTGTTAAGAAGTGCATTTAGATTATTTAGACAACAGCCTAACCTCAATGTACACACACCATTACTTCATTTTTTGGCAGAAAACAGACTATCACAAACACATTGGTGTTGGAGTACAGCTTCACTTGATACATCCACATTTGATCAGCCTCGAGCTTCTAAATTTAGGTTTTTTCTATGAGGGGTTAAGCTTTTAACTACGGTCCATTGTGTATTCGAAGAAGCATTGCCATCAGGAGTAAAGATAACAAATAGAAATTGCTGACTGATTTGTTGGCAAATAAAACAAAAAACAATCATTTACATTATGAAAAGAATGCTCAGAGCTGCATCTTATTTTTTCATTTTCCGATTATTTCAGCTATTATTCTAGACAAAAGAATGCATTTTTAAAAAAGAAATGAAAATCAATCTAGCTTTCCCTGCAGTTCCCTAGCTGTTCAGCTGGGAATGTTGCTTCACAATAACTGCTCATAAAAAAAGATTTTTCTGTCAATCAGCTTATCAGTAAAATGACTGATTGGCTCATTAGTCATTTTACTTATTTGATTAGCCTAGTTGATCCATAAAGCACAGACTACATGCAGAACAGGGCACTTAAATATGTTCACAATTCCATCCTCCCCTCATCTTGAACCGTTGATGCTTCTACTGCTACATCTCATCTTTTCATTCCTAATTTCTTTCTGTCAGCCTTCATGCTTTTCTTTTATAAAGAAACATAAACAAATGATACACATTTGTTATACATACACAAAACTATTCAGAGAATTTGGCCTGGAACTCAGGCCTCTAGATAACTTTGGTAACTTTGCTTTTCCTAGAGAAAAGGTTCATTACATATAGACATTAACACATCTAATACTGGCAGTGTTTATCTTTCTACATTCAGAGGGTAAATGAAAGTGTTTGTGCTGTAAATAAATAATGCACCTATGATCTATGGTTTCTCTCAGGAGCTCTCGGTCAGTACTCGCAGACTCAGAAAAAGCCTGAGGCAGCAAGTGGGCTCCAGCAAAATTTGTGAATTCTGAAACATGAATGAAGATTCTTGCTGAGCATCAATGGGGCATTAGCACATTCAAAAGTGCCGAGTGGTGAATTAACACTGGGGTATTTGTGAAAAATCCAGAAGTGGGAAACTTTAACAACCAGCCCCATTTCATTCTACGAGAGGAAGGGGGGGGGGGGGGGGGGAATAAAGTGTTTGTTCACCCTTTCAGAGCCCAGACAGCTCCCAAAGGAAGTACCCACACTTCTAGACATATATCATCTTTTATTTATCACCATGGCAACTAATGAGCCCATTTCTGGATTCACACTGAGCGGATGTCAGTCTGCATTTGTAATAAAAGAAAATAAAAAATGAAAAGTCAGAATATCCCATTTTTGGGTTCCCCTCAGGCTTAATTAGGTGTGAGTATTAATGGGCTACATTCTTGTCATTCCCATGTCAAAAATTGCAGATACTTCACATTTGAAGCCATGCTCAACGCATCTGATTTCTCATTCCCGTGCACACCCAAACAACAAGCACCTCCTTCATTCCTCTCCCAGGCTGGCTCACAGAGTGCTAAAGAATTCTCTTGTAAAGAGTGAGAATCAGGTTGGGAAAGAGATAAGTGAATAGCTCCGTGCTGCACTTTATTAACCCCTTTCAATTTTGATTTTCCATTCTATAATACGTTCAGCACCCTGTTCTTCCACTGCTCACTTTTGTGGAAAGCCCAATGCGATTACTTCCGTTTTCCCACGTCTGCATGTTAATGGACCAGTCTTAGAACGATGCTCTACTACAGGACACAGGAAATGTTTGCTGTGCACCACGGAGAGGCGTGTTGGGCTTTCAGTTTCTGTCCCTGATAGTTAAAAGATTATGACAAAGCTATACTGTACCTTGTGATTTAATAGAGAGTTTGCTAATTTTTATGTTTAATAATGGCTAAGCAAGAATAGAAACAGTGAGTTAAGGACATTAAGATGTGGGGAAAAGCCACAGAGAGGATTTAGCTGCCTTAACATGCAGAGTGAATGTTAGAGTGCACTTTGGCCTGTGGAGTTTAGGGGACACACTGATATCTGCAACATTGCTGATTTAAATTTAAGTCTAAGGTCTGTGCCTCTTTGAGGGATATAAGCCTGCAAAAAACCTTTAAAAGAAACCTGAAAATGACAGAATTCTGTTTTATTTGGTCAGAAAGACAAAGGAGTGGCCTCTAGTTGTCCTTCCCCAGCTCTGGTAGCTGACTCCTGACCAGTGACCCCCCCCCTCTGTCCCTTTCCCTTCTAGGAGAGGAGTTTATGAGATTATGAGAGAACAAGGGTAGAAACCTAAATTGGCAGCAGGGCTCATGACGATGACTCATGGCGGTGACGTCATAAAACCATCAGCTCGCTTTGAGCCAACCACGGCTGCTCTGGGCTCTGATTCATCTCTCAGACAAGGAGACGGGGACGATGTTTGAAGAGGAGTTGTGAAAGGGCAAATCCGGGACAATGACAATTCCATTTTGATGTCAGTTATTGAAAGTCTGCATGGCTGCATCGGGAATTTGTTTGTGGATAATTGTTATAGTGCTCTGTAAAGTATTTAACGGATGATAAAGGAGATGCTCCCAGGATGCAAACCTCAAGTGTGCAGTGTTGGGTTTGTTCTGGGATTCTGCCTTTGCACATGTCTGTTTACGCAGATAATCCTTTTTAAGACTTCTGGAAAATGTTTGCCTTTCTTCAACGGCATGAGGAAAATATGGACTAGGATATCATCATGCAAGGTGTGGAAGTAGAAAAACAAATAAAGGATCACTGGTTGACGATAGTTCCTTATAACATCTCTGAATTGCAAAGCTATGTGAACCTTTGATATCTGCGTCTGGTGGGAAGTCCTGTGCAGCAAGATCAGACCTGAACATTAGTTTCTTCTTCTTTAACCTTTTTTAATTGAATAATATCTGTACTTGGAGCAATTGCTTGTTTAAATGTCTAACTTTCTGCTGAGATTCTATAACGGCAAAAATCTCCTCATATTGCCCTTTTCAAATGCTCTAGTCGAATTAGGAATTGGCCAAATAAAGCAAATAAAAGAAACCCAATACAATTAAAAGTTTCCTTATTTTAAAATATACAGTTTCCCCCTATTTCAATCAAAAAGGTTTATTTGATCTCATCCACATGTAATTTAATGAGCAGTAGATGAATGAAAATGTTCTTTATAGAAAGTTGTAGCTTTCCCTATATTGCCCAACTCATCACTGTTGTTCAAAGCACTTTTCAATTCAACACTTGCTAATCTTGGGAAAATCACATTTTAAAATCCCTGTTTTGTTTTAATTAGACAGGGTCCATACTCATACCTCTGTCACCTGTGTCTCATTGTCTTCATGTCCTCCCTTTATCTCTTATAAAATGCGTGGAAATCATCATAGCATTTGACGCTTGCACTTTTCTCATAGGTTCACATGCTTTCTGGCACCAGAGCAAAGCAATTGTGTTGTACATTCTCAGACAGAGAAGACGCAGATTGCATGTGCATAGGTACAAATTAAATCGGTGAGAGTTCGCAGTCGACAGGTCAAAGGTTGCATGCAGTCAGGGAGCACATCATGTATTGGCAGATGCAAGCCATCAATCAGACTGACAGGCACACACTCACAAATTCAGACAAAGACCGAGGGGGTGGTGCAACCTATACAGCTTCAAGACCATGGATGTAATTACTTTCTTTCAGACTGTGTAAGCATATACAATTCCCTCATGATACATCTATTTGAACTCAACCTATGGCTACATCATGTATGGTAGATACACAGTATCTGATTAAAAAATGAACAGAAATGACATATATATGTCAAACAAAATAGGACATATTTGCTGACTGAACTTGTGTATTTGTGAATTTATGTGTGCACTCCATGATAATCTTTGAAGAGCACCAGGAATTATAGCTGACTGGTTTCCTCTTTGCAGATGAGAAAAAGCAAAGGAAGAGGGATAAGAGGATGAAGGCAGTGTTGTAGTGATGGGGGTGATAGGTTATTCTGCCTAATACCCTTCTTTGAGTGAAAAATACTTTTATTTGCCAAACAAGTTACTGTAGTGATTGAATGGTTCCGAGACATCTCTTTAAAATGTCATTTCTATAAATTCTTGAAATATGATCAGATACGTTTATCCCCAAGCGATGGCTCTTTGACAGGGAAGGATTGTTTTTAAGAATAGATTAGCCCAGTTCTTGGGCTGTAACAAGGTCAAGATTTAAATATATGACATCAATATATAGCGCGATTCACCCCCTAAGAGTCATTCCACTTATAATTTGCGCATTGGGTATATTGGACAGTTCACATATTGCGTTTGTTTTTACCAAAGGTGAAGAAACTGCTGCTTTACTGGTATAAAAGAAGGCGGGGAGATGGCCTACTGACCGACTTAGAGGACTCCAGCGAGCCGGAGGAGAGCGTGTCCCTGCTGCTCCGGCTCTTGGAGCTGAGGTGAGGCGAGGACGACGGTGAGTCATCGATGTACGGCAGGATGTCGTGGTGCCGCCGCTGCTCCTCTGCTCGGTCTGCATCGTAACCGTACGTAGGAGGGGTCCCGGTGAAATGACCATCTGTGACAGAAAAAAACCAATATGTTTAGCGTGTTGTTTTTGTTCTGTTGTTGATAATGCAGACACCAGTAAGTCCTCTGTAAATTCATTGGGGCTGGTTGATTCGAAGTCAAATGCTAAAACTGGGCATTGCCTGTCAAACATGTTGGAAAAATGCAACATTGAAACAATGCAAGTACGTCACTTATACATTTTTCTGATTCATATTCAAATGTAGGCTCAACTGAACTGAAATGCAAAAGAAAAATGCACTTTTAAAGCACATGTAATTTGACTTTCTGCAAGAGAGAGGGTGAGACAAAGATAGGGAGATGCGCATTACATTTGCTGATTGCCTTCTCGCTCTCAGAAGGTTTCCAAATTTTGAAGTTAATTTCCAACGCTAATTAATGCAGCTCCGGAAACTGGGGCACTTAAAATGAATTTCTCCTGCATCTTTGTTCATGCATCCACACAAAGACAGAGAGCTTGGGGAGAAAAAAAGCACAAGAAAGGCCAATTTAAAATCTGGTTCAAGGTTCAAGTGAATGAAATATCTCCAGAGAAACGTTCAGCAACCCCTGACCCGCTTCCTTTTTACTGTGGGCACGATCGCTCTTTACTGGCACAATGATGGTAAGCGATGTCCTTCACACAAAGAAACAGAGATCCGGCGGGAATAAGTCGCAAAAGTCAGTAAGACGGAATCAAACAAACACCAAATTGACGAGGAATGACTCGCTTTACGATGTTACACACAGTGAGGCCATGTGCTCCAATGGGGCTAAAGTTGTGGCTTCTGTTAAACATGTTAACATGTTAAGGCTTTAAATAACTTCTTTTCAGTGGGAAGGAGCAGTCAGACGTTGAGCGGTGTGATGAGCTGTGGGGAGGACCGTATTCTCTAAATATACTGGATGACTCTTTGTCCATCTGAATTTGAGTTAAGTATAACACTAATTAGGAAGCTAATTTTTCATGTTTAAAACTTCCAGTGACAGCCACCTCACGCCCTTTGTGTTTTGTTTGTTAGGAAAATGGAGGGAATGCGACAGAAAGTGGGAGTCCAGAGTTTCCATTGCCCATCTGACCTAAAGCCCACCCAGCGTTTGGTCAGCGTACCCCCTGATGCTTGTGGGTGGGCACTGCCCACAGCGCCTGTTTCGACCAATGGCAGCGTGCCAGGGGAAGGCCAACGTAAATGCGCCATGTGGAGCAAACAGTCACACCCCGCAATGCCAAGCCTTTCAGACAAACAAACTCAGCAGTGTAATAGACACTGATTCATTGGTTGTCTAAAAATACAGGGTATGGATATTTAAAAAAAAAGCACCAAGTGGGAAATGAGCGAGAACCCTCCTGGCATGTTTTTCTTCTTTGTGTTCGTGCTAGGATGTGCAACATCTTAAAAGCTGATGTTTAGTAGAAATCACTCCAAAAGCTGTTTTCCCAGAACACACACAAACAAAAAAAAACAGCGGGACTTTCTTTTTTAAATCATGTCTGGCTTTGGAAAACACATCTTCACTAGCAACACACTGTGTGCATATTTGTGTGCATATGTGTATTTGTGTTGTGATGAGGAATGCCTTTGGCACCCCCACAGAGCCTGGAGGCCAACCATACTGAACAAACAAAAACACATTTTGGGGCATAACCGCCTCCTGGTTCAAAGTGGGAACAATCACAGACATATAACTGCTACCTTGAATAATAATGATGTGACAAATTAAGGATTCATGAAAAACCATTTTCTTCAGTTCTGATTCTGTCTCTGAGGTATCGGGACAAAAACAATGTTCTGCATGAATTTTGTAACAACATTATCCTGATTTCTCTATTAAAAACAAATGAATGGATAAGCAATTTGTCAGGGTCATCACCACTATTTAACTAATATGTTCACCTAATCTGTCATTTACTTACACAACATACTCTTAACCAACATTGAGCTTCACGATTGAATGCGCCAGAATATAAAGGGGGAGGAACTGAATTTTGGAAGTCTGTTAATGGGTTACCACAGCCTCAAGGTGTCAGTCACTAAGCTGGAGACTTCCTACATCTGATTTCATCAAAGACAATTATACACCACCGCTTTGAGCAACTTTCTCTGTCTGTCTCTCTTGTATTTCTTCTTTTTATCAATCTCTTCTTTCATGTTACACCTCTTTTTGTGAACTGATCATGTGTATTTTAATTTTCTCCCCCCCTCTGCCTTATTTCCCTCTCTTCTCTTGCATCCCAACCCACATCCCCCTTAACTGGAGAATACTACGAAATACTACAGGAAACACTTGTGCTGAAGGAGCATGGCAAAAAGAAATACACATGCAGAAAGCAGACACATTGATTTCAACATTTATCAAATGCACTTCAATGTGCCTCGAGCTGCAAAAAAACAAAAATAGAACATATTTATAGAGACATTCCTGAAAAAGGCTTACATGGAAACAGTGCTTGGGAGGGAAAACATACTCTTTCCTGCAGGTGGAAAACTGTAACTGCACAGGGAATAGCTGCTGCTCAGCTGCCATGGCAACACACGGGTCTTTCCAAAACAATATCACAGACAGGGCGGGGTTAACAGGGTGTCATGTGACTCGTATCTGTTGAGGGGATATCCTATATAATTCAGTGCTGTACATGGGAACTGCTAACCATTCCTATTCATTTCCCTTTCAGGGGATCTTCCATAATTGCAGCCGTGATTTATTCAATTATTTCAAACAGTGTTCTGTTGTAATGTAGTCAGTGGAGAATCGTTGTGCCGTTTGTTTGTTTGTTTTTATTCATCGTGCATGCAACCCAAAAAATTTGAAGGAAATACAATGTTTTACATAATAAAGTATGCTAATTACTAAGTTACATATCTAAATGACCTGCAAATCCTCAAAGCTAATGTTGCTAACATGTAATTCATTCCGAAAACGGATTTCTTAATATATATACATGTAAAGATTTGAGACAATGTAATTTTACAAACCAAAATGTTCTTGATCGTTCTACTTGTGTGGAAACATTTGACATATTTCACCTTTTAAAAAATAATAGATTCCTAGAGGTAAATTCTAAAGTTAATTCTAGTGTCAGGCATGTTTTTAGCTGTGCATCTTTAGCAGGTTCCTAATCTGTATATTTGTTTTATATTACAAACTAATTATTCTGAACAGCCACTAACCTGGTTTTTCATTGCCTCATCCTTTTGTTTCCTACTGATACCATTTAAATCTCTTTCTCTGTCTGTTCTATTGTTGACTGTGTCCACGTTTTATTTTGGTCTCGGTCATGTTTACAGCACATACAGTAAGGTCAGGGTGTAAAAGCAAGAAAGCATCGATTTGCTTTACCCATTCTTACACATCCAACAAATCAAAAAGCTTGTCTGACTTTAACAGAGATTATGAGAGCTGTGGCTGACGGACAAAGGGAAAATGTTGTTCCCTCAAACCTAAAATGCTCAGTGCGGTTTGGGAGGAAAGGAGGGGTGAAAGCAAAAAAAAATCTCAGCAAAACGAAGAATAACAATCAAGAGAAAGTGCAGAGACAATGAAATTTGCGGACAGCCACGAAATTAAAGACAAAAGGAGAGCGGGTCTCAAAAGAGGCGGCATAAGATTGAGCATAAGATTTCCTCAAATGCAAGCCTCCTTTCCATCCCCCATCAACTTTCCGCTCCTAGCTTGGCAGCCATAAATTTCCCCCTCGGCTGCTGACGCCTTTTATTGAACCTGCGGAAAAGACCCACCATTGTAACACAGTCATTATAACCATACCTCTAGCTCTTCCTCAGGACCACAAAAACATTCACACTCCGACCGTATTCCCCATCCCAGTCCACGCTACGCTGATATAACCATCCAGCAATCAGAACCCGTTTGTCTTAATCTGAGTACTGAATGGAACACAATCACAGGTTCAAGGAGGTGTTTTACTGGACTGAGCCCAGCCTCTATGGAAGGGTGCTAGAAAAAGGCATAGTGGATTTGGAGGCCCTCGGCTCAATCAAGAGCCCCAGTTCTGGATAATTGAGATAAATGAGATGGATCTCGATCTACTGGAGAAAATGCAGAACTCTGGCGGGAAGAAGGGAGGCAGCCCCATTTCCCACGTTCCTCCAGACCTTAAATATCCAAGTTAATTTAGCACGAAAAACAAGGTGGTGGGTGCACAAGTGAGAGTGGAAAACTGTGAAAATGAAAGCGAAGCATGAGCTCCAGCCCCGTTCGAGGGGACAGACATGCCGTCAATAGAATACGAGCACAGATTTTGCCTTGTAAAACTCCCACAACCGTACAGTCACTTGACAGACGTTAATTTACTAAATGCTGGTACCCTGTCTTTAGAAAGCAGACACTGTGCCATGTCGGCACGATTCTTAATCTCCTGAATATCTGGACGTGCAAATATGTTAAGGCACTTATAAGAAGGGAGAGACGGGGAACACACAAATCCCCTGATGAACCGCTTTAATGAAAAGCTGTTTGATATGATAGATGCTACTTTGAGAGACTGAGGGACACCAAAAGACCTGAAATTACTTCCCATCTACTGGCGGAACAGTCTGACGTCTCTTCGCAGATGGATTGCCCGTTTCCCACCTCCTGGAATTAATAATATACTCGGGATGAGAAATCCTAATAAACTCATTTGTTTTGCCTCAGCACTGATAATCTCTGTGGAGTTGAACCGACGCCAGCTGAAGCGCCGGGGTTCAGTAATGGAGCTGGGGCCAAAGCCAAGACGCTGATCCTGCTCCTTTAAAAGCTAACAGCACCTCTTACAGTGATCAATGGAACCGTCTTTTCGCCTCAGGATAAAGGAATGGAGAAAAAAAAACAGGGAGAAAGAAAAATCTAACACAGAGAGAAGAGCAACTGGTTTTCCTACAGGACTAAAGAACTGGTGATCCTTATTATGATTCTGAATTTAGTGCCAGGGTTATGAAATATTTTGTGTTTTCGCTATGAAACGTTATATTTGCTCACTCATGTGATGAACAGTTCCAGTGAAAAGGAG